AAATTTTGGGTTCAATTTTTGCTGGCAAAAACCATCTATGGATTGTTTACAAAAAATTTGACGATTGTATATACAGGCAGATTAAGACCTATTCGCTGTCTCCTGGGACAGGAAAGGTGTATCCGCGAGTGAGATAATCTAATTAAAGTAAGCTTACTAAATATTCTTAGCAAAAAACACGCAAGAATATGGCATAATTGATATTTTGACTATCGGAAAATTCTTACATCACGTTTCATTGTTTGCAGCGGATATATGTTAACTTACTTTCTGACGCCGATTTTGTTGAGCCCGTGAAATATGCGACTTTATGTGAGTGCGTTGATGTTTCTGTAACAGCAAATGAAGAATAGCTATATTTATTGTAAATAAATTTAACTTTCTGAAACATTTTACCTTTTGTTATTGAAAAAAATGCGACATGCGTACATATATTTAATGCATAAGATGCAGATTTAGTCATTCACAAGATTTATTAGAGTAATTTTAAACTTTGACTTATCCATCGAAAAAAAACTTTTAGCTAAAGGCCTTTCGAACAACAGGCCCCGGGAGTACAATTTTGGTTCGAAAAAGTGCGCATAAAACCAAAACTTTTAGCAATCACTATAGCTGAATAAATATTCCAAACTAAAAAAACATTTCATGTTTAGTTTAGATTTTGTGATGTTCTGATCGATAGTTTGAAGCTGCCTCCTTAATAGCATATGCAGAACAAGGGCAATGTGTACAGTTATAGTTTTGCGACTATTTTTGTACCGAATGATATTAGTTGAAATATTGGCTGATTAATTTGAGCTTAGAGTGATCTCATAATGCAGTTTAGTTCGGACTGGCTTAGGAAATTGAGTGTTTGCTTTAAATAGCAAGGGGTTGCTACATGCATGTATTTCTAGTCTATAGTTGGTAAAAAATCGTGACTTGCCAGTGGTGCGTGTCATTTGCTTTTGACAAGTAGAATGAAATAATAATTATTGACCAACAAATCAAGAAATATATATATAGGTGGTGGTCAAGAAAAAGTAGCCCCCCATAACTCCGTCTGACGGATCATTCGTCTAAGTGAAAACACAAGACACACAATATAGACGAACTATGTAGACGAATATGTCGAAAGAAAATAAATTGCGCGTTTAGAAAGTGCAATGGAATTGGGAAATGCTAAATAGACGAACTATGCAGATAATTCGCGTTGACAGATGTCCGTCTGTTTGCCCGTGTTTACACACAGACGGCAAACGAGAAAACGAACCATCTTCGCTTGCCCAAGTTCGTCTTGACGGATGATCCTTCTGTAGTATAAATCTGCTATGCGCTCTATAGTTATTTTAATTGTCGCCTCGCCATGCATAACTAAGCTTATAGGAAGGACTTTCGCATTTAGAATTTTTCTTCAGCAAAGTTTTGGGATGTTTACAATGCATGGTTAACCATGTAACATAACTTACTTGTCGGTGATGTTTTTGAGGTTGAGATGACTGCTATCATCTGTGAGACTGGAGGTGTAGATGTTTCTATACATTTGAAGAATAGATGAACTCTAAACTTATTTTATAACACACCAGTATAATGAAACAGAATAGATTTTGTTGTTATTTTAACTGACAATGCAAAGTTATATCGAGAATCCAGTGGCGTAACCATAACGATAATTGGGGGGGGGTGAATATTTATATATCCAGTTCTACCCTACGGATTTCTTTTGTGAGTAGAAATCCGTCGGGCATAACTGAATGATATGAATATTCAATTGTTTAATATTTTGCTAAACCTTCAACTTAAATAAGCGATAAAATAGATTTAACAATCAAATCTCTGCATACTTTTCGAAATGACCTTTGATGCCTGCAAAGTGCTTTCTTGGGCTAGATTAGGCGACTTCTGCATGTATAGAATATAGATTTTTATTAAACATATATACACAGTAGCATAGCCAGCCTGTCGATTTGGTGTTTATTGACTGTAAAAACGATAATTATAATAACTCGAAATTTGCATAGCGGGACAAAAATCGTCAGGCTGGCTACGCTACTGTATAAGTTACATATTTATATTTTTAGACCGGTCTCACTTGTCGCAACGTAAATTATTAATTTAAAACCTCGCCTTATATTGCGTATGTGCAATTTCCATGCAGTTTTTTATCCTTCATTGCTTAAATATTTAAACAGCCGAGTGTGCAACGTAGTTGTATCTCCACGCATTGTGCTAAAAATCCATCCACATGCACATAATTAGTTTAAATCGACCACTTACGTTCCTTATAAACATACATCCCTGATTTGTTTCTTACACCCCTGACATATATTAAAACGGCTCCCATTAATCTCAAACGAGTCTTTTTCACCGATGAGAAATAGTCCGGTTGCCGTATATTTGTTTTTATTTCCGTATTCAAATAGGTCATCAACCGCACATAAAAAGAAATATTCAGCCTCCTTGACACGTTCACGACACTTAAGGCAATTCTTCATTATGTCGCTCCGCCGGCGCGGGTGAAGCGCGCTTTGTTTTTCAGCCTTCATGGTCGCATGGACAGAATTTCAAAGGCCGCTTCGCCCGCGCGGGTGAAGCGGACGGTAATGGAGAATCGCCTTTACGACTTGATGGAAACCAGGCATAAGCAGCGCTTTTCAAGACCTCCATGGTTCACACTTGTCCTAAGAATCAAGATGAACGAATTTCTGACGGACAAAAGATTTTGCGCAAAAGTGACCTGAGACAAAGGGGATTTCAGAGTCTAACGACAAGTGTGTGCGTGAACCAGGTCTAAAGAGACATGCACGATAAGTAAGCATATATATACCGATATAGATAAGTTTTTTTCTTCCATCTTTATTACCTTTTCTACAATGTAAAGGTGATCGAACTCCGGGTTAGCCAAACTTTCACCAACTTCGGATGTCTCTGGAAGTGTCAAATTGTTGAGTTCGCACAAACCTTCACCCTCTCCAGACGTTTTATAATTCACGGACGTGCATGATCCCTCCTCACCCACGCAATGCATGGCACACTCCAACTCATTACCCGCCTGTTTTGTGTTAAAGACATGATTACCCAAACGCTTTTGTTCAATTTTGCGAAATAAGCCATGCCTTATAACGAGCCATTCACCCGGCTCGGATATATTTACGATAAAAATTAGCGTACAGACGACCATTAAGAAAGCCATTTTGTATTATGACGATATTTGTCTTCGGGCATGCACCATATAAAGTAATCTTGCTGAGGAAATCTATTAAAAATTTATGCTATTACACGCTGTGAATTAATATATCAGCCAATTATGTTCTTGAAAGCACGTTCACAATTAGCCGAGAAAATTTTAATCAATTTTCTCCTTCAAAGACATGCTGCGGACACTCTTTCCTGTTGAGGCTTTGTGTATGTATTGTGTGTGCATGACAGACAGATGGGAAGGATTTTTAGATTTTGCCTTTTTTTACGTTGTGTAATCGAGATTATAACGAATTTAACCAGTGAGTTCAATAACAGGAAGTACTGGAACTGAAGATTTTTTATGTAGTTTAATTTAGCTACACATTCAATTTATTTCTCCCCCCGTGACATTACTCATAAACAAACATCTTCTAAAAGATTCTCGCTACTATCGATTAATTATATTTATGGAATATTTTCTTGGTGGATTTTTTAGCCTTTAAAGTTACCGGACAGGACGTCAAATCGGGAATTTCGAGCAAATTCAACAAAAGAAAACTTTGCAATTCCCAATTTGACGATGACCGGGAACAAAATGTATTTCAAGGATTTTAAAAACCTTAAACTTTTGATATATTCAAAATCCCCAACATTGGCCATAGGCACTTTAAATCGCAGATTATATGTAATAAAATTTAGAATTATTCGACACATTTCAGCCTTCGAAACACTTTGTAATAGACCCCTATACTCTCATTATATACAGATATCGTATACATTTACGTGTCACTTGACTAGAACATACCCCATTGTTATCTTAGACGACATCGCATTGCGGCTCTTGTCATTTATGCAACTGTTATCGCCACCGAAATCAAGTAATCAATTGTAGTGCATACCCAGTTTAGCAGCTATAACTTTCTGTGGCTGACACCTATACGAAAATTGATATCCCCACGATTCACGTTTATTCCCTCGACAGTTTGGCTGCAACAAAGCAACTGAGGGTATCAGACCCTCCCACTTGGTAACATGAACTGTTATCTCGTGATGTTTTTTGGTCGATATAAGGTCGAAGAGAGATTGGCTTGTCATGTTGAATGTCATCCATCCTTTTTGGTTATTGTACTTCATACCAAGGCATATTTGAGTGAAGGGGGGGGTTGGTGATAGCTTCGTCTCGGCACTTAGCTATATCTAACGCTGTGCTATATTCTGGCTGATATTCTAGTTTTTTGTCCCAGTAATTTGCATGGCTAAAGGAATATGTGATACTAAGACATTAACGAAATTGCATTAAAATGTTGTTCGAATAGAGTAAAAAAATCAGTAAATTTTACACGCACTCCAGTGGCGTAGCCAGCATTGATAATTGGGGGGGGCATATTTATTTATTTACGGCTTGACGTAATTTTAACGACAGGCAAGTGGAAAGTTTGTATTCAAAATGGAAATTTCTTCTTTTGTAAAAGGGCTAATCAAAACTTTATCAATAATATTATTTATGTTCGACTCAGTCTCAATCCCCTGCTATGAATAATATCGTTCGCGTACAGTTTACTAACTTGCTTTGGTGCTTGATAAATACCATGCACAACTTTCTGGGCCTCCCGAAATTGAAGTAGTAAAACTAAATACGTTTGACATGCGTGCATATGCACGTGCCGAGGTGGATATTGATTCGTCGCTGTTGTAAAGCCGTTTCTCCTGCAAGTTCCTTTTTCCTGTTTCGATCCGGCAAAACAAGAAACAAAAATCAAGATGCTTTGAAACTTATAATGTTGTTCTACCAATAAATACAGATTTAAATATTTTATTACAAGATTTTTAACCATGTGCATGGCTCGTGCAGTCAAAAACTCTGAAAATGGCGGATGTCTGTTTACAAGAATATTTGCGGTAGTGTACGGTGAAATCAAACGTCGTCTTTGAAAAATCGTCATAAAACATGGGATTGTTTCCTCTGTCGTGTTAAATTACTAATTATACGTCATAACTAACATTGGGTACTCAACTTGTCTTTTTCCCAGCCATTTTTTTAGCTTGAAATGCACATACCGCCATCTTTTTCGTATAATTGTTGATTTAAATGTAATTTATTACCAGTGCATAATACATGACAGACTATTAAGTAATAATAAACGTACAATCATACATACTATACTGTAATATATTCGATGCCTATGCATTACGAATGACTAAGCTTATATTTATTTTGAAGCCACGATCTCTTCATTTTATCATCTATATACTAACCATATATTGAACTGCTTCGTAAGATTCGCCAAGCCAAAAACTACAATAAAATATGAGAAATGCATCGAATTAGGTATTCTGATCATTATTTCCGTAGAAAAACATGTATGGTTTTGTAAGTTGATGATTTGCTTAAATTTTTCTGAAGGCTAAATGAAAACCAATAAATGTCAGCAGTTGTGTGAGACATGGCATTTAACAGGAGCACGTCTGGGCCTACAGAGTTAAAAATTTTAGAAAAGAGCGCATTGTTTTTACCTGAGCAATTAGATGGAAAGGTTGAGGCAAGAACTTTCTTGTACATACGTATTTTCTTATTTAAATTTAATTATCTAAAAAGTGTTTTCTATTTCTTTTATCACATGATTAATAAAAAGATTATCCACAATTTTTTTAAATCGATCAATTAAAAATTTTCACTTCGCTACTTCGCTTGTCAATTGGCGGGAAAGTAGTTTTATAGCGAAATATTTGCATATTTTCTTTTGGATTGATGTTGAAATAATTTATTCATGCTGTTAAAATTTGAATGAAATATGCAAATATTTCGTTACATACAGTTACGAAACTGCGCTTCTTGACCAATCTGCACACGCGCATGGCATAAATGGTATATTATAAAACCTTATAATTATAATATAACATTTATAGTACGCGCGTGCTGATTTGTCTCGAAGCGTGTCTCTATAACTATAGAAACACGGGACTTTTTCCGCCGAATTTGACAAGCGAAGTAATGTAATGAGAATTTGCATTTGAATCGAATTATAATATTTTTGTAATGTGATTTATTTACGCATAGGTCTATTGCCAGCCATGAATTTTGCATACCCCTTTCGCAGCTCAGTTTTCTGAGCATCAATAATGACGCATTAAATTTTTACGCCGTTTTTAGATAATTTTGGCTAGGAGTAATAGTTCTCCTATTTCTGTCAAACAAACAATATTTATGCATACAGCCATTAAAATTCCAAATATTTATGCTCAGAAAAGGGTGGAGGCAAATTACCGCCAACACCTGCATACACGCCTACTACGATCGCTGATTGAGATATAACGGTCCTCCTTTATATATATCAGCTGCAGTAAATCATCCAATGTACATATTTGTGAGTGGAGGCTTTGGGGAGGAGCTGGGTACAACTTTAAACGAGCTCTGTCTTCTGCGATGTGACACGGAAGACTGACCGTTTGTGGTTTGGGTATTCGGTTTTTGTTAGTTTTCGATTTGCTGCTGGCCATTGACCACCTTTCCCATATTGTATGCACTCCATTACCTGTCGTTCTTTTAGATAGGGCACCAGGCCCGTCATATAAGAGTTTTAGTTACTCTCGGGGGTACACCTTGCCTTAGTCTATTTATAAAATCACATGAATTTCTTATTTCCTTCGTAAATATTTTGTTTTGAACAAAATCATTTTATTGAGTTATATTATAAAAGAAATAGAAAACATTTTTTCCTGCGTTCCATACAGTTTTAGTATAAATATCGAAGTTACTATTGATTTTCCTGCATTCTGATTGGTCAAGATTCACTGCCTCTGAAGTGATAGTCACTGGCCAGTGACTATAGCTTGTTGTTGTTGTATTTCAACTCAGAAATTTGAAGTAATTATAATTTTTTACCGCTTACCCTTGTAATCAAAGGCGCCAGGAACACGGGACGATTGAGCCCCAGTTGGCATATATGCCGTATATAGTGTCCATTTTAAAAATGCGTAAACGACAGAATTTTAAACAAAAATGAGCAAGGCTCTAAATACCATGCAGTGGTTAAGAGATAATGCTTATAAATATCGCATTTCTACCCAAATAATTATATTCTCTGCATGGCATGTAGCCTTGGCTCCGTTTTTCCCTTGATATTTTTTTATTCTCTTACTCGTTAATATCATATTTTTTTATAATAAACTGAAGAATATTGACATAAAGTATACAAAGTTAGTACATACCTCAATAACAACTATAAAGCTCAATTCCCATACATATGCTGTAACCCCAGGACACTGGATGTATACGAATATAACGTGCAGTGATAGGTGGAGATAGGTCATTCTTAACAATGTCAGAGTTGTCACTATTCCCAATGAATATCTAAATAAAATATCAAAACTGAATACTGATATAATTTTTAGAAAATCATAAAACCGGACCAATTTTCCAATATAGTAGTCAATACATTTGGTGACAAACACCAGACATACTTTTACATGCATGCACCTGGGCAGCATGCAAATGTGTTCAGGACGGGCACGTCTGAGAATATTCTTATTTGTCTATTGCTTTGGGCAGACTTAGATCTTTAACGTTAAATCAATTTTTTACATCGCTGGAGTTCGAAAAGTAAAATACATCGATCAGTTTAAATTTCTCCGCGTTAAAAATCTCCTCATCTTTATCAAAAGGTTAAAATCGCATAGTACCTACGTATAACATCCGCATTAAATGAACACTTTTATGACATTTAATTAAGCAGCTAAATTATTTAGAGAAGAGTTAAAATCGATCTAAATTCCATCGGTCGTTTTTAAACCTCTTCTTGTACTCGTTTTAGGCACAGTAATGCATATTGTGAAAAACAATATGAGGGTGAAAAATTTCATATAAACTTCAAAAGTCACCCTTTGTTAGTTAGCAACATTCTTTTTGTTCGGTATTAATTGAGATTTTTTAAAGAACGCAAAAGTCAGCGCATTTCTTATCGCCCAGCTGATTGAAATTACATTTGATGATGCGGAACTAAAAGAAAAAGGTTTTCCGAACATGTACTCTAGATCTATGAACTTAAAGTGTTTCTTTCTATCTGTCAATTCTGGCGTGAAAATGCAGCACGTTGCATTTCAAACTAAAATTACTGACTTAATGAAATTTCAAGCTTCAAAGGCATTTCTTTCATTCTTATATACTCCAGTCTTTGGATTACCAAAGGCTCCAGAGATTTTTTTTACCATATGTTTAATTTCCGGAAGAACTGAGAATTAAAGTTTGCCAATTTCCGATTGGGTGGAAAAATACGACCCAACACTTCAACACGCCGGTCTAATCAACCTCGTATCCACGGGTAAAGACCCTGGGTACATGGTTGCGGTCTAATATCTTCGTCAGGGGTGATCTGATGTTGAAACCTTGACTCTTACAGTACTCTCCAGAAATAACCTAACAACGGTTAAACCGAGGTCAGACCGAGGTCGAACCACGGTGCAAAGGAGGTTAAACCTCGGCCCAACTCGGTCTGACAGACATTTCTTCATAACATTCCGTTCGGAAGCGAACGTCAAACGCGATCGTATTTTTTCCCCTCAGATCGCCTGCGGCTTCTATCGGTAGATCGCAACGCAAAATAACCTCAAAACGCAAATTAACCTCAACCGCACTGTTAGGTTTAGAGCTGTTTTCCACTGTTTTTCATACGTACGTATAAGCACATAAAAGTTTAAAATCATTTAAATTATACTTATGAAATCAACGATTAAAAAGATGCATAGGGTTGGATTTTGTTGATGATATGCTGTGTTTTTTCTGGTCAGTACAACAACTTAAGAAGGTTTAAGCTTTTACGTACGTGTACGTATGTAAAATGTATGTAAATAACGCGACACTGGACTGAAGCAGCCCTTAGGTTATTTCTGGACTGGACTGAATAACATACTCTCGATATTATGTTGCAACATTTGAATTCCGACATTTGTATAATCGAGCCAAAGTCTCGAGACTATACTATGTCTCCAAAGGAAACCAAGCGTTCCTAAATACCACTGATGAATTGATTAGAGTGTGTTTTCCTACCAAAACGTTTAAACATCATGAAAAAGATTAACCTTTCAGAATCAAGCACATGATTACCAAAAGAAATAAGTTGTATCAATTAACAAGGACGAATGGTAGAATCAAGAGAAATGACAAAAAAATGGGGATTGGTAAAGAAAGAAGTAAATTGTACAGCGAAAAGGTTAAGGCCCTACGTGTTTATAAATAAATAAAATATATCGCAAGGAGGGTACGGACAGTGGCGTAACTAGAACGACAATTGGGGGGGGGTTAATATTCATACTAGAAATACATGCATGCAGCAACCCCTCGCTATTTTAAACCAAGTACACAATTTCCTGAGTTGACCTGACCTAAACCATACTTATATATATTATAAAATGACACAAAACTCAAATCAGTCTTATTATATTTTACCGAATATATTATAGCTAATGTTTCCATCATTCAATACAAAAATAATCATAAAGCTAGTGTAAACATTGCCCGTTGCCCTGCATTATACCATATCAGCAATTAAGTGACGGTTTAAAATCGAAGTTTCAAACGACTAAAACAATACAAAATCTTCACAGACAAAGAAAAGACTTCAAATGTTATTTTATTCTGTAATTGCGGTCGACGCCGACGGCTAAAAGTTTTTTACTTTATAATATAGTGTGTATTTTTGATACCAAAATTCAAATTACACTTTCAAAAACACTTTTTGAAGTTAAAGCAAAGGTGTAATAGCCTTTCACAGGTTTATGCGTTTGCATAAAGAGCATAAAATTTAACAAATAAACGCCATACAAAGCTGAAAAGTATACAAATACGGCTCATTCTTACCGCAAAACAAATACGAAATAAACAAAGTGAACACGTACTCTTTGTCTTTGAAAACACTTATAAGCTTGCGGATTATGAATTATTCCTCTTACACTGCTTTGTCTTGACTGTATCCACGTTCACCCTTGCTACCTGTCATGCTTCAAATATCTTGTTTCTTCTCGTTTTACTTTCTTTGCACAAAGTTTATGAAACGCTTTTACAAAAATGTTTACGAAATGATAGTTTTAAAAATTGCCAATCAGAACGTTCGTTGATTACCAGACGTTACTCGCGCATGCGCATAACTTACAAAACCACCCAACGTCAACCGTCCATGACATAGAATTTGGACAACTTTGAATTCGCCTATGTTCTACCGGGTTCCGGGTGTAATTCCTAATCTCCGAGCAGAATTAGTACCCTCGCAGGCGCTCCGCGCCCGCTCGGGGATTAGCGAGTTTGAGCAAGGAAACGAAGTACGAAGACGAAGACGTGTTTCGGCCGAGGTAGAGTGGGAATAGTAGTCTTCGTCTTGAATTTGAATTTTGAATTTGAATTTATTAATAATCTGGATAGCAGCTTACAAGAGCTGAAGTATACAGAATTATTTACAATAAGAATACCCAATATACAAATACACAGTAAAAATATTAAATTTACAACTATACTAGGGAAATTATTTAGAAAAGTAGCTACAAAACAGACAATCCATAGGTAATTTATAAAATTCTAAAAATTACTTTAATGAGTCATTATAAACTACGATACTAGAAGGTAAAAACGAGTTTCTAAAACGACTAGTTTTACAATCAATTAGGTTGACATGGTGTTCATTACGAATAGAATATTTAACTGAGTTCATGCGTCTATCCGGAACGAGATTGTGCAACTTATGTTCAGGATGAAGAAGTTTTTTGAAATATGACATACATATATCATTTCTTCTTTGGCTAAGTGATTGAATTCCTTTGTACTCTAAAACTTCGCGGTATGACAGATCTGGAAATATTATTCTCAAGGCACGTTTTTGGATTCTTTCTATCTCCTCTTTTAAGTAATCTGGTGCCCCAAAGTTCCACACCTGACACGAGTATTCAAGAACGGGTCTTATGCATGTAAAAAACACTTGAATTAAGGAGGATTCGCTCACTCCGCTTCGTTTAAGTACCCGGAGAAAGTAAAGTCTCTTTGATGCCTTGGCCACGACATATTCAATATGTAAATTCCAATGAAGATCTGATGACAGAAGAAGACCAAGGACCTTTGCCGATGGAACCCGATATACAATGATCTCCAATCAACAGTGGCGGGAGATCCGGGGTCTCTTTTGCAAACGAGATTATCAACTCTTTACATTTGTTATGATTAAGTACCATGTCGTTCTCAATACACCATTTCTCTATATCATCAATGACCATTTGTAGATGGCTTTCTTTACCTTTCTTAATTGTTTCTGAAAGGCTGGTATCGTCGACATATTTCCATCGGTTTTTATGAGTAATTGCTAAGTCATTAACCATGATAAGAAAAAGGAGCGGACCAAGTATTGTACCTTGCGGTACACCACCATTTACTAATTTCCAATGAGATAAGATCGGACCCAACTTTACTCTCTGTTTTCTTTGCATAAGAAAGTCAATGACCCAGTTTAGTATGGAGTCGTCTATCCCAAGTAATCGCATTTTCTTTATAAGGATTTGATGGTTAATTCTATCAAATGCTTTACTGAAATCTAATAGGAAAACCCGTACCGTTTCCCCACCACCGTCTGTATCCGAAAACCAGCAATGAAACATACTAATTAACGCATCCACGGTAGAGCATCCTTTTAATGAACCAAATTGTCTTTGGTCCAATATTGGACGTATATAGCATGCATAATCCTTTGAAATTGAAACGATTCCAGTGTTTTAGATAGAGTAGCAGTTAATGAAATAGGTCGAAGGTCTGTAGATATGTTTGTTACTGGTGTTGACTTTGGAGCTGGGATGACATTTGCTTGTTTCCACTGCATTGGAACTTGTGCCTGTTTAATAGATGTGTTAAATATAATTGACACAGGTTCAGAGAGTTCCATAGAGAACGAGTTTAGTATCCAGTTCGGCAGGCCGTCTGGGCCATGTGCTTTGTTGGATTTAATTTTCCTTAGACGAGCTTCGATAGCGATGTCAGAGATAGTATAGGGATCGCCAGGTTCTTCAATAGGTAATTTATCGTACTCTGATAGTGGGGGCAATGATTTGGTGGTATCAATAAAAGCATTATTAACTGCAGACGCCAATGCTTTTCCTTGTAAGATGTTTCCATCGACTTCAGCGGAATCAAAGGCGACTTTTGGAGAAGAACCTGCCAGATTTTTTATTGCACTCCACCATTTCCTTGGCTTTGAATTTTTTAATTGGTGTACTTGGGATTCATAAAACAGAGATTTCGCTTGCTTGATGACACGGATTATTTTGTTTCTTAGTTTATTATATTCAGTTTTATTTCTTGAACTAAGAGCTTTTTGTCTTTGCGAAATAAGCGATTTTATTTCTGGCGTAATCCACGCTTTATCTCTGCAGTGGAGCTTTACTAATTTTGGCGGAATGATTGTATTCAAGCCTACGTTTATGATGTCATAAAACAGATCACACATACTTTGGCACGATGGTAACTGGGAAAGTATACTCCAATCCAAATTTGAGAGGAAATGGCCAAAAGCCTGCATATTTGATGGATTCCGTTTTCTGATCCAAATTTTGGTCTTGGTATTAATACGACAGGATTGGTCAAGTGGATGTAACATAATGGACATATGATCTGATTGTCCAATAGCAGGAAAAATCTCGGGTTCTTCATACCAGTGTTTCATATTGGTAAGGATCATATCTAAAGTCGCTTTTCCACGAGTTGGTTTCTTAACAATTTGTTTTAAAGACGAATTTCTGCAAAGTTGTTTGGTGTCAAATTGATTGAAGTCGCCCATGACAATAACACCTGCTCCAGGAAATTGCGATAAGATTTTGTCCAGGGATGCAATCATATACTCATATAGTTCATTGCCATCTGCGTGGGGTGGATGGTACACCACACAAACAAGAATACATGAGGTTTCTCGGGGAAGTCGGTAAGGTCTCAGTTTGATCCACAAACACTCATGGTTGGGGCAACCAAGGTTTGGAAGGGTCACGAAAGGCATACAAGATTTAATGAATACGCAAACTCTTCCACCTCGTTTCTCAACACGGTCGTTTCGAACTAAATTATATCCCTGGATATGTACACAGCTGTCAGGAACATTTGAATTTAACCAAGTCTCAGTTATTCCAGCAAGATCTACTTCGTTTGTTTTTAAGACGACATCTAATTCATCAATTTTATTCGTTATAGCACGCACATTAGATAGGAAAAATTTTGGCAGTTGTATGACTCTCGTTGGGACTGGATTACTTAGAGTCTTAGGTCTTCGTGCAGCGGGATATTTGAATTGAGCAGTTCTGTCAAAGTTATACGACTACGAACACGGTTCTAATTTTGTAAACATGAAAAGAGCTGAATACGAGATGGTTATTTCAGCAATGTTTTCAGAAGATGCTTTGGAAGTGGAAGATGTTGTGCTGCTTTACGGTTTAAACATCTCAAACAACATTTATATTCCGTACAAGCTAGAACTGTTCAAGATTAGACTTGAATATATCTTACTTTGAAAACTTCGTTCTGACCACAACGAACTTTGTTAAAATATTCGTCCTAAACCAGGACAACAGCACGAAGACGTTAACCTTTACCGCTGACTTTAAGCGGAGTATGCGCAAATGAAGCGCAGACGTGAAAAAATTGTGAAGTTTGTCTTCGTTTTCGTACTTCGTTGCCTTTCCCAAACTCCCTATTATCCAGTTCTGCCCGACGGATTTCTTTTGTAAGTGCAATAGCTTACAATAGAAATCCGTCGGTCAGAACTGAATATATGAATATTCTCCTCTCGAATTATCGTCTAGTTACGCCCCTGGGTTCGGAGCACCTATTGAGGGTTTTTTGATGTTCTACTATACAGTTATTCGATATGTTCTTGAATACTCCATGCAGATATAGAATGGTGGACTTACCAATATGCAAATAGGGAACATAGAAATAATTGAGAAAAAGTTATAAATATAATTATAATTATTACATCTGCAGGACAGAACGTTATCTGCAGGACAGAACGTGAGTTTGGCATAGTAATAACAAAAGCTTGACTTTAATAGGGGATACTTTTTTATATACCCTGTAGACCGGAGTGTCAAAACGTTTGGTCGTGAGTGTAATTTTGTGTGGGGATTACTTTCATTAATTAAACCAGAGTAGCGATAATTGCGATGGACAGTTAACTGAATTGAAAATCTGTAAATAGTTTTGTTTAAAATCTTGGCAAAATATTGACTTATATAACACTTATTAACTCTGATAGCTTTTACCCGTAGCTTTTACCCGTAATGAATCTGACCTTATCAACACCTCCATCTTTGTAAGACTCCAACGTTGTTCCATTCAATCTATATTCCACGAAATAAGTTTCCACCCAACAATAACGACAACAAGAACCTTGATAATAATAATATCCTCCCTGAGTGGCAATCCCTGAGACAACTTCCTTCTTGCCAAGATCAACCTGTAACCACTGGTTCTTGTCGTTTATTCCTGCTCTCCATACTGCGCTTCTATTGTACAATCGTCCATAGGCTGCTGAGAAACTTTTTTTCAAATCACTCGAAGAAGTTAATTGAGAATCTTTAACTTTTTCCCTAACTTCCACGCCAAGTGCCCTTTCACCAGCTTTGCAAAGAATTGGATTCACTAGAGAGTATTATAAAATCGTAATTTAAATCGATGCATGTTCATGGAATCCCATTTGACAGAAACGATAAATATAAATTGAATAAATGCTTATTCATCTCCTGACTATACAGGTATATCTTACATATAATGCGCTACTGACACATGCAAGCTATGAAATCTTCGTACAATCGCTTAAATTTATAAAATTCCTGCGGAAACGTCTCCTCCCATCCACTACGAGCTGAACAAGTGCAATCCATTGTCCTATAAATTTCAATATTTTCGTAGAAATCGTAGAGTTTTTGTTCTTTGTAGAATATTACGCCAAGCGCTATGCAATGGTCATTCAAATCCAGAAGTCCCAAAATAAAGCTTTTTGTTTACCAGCTGTTCAAAGTTGTAACCGATTATTTCTAAAGCGTAACAAAACGCAACAATTCATAATGAAAAAGAAACGTTGCCCCTCCTGCGCTAGATTGATAAGACTCCTATGATTACAGCGAGCAACAGTACCGTACTGTCCAGAATAACCTTACACTGCAGTTGCGGTCGACCGAAAGAAACTGCAGACGACCGCAAGGGAAAAAATACGATCGCGGTTGCCGTTCGCTTCCAAACGGGATGTTGTGAAGTGCTGAGAACGACAGAACAATGATTACATCGAAAACGTCTTAAGAAATATTTGTCAGACCGAATTCGACCAAGGTCCAACTAGATCGAACCACGGTTTTTGTTATATTTTGTTGTATATATATATATATATATATGTATATATATATATATATATATATATATATATATATATATATATATATATATATATATATATATATTATAAATATTATATATATATATATATATATATATATATATATATATATATAATATTTATACACCCATTTGCAAAAACGTTGGCCGCAGATAGATAGATAGATAGATACTCGAAATCTAATTAGAATTGCATATGTTGTGTAATATGATTGAAATCCCATGCAAATGTAATCATATGCAATTCTAATTAGACTTCGAGTATCTATCTATCTATCTATCTATCTGCGGCCAACGTTTTTGCAAATGGGTGTATATATATATATATATATATATATATATATATATATATATATATATATATATATATATAGGTCACTCCCTCCCTCACTCGTGGTTGTTAATTGCAAGGAAATTTCCTTGCACTGTGAAAACCCTGCTAGCAAGACACATCAGCATATGTCTCTAAACAGCTGAATAACATGCGCTCTTCCGACTCATAATACTATATAATAGGGAGCTTACGATCTATGACGCGGTTAGCTCAAAGACGTTCGTCAATTATATTGCTCCGAGAAATTAATTATGCTGCCAGGACTTTTGAATATTCATACAAACGTTTTAATTGCGATAAGAACCTCCGATGTCTAGCTGATATTGCGATTTCATATATCCTATCAGACAGCTATCGCGTTACCGCTGCTTTCATGCCATCGGGAGGCCGTGAAAATGCCTCATTTGAAGGCGTCGTGAATGACAACGCTGTCGTGGAACTGAAAATTATGCATACCTATTGTCTCGCGTGTAATGTTTCTTTGTTTTGCAAGCGCGTCGCCGAGCTGGGCGCGTTGTAAATCGTAAACTCTGTGTAATTACTTCTGGCAGACCTTCGCAGACCATTTTTTGAAAACGTACATAAAATAAATTAAATAACTTCACAGCAAATATTTGCAAACTTCTGCGTGCAGTGTTTTCCTAATTATACCTCTTGGACAACCATAAAGTTCCACTCTCAAGGAAATGACATTGTTCCATGTCTTTGGGTGTATGCGGATATAACGAGCTGTTACAGCTGGTGATAAGACATTTGTCACAACAGAGTTTTCGTCCGTATTTCCATCAAACACCTGAAAAGAAATGTTGAATTGTCCCTGTATTTTGATTATTTAATATTTTAACGTTCTCACAAATCTTGAGTGATTTCTGGAAAACGTGAACTTAAAAATTACCAAAAATATTCGTAAAAAATTTTTGGAGTGCAATTCCCATTGATTAAAATTTGGTTGAATTTTGATAAAAATTAAATTGAAATGAATTAGTATGATTATACTAACTCTCCTGACGAAGACGCTCAGGTCAAAACGTCGAGAAGTGTTTTGTCTTTTTTGGCAGTTGTTATACGAGATTTGATGCTAAGTTCTCATAAAAATAGATCAGTCAATTGATTTGTTTGCGCTTTTTGACTTCCGAGTACAGGACGGAGGTATGCAGTCTCTGGTACCCTCTAGTGCCGACGAAACATCTGAAGTTTCTTTTATATTGTATAATTCATTTGGATGTTTACATGTTGAAATCACTTTGCCAGGCGCTTAATTTTCTTTGTCAAAAGCACCCCAAAGTATATTTGTTTTTCTTAGCTGACCTCTATATAATAGCAGAATGCAACGTTATATGTTTTTTTACCGAAGGGCATGGGTACGAAATGTTCCACCGTAAGCTGCAATTGCCAATTTTGACAAACCCCATAGACCAAATCCTTCAAACACAAAATGTCCTCCAATTAGCCATAATTCCAGCAAATCAGCGCAGTGTTAGTATTTAAAAAATATGCCATAAATCGTGAGAGGTTTTTATTTGCATAATGGGATGGTATTTAAGGAAAAAATGAGGCAAAGAAATTTTGAAAAAAAGCTATGGGACACTGCATGCATGGGAAAACTGCACTTTATAATCGCTGAACAGATTTATTTACCTCAAAAGTGCATAGTACAATAATTATATAATAACTGCAGTGACACACAATCATGATTGATTGAAAGCTGTGCAGCATGAAACAATGCTGTACAAGAAATCTAACTGCCTTCGCGCATGGGATTTTATTATGTTGAAAAGGCTTCAAAGATATTACATTCAAAGTAAAGTAAAAAGCAAATTCCGAATAAATAATTAAGACATCTTGAGAATCAAAATATAATTAAAAAAACAGATTAAGACTGAAAAATTTCGACTTTATTTTACAAATCCCGTGTTGGATTGCCTGGTCAAGATGTTGGGATGTTGCTCGACTTTCAAAAGGGGTAAAAAAACTCGCCCATGGCTCATCTCGCAAAGCCCTTAGTATATGGGTCTTGGTACTTCCTCACTCTACACTTCCCACTCCCGACCCTCTTAATTCTTTTGGAGCCTTTTGGGGGGTAGGATTCATTCAGTATTGAAGTTTTCTCAAGCTGTAAGACGAATAGTTCTTGAACCTGTGATTCGATATGATTATTGATATCTCTTTAACTTTTACCTTCTGAGTTGTATTCATTCTGTATGAAGTGAGGTTTTCTTCATCCAAACCGTAAGACATTGAATAAGTCTTCACCCAATAACCAGTGCCATAACCTTGAGTGGCAATCGCTGTAACAATTTCCTTCTTGCCAAGATCCACTTGGAGCCATTGGCCCTGATTATAATCTTTGGGACGCCATGACCTTCCATAGTTTAGAAACTCATATGCCCCAGCCCGGCGGCTGTTTAGTCTCCCATCTGATGCAGGAAATCGGTTTTGTGCAGTTGATGATGACATCTGAGAATCCTTTATCCTTTCATTCTCCACTCCAAGTGGAACCTCACTGCCAGTGCAAGGTCCTTGTTGTAAGAAATGCAGAAAGTAAGTAAATAGGTATGTAGTAAGTATACGCGTGTAAGGATTTTTGTTTCGTTATATATGTCGCTAAACTCAAACGTATTGCTAATATACCAAAGTTGATTGTAACGAACAGTGTTTCTACATCATTGTACAGCCCCCCCCCCCGTTTTTCCCATTGCCTGAGTTAAGAAAGAGTAATTAGAAAAATGAATGGACAAATCATAAAGCACTTTTGCTGTGATAACAGAAAATTTAAAATTTTAAAGTTTGTGAATCAAAACTCCTTGCATGTATGTGAAAAGAGAAAAAATAAAGCGAAAATTGGTAAAATTCGACGGCTTCACACCTTACTCGGAATGATACGAAAAATCTCCAATGCTCAAAAGCTGTGTTATATAAAAATCCTTAGTTATCTTACTAACGTAAAATCACAAGTCTCGCTAATAATCTGGCAAATTGATTGTAAAATTTGTCGTGCTTTTGTTATTGGATAGAAGCTAAGATATATGAATAATAAGCATGGCTTGCAGTTTTTTATACGCCCTGTAAGAATTTTCCTCACCCACGCAATCGTGAACGCTTTCCGAGTTTAAAATGAATGTTCAGTTGGAACATTTGACAGTTGGAACATTTGACAAAACCTGCCGCATTCATGAGGAATTATCGTAACGTCGTACTTCTTATGCGCCGAAGGCATTAAAAACAATAAATAAAGAAGGATTTCAGCCCTTGTCTATTGTTTTTCATACATTCATCCCATGAAATGTCAGAAGTTTACCTTGACCTAAAACGGCTCATGGGCCAAAAATGGCGTCATATTCGCCAGCTGGATTGTACGATTATCAGGCGTCTGAGTAGTTTAGCTGATACCTCAGAGCTGCGGTAGAGGCTTAGCTGCCGTATTAGACACAAATATAGGCGTTGGTATAAAGATCTTTGCTCAGTGATTCACTGTCTCGCATCTACACAGGCGGTGTTAATGTTTGTATTGCAATTCGGCAGTTTTCGGTATTGGAATTTCAGTATTGAGAGATAATAATCATCGCCCCGTTGACTCTTCCACAGTCCATGCAACGCTACGTTCGAGTCAATTTGGGATGTGCGCGTTTAAGGTTAATGAGGCTTGGAGACGCCGGGTATTGTTTACCTGCGTAGCAACCAAAAACTTCGATCCTCATAGATATGTTGTTAAACCAAGAAACTGGGTTTATGCGAATGTAACGCGCGGTTATTGCTGGAGATAAGACATTTGTAACGACAGATATCTGGTCTTCATTTCCATGAAACACCTATATCATATGTAAAGGATAGAAGTATATATTATTGTGACACACTTGAAGCGAATAAGGTAAGAAAGATGCTGTATACCGTCTCAGCTACAAGGTCAATTTTTACTTAAGTAAAAATCATTGTCGTTCCCACACAACTAGGCCTTGTAGCTCAGCCTTGTAGCTCAGACGGAATTTTCCGCATGCCCAGTTGGTTATACTTGTGTTGAAGAACATATAAAACGCAGTTGAAAAGTATGGAAGTGGCACTAGTATTCAAAACTATGTCCTCAATGCGATGAAAAAGTAAACTTAAAGACAGCTGGTGTTCACTTCGGGGGAAACCAATGTACTGCAATATATTGGGATGATGATTAATGAACAATTTGCATGGCCCTATTGTCATTATGGTAAAGAAGGTATTCGAAATGTAAAATCACCCCATCACTGTCTCTTTAAAATACCTGAGCAATTTCAATTAAATTATATATATATATATTAGGTACTTCTTTCTATATAATTTGTGTATATCCTCTATATATGGCAAAAGGTAACTTCAAAGTAAATGTCGATGGAAAGAACGATCCGTATTGATTAAATGTGAACACTTGCTTTTAAGTTATTGGGATCGGACCGGATGGAGATTGATCTGATCAGATCGGTCTCAGGTCGATCTTAGTATGAACAGGACATAAGTTGGGGGGGTGTCGTTCTTGAGACGTCCTTCACTACTTGAATTTTAGCCCAAATATCCAAAACGTTGCACAATTGCCCTTTTTTGCAGTTTTGTGTGAACTTCGATACCATATCCGTTATTTTAAATTGTTCTGAAGCTATATGCGCATCAAACTTAGAAAGAGACCTTAGTCGATATATAAAAGTTTTTCCTAGTATATTTGTTGTTCTTTACTATTGCGTTACCTTGTGAACCCCGCCGATTGTATAATTCTTGTAATTTATTCCATCCAAACTGTATGACACGAGATAAGACTTCACCCAATCTTCGGATTTCTCATCACCCTGACTGGCAATTCCTGTAACGATTTCCTCTCCACTAAAATCAACCTGAATCCATTGCTTGTCGTCGTTTGTCTTCGCTCTCCAGGAGTTTTCCCCATGCAATCGCCCATTTTTTGGGCTGTACATCATCTTATTTTGATAAACACTTGAAGAATTCAACTGCAAATTGTGAATCTTTCCATTTTGCATTCCAAATGCAACGTCTCTTGACTTGCAATAACCTAATATTTGACACAAAATAAAATATTCTTATTCAATAAAATAAAACTCATTCCCCAAGTTCCCTCAGTCACAAATTTTAATGCCGTGCACTGAATGTTGCACGTGGTTCATGACGTTAACACACGCGTATTGAAAGAGTGGTAGAAAAGATCAATAAACTGGACTATATTCTTATTTAATTTAATAATAGTTCTGATATGGATTTATAAAATAACATGTATATAACGCGTGTTCTGATTAGTCGAAGCCCGTGTTTTGATCACATCCAAACACGGAAATTTGAAGTTTTAAATAATTTAATATTAAGTTCAGGCTTTGTCGTTGTTATTTTGTAAAACAATTTTCGGCTCGTGTTTCGCGCGCTTTTCTTAACTCTCGCAACATTCACGCGTATGTATTTGGATCAGGCCATCCAAACACGGAATTCCCATAGAAGTGTACAACATCATGCCTAAATTTCGTATTTAGAGCGATCAAGTTGTATATACAATTATGAAATCCTATAAAGTGAAATGTATTCTGTTTGCAGTTCCTTACTACAAGCATTCCTGTTGAACATTAAGTCAACGCCACAGTAAATTTTTTTGCTGCTGAAGTCACCATTATTTTAAATGTGGGCTAAGTTTTCCCGAAAATAAGTCGAAATTTGTGTTTTTGGCCTAAATTTATATAGGTTCACTGGCTGTAAAACTGAACAATCATTTTGGGGGAAATAAAAAACAGAGGACACGTTGTCCACTCCACCTACCCCAATGATCGATCGAGCTGCAAAGCAACAAAATTATGGGCAGTTCATGAAATTATGTTATTTGAATAAGATATACAGGGTGTATAAAAAAAATTCGAATCGAAATTTTGCGTGTAATAATGCAAAATATATTTGACAAATTTGGTTAATTTTTACACCATTGTTAAGTTCATTTATTTCTCTTTCAAATGACACGTTTTACGTGTAATTTAGTTGAAAAAATGAAGAAGTACTGGTTCGACAAAAAAAGTTCATAAAAATCACCAATTTCCGCCGATGGGAACTGGACGTTTGTTTTATTGAAAATTAGTCCCAAAGGGCTTTAAAATCTAGTCATTACTGAAAACTAAAACGCAAATTTATCGCAAAAATTCTGCTTATTCAATGTTCAACGATAGAAGTTTGAAGAACACAATGCCTCCATTAATTAAATTTTCACTTTCATTTGTGTGGAGGTCTCATTTCGAATTCCCACCGACGGAAAAATTTGATTTCGAGCAGCAATTTCTAAAAGACGATAACTCGGCCAGTTTTGGTCGTGTCGATATAAGAACGGTATAATCGTAAACTAAATAAGCTAATCTTTGCTGCCATATAAAAATTATATTGTTTACTTTAGTATTTTACACACAGCAGCTTGTCAAAGTTTGATTCGAATTCTTTTATACACACTGTATTATAATATAACATTAATAGTACGCGCGTGCTGATTGGTCGAGAAATTTGTAATTGAATCGAATTATAATATTTGTACAAAATCCTTTTATTGAGTTATATTGTAAAAAAGATAACGTGGAAAATAACGTGGAAGCACTCGCCCTACGTTCCAAATTTGCTGGTTGTTGAAAAATGACATACAAATTAGTTAGAATCTTTCGTTCGTTCGTATCAGCTAAACTGTAGAGACCTTTTTCTCACTAAACATATGTAAAATTGAGCATTTACTTTCGAGTTCTTTAAAACAATTTTATTTAAATAAAATATATATAGATATAGACCTTTCAAATACTAAATTTGTTGGCGCACGTTATGAAAGCATACCTGTATAACAACCATAAAGTTCGAATCTCATGGATACGAGTCTGTGCCATGTCTTTGGGTGTATCCGAATATAACGGGCTGTCACAGCTGGTGATAAACGATTTCTCACAGTGGAATCATAGCCATAATTTCCACTGAGTACCTAAAAATATTAACGCGATAATGTTACTAAAAAAAGGTACTCAAGGTCGAACCATTCATTTGCATCTTCTGTGTCAGAAGCATGGCAAATAGGCTACCTCAAGTGTGGAATTCTACCAAAGTGATAATTTATTGGTTTTATTTATTATGGCCAGAAAATGCAATGACAGGAGAGGTTTAATATGCGGAGAGGTTTCGACAATTCATTGCATTAGCAGGCGCAAATTTACAAAGATTTAAAAGGGGTATGTAATTATCGAGGCAAAAGTAACGCAAGAAATCAATCTAAATATCTTTTTATCAACCAACAATTTCGAATCGAATACAACAGCTGCTGCCGAATTCAGGTTGCCGCATCAGAGCGAGGTAATTAGAGTCGCTTTTATATCGCAGACAAAGGGTAGTAAATTCATTTTAAAACTATCTTGGTTAGAATTCTGGTTAACCTCACTGGTTCGGCTCTGTTAAGGAAAATTTGGATTATATTTCCAAATATCTATCATCTTGCATGAACCAGTGAAGGCAAGCGCTTACCTTAATACTTCCGTTTATTTTATAAAAATCAAATTTTTTTCCACTTGAACTGTATGAGACGGTAAAAGTCTTCACCCATTGTACCCATCGCCATTGGCCTTGAATTGCAATGGCTGTGATAGTTTCATTTCTGCCAAGATCAACTTCAATCCATGGATCTGAATCATTTTGTTTCGCAACCCAGGAATCAGGGCCATTTAATCGAGCCTTTCGTGCGGAATGTTTCCCACTATATTCAGTTGATGCAGTTATCTTTGAATCAGAAATTTTCATGTTTTCCATTCCTAGTGCGGTCTCTTTGCATTGCCCTATAAGTATCACAAATGTTTTGTTAAAATCATGGAACCTTACTTGTCGTTCACCTTTGTCTTCCTGGCAGGGTCGTTATCATTCTGGAACTTTCTAAGGCGGTTGTGGGTGATCCTGCATGTTGAAACGACTCGACACCAAACTTGATCATTCTTATTTAATAAGTATATCTAATCAATTTAAGGAATGCCAAATGATGCCCGCGTTAATTTTTTTAATGATTATTTATAATATCGCAATAATCACACATTAATTGACTTAGCTGGTACAGTCGCGTAGATATTGCTACAGTAATGCTGCTGCGCGGTATTAAATCACCGTAATATGCTTAATTGCTTATGATTTTTTTGCTCAAACGTCCAAAAAATGGTTTCAGTTTTTTCAACCAATAAAAATTGGTCCAATAAATGAATCAGCTAATTATAAGTTATTTATTATTCTTTGAGGGCCAAATTAACATGTTTAGCATTAACTCGACTTTTTTAGGCCTTCAATCGAATAGTGCAATACTTTTCGATATCGATGTCGATATCGATGTAGAGATTTATGTAATTTTCGGTATATTGTGTTGTAAGATTTCAATAACTCTTTTTATGATCCTTACGTCACATCATTTCTTGTGGCAATTTATAGATCCAGCAGATAATGTTACTAGCAGGTTAAAAATACCATGGACGCAAGTTGTGAAGCTTGGTGCTCTCCTAAAAACTTTTAGCCCCGTCTAGCTACGATGATAATGTATATGTTTTTTTGATAATCTTTTTTGTTATCCTTGGTTTTGTTGTTGCTGTAAAAGCAGGTTTGCGATTCCTGCATCCCCATGCAGTTTTGCACAAATAGAGTCGATATACTCGTCATTTAATTTTATATATATATATATATATATATATATATATATATATATATATATATATATATATATTTATTTATTTGTGCGTGCTCATTGAGTGCTCAATATCAATTAAATAGCAGAGCAAATAAACAAATAAAGCAATAAATCAGCAAATTACGATCTTAAATGTTTATTTCGCTACACTGTGTTTCACGTACGTCTACCGTGTACGATCATCAGGCGAGTAAAATATTAACACGCGATCAAGATGTAACTACGCTGGCCCAGAAGTACAAACACGTATGCAAATTCTAATACTCGCGTACAATTTCAAATGCACGCATTCAAAATCTAATACACGCATGCAAATTTCAATACACGCATGCAATAGACGCAAGTTTAATGACATGCATACAAATTTGAAACACGCATACAAAGTAAAGACCTTAAATGACGTTTTACTCAGTTGTGAAGAATGCAGGCGTCTTTACACGGTGCGTGTTTGTAAAAACAAAGATGTGTTGTTCTTACTGTAGTAATGAGATAAGGGAAAATGCAAATTTTTGTAAACATTTTGGAGGCAAATGTTGCGAAGCAAGTGTGTGATCAGGCGGTAAATCTTTGGCCACCAGTCCTCAGAGACCATTAAGTTTTGAAGAATATTTAGAGAAGATGAGTGTTCCATGACCCAGTGGCAGTATCGAAAAAGGTGACACGTCTGTGTGAAACAGGTCTGTGTTTAAAAATAAGAAAAGGTGAAAAAGGTCTGTGTTTAAGGTGGCTCGATACAGTTTCTCGAATTTTTTTTGGGCTCATTTTAAACAGGGATATTAAGCACCTAAATATTTCACTATAAGGCTAAAAGTTAATATACTTTGCAGGAAACATATATAGAGCGGAAATATTCTCAGAACTTTTGCCTGGCACCCGTTACCATGGAAACAGAGACGTTTCAAAATGGCCGCCAAACAAGGTTTTATCGTGTTTATATCACAAACGAGTTCGGTGACCCCCAATTTTTTTTGCATTAAACGTTTACGCTATAGACTATTTATGTATGAAAAAGTTTTAAAAAAATTCTAACATGGGGGAATTTTTTAATAAGCAAAAATAACGTTTTTGTAAATAGAAAAAATTCCCCATGTTAGAATTTTTTTAAAACTTTTTTATAGATAGCGCATTTATGGCGTAAACGTTTAATGAAAAAAAAATTGGGGGTCACCGAACTCGTTTGTGATATAAACACGATTAAACCCTGTTTGGCGGCCATTTTGAAACGTCTCTGTTGCCATGGTAACGGGTGCCAGGCAAAAATTCTGAGAATATTTCCGCTCTAGATATGTCTCCTGCAAAGTATATTAACTTTTAGCCTTATAGTGAAATATTTAGGTGCTTAATATCCCTGTTTAAAATGTGCATCTAAAAATTTCGAAAAATTGTATCGAGCCACCTTAAAAATATGAAAAAAAAAGAATGAAAAATCAACGCTTAAGTCAGATTAAAAGGACAAAAAAGATGAAATCGTGAAGGTATGAATATAATTTCGAATATAAACTGGTTGTGTTTCTAGAAATTGAGTTGACTGGTAATATAGGCAGCCCACTGGCGAATGGTTTTATTTTTCATTTTAATTAAATGCACACTTTGATGAAATAGACACATTGACATTGTTAGTTTTCAATGGCCTATGATAACAAGGATGGCATCCTGGGGCCGGTTGTTCAAAAGCTGCAGGGTTACTTCAACTCTACTCTGGATTAACTCAAATTTTTACATCAATTTTTTTAATCATTCGTTTATGAAGTTGAACATGTTTTCTCATAAATATTTTGTGGATCAATAGAAGTCTTATTTTGTAAAGTCTTGCGATAAGCCGCGATGCAGAAACATATAAACCAAAACAGCGGAGTAAAATTTTACCCAGGGTTAGCGCTAACCTAACCAGGTAGACGGCCAGCGTACTGTTCGTAGATTTGTTTTTCAACAAAACCAACTCAAACAAGTTGGCATTATTGGGACGTATTTTAGTTCCCATTGCTACACCACTTATCTGATGTTAATGCTCACCATCAAAGGAAAAATTGTTGAGAGTGAGCACCAGTTCTGCTAATCTGACCAAAACAGTTGTCGACTTGTATGATTGCTTGTGGTTTAAGCTTTCGGCCCGTTAGTAAAGTAATTGTTCACAGGAGGGAGGAGGAAGCGAAGATAAGCAACAACGTCATATTAATTCAGAAGTAAAGCCAGTAGCTTAGCCAGTTCGAAGGATTCCGTTCAGTTTGCGACCCAAAGTTGAAGAAAAGATTAATGAACTTATAAATCTAGATATTATTGAACCAGTGGAAGGTCCAACATCATGGGTCAATCCAGTGGTAATAGTTTCGAAACCAAACGGGGAGATAAGACTTTGCGTTGATATGCACAGACCGAACGAGGCTATTATGCGTGAAAGGCATCCGATTCCCACAGTTGATGAGATTACACAAGGCATGAATGGAAGCAGTGTCTTTATTAAGCTTGATTTAAAGTGGGGGTACCATCAGTTAGAACTAACTCCTGAATCGAGAGATATCACCACGTTTGTCACCCATTGTGGATTATACAGATATAAAAAGACTATTGTTTGGAGTCAATTCTGCATCGGAGCAATATCAGCATGAAATTCAGAGAGTACTTGCAGGATTAGATGGGCAAGTAAATATATCTGATGACATTATTGTATACGGACAGAACCAAAAGGAACATGACACTCGATTAGAGAATGTTGTCAATTTTGGGTTAACACTGAATGTTGAGAAGTGCCAATTTAGCATGGATCGTCTGACATTTGTTGGAATGGTCTTGTCTGGAAAGGGTATTAGCTGCACAGAAGAAAAGGTGAAAGCAGTAGTCGAAGCTAGAGAACCAGAATCAGCATCAGAAGTGCGAAGCTTTCTGGGGCTGGTTAATTATTGTGGTCGGTTTATCCCTGATTTGGCAACCATATCAGAACCCTTAAGATGTCTGACAAAGAAGGGAGTACCATTTAGTTTTGGACCGAAGCAAAAGAAATCATTTCAAGAGTTAAAGAATCTGTTATCAAGTTCCACAACACTTGGTTATTTTGACAAAGATGCACCAACTCAAGTAGTTGCTGATGCAAGTCCAGTTGGATTAGGGGCGGTGTTGACACAGACCCTGAAAGATGGTCCACAAGTTGTAAGCTACGCAAGTCGCAGCCTTACTGAAACCGAAAAGAGATATTCGCAGACCGAGAAAGAGGCTTTGGCTCTGGTATGGGCTTGTGAGAAGTTCCACCAGTATGTATATGGGATTCGATTTGAATTGATCACAGATCACAAGCCGTTAGAGGTCATCTATGGGCCAAAATCGAAGCCTTGTGCACGTATAGAGCGGTGGGTGCTGCGAATGCAGCCATATCAATTTAAAGTAAAATATGCCCCGGGATCAAAGAATATTGCTGATCCGCTATCAAGATTGATAAATGGCCGTCAAACCTTCAGCGAGTATGAAGAAGAAGTTGAAAGTTATGTGCGGTTCGTAGCAGTGATGGCGATGCCTAGCGCGATGACAACTCGAGAAGTTGAAGAAGCCTCTGCGGATGACAAAGAACTTGCGACGGTCAGAAAGTCTATAAATGATAGTTCATGGGACAAAATGGCCTATAAACAATACATTCCGTGTTGTGATGAGTTATGTGTAATTGGTCAACTGGTACTCAGGGGAACGAGAGTGGTTATCCCGAAGAAATTGAGACCTAAGGTGCTGAGTTTGGCTCAGGAGGGGCATCTCGGTATTGTGGGAACCAAACAAAAGCTTCGAAGTAAAGTTTGGTGGCCAGGAATGGAAAAGGATGCAGAGAAGTATTGTAAGGCGTGCCATTGGTGCCAATTGGTTAGTCGATCTGATTTTGTAGAACCCATTAAAACAACTACTCTTCCTAGTTGCCCATGGAGAGATTTAGCTATTGATCTGTTTGGACCTTTGCCGACAGGAGAATCAATATTGGTTATTATCGATTATTACAGTCGTTATTACGAGGTTGTTATCATGAGATCAACTGTTACTGATAAGATAATCGAGAGTCTTGAATCTTTTGTAGATATCTTTTGTAGATATGGTCTTCCAGAAAGTATTACATCAGATAACGGACCTCAATTTATCTCTTCTGAGTTCAAAGCTTATATGGATTATCAAAGAATTCGACACCGAAGAGTTACTGCGAAGTGGCCCCAAGCAAACAGCGAGGTGGAACGACAGAATCGGTCACTTTTGAAGAGAATCCAGATCGCACAGGCAGAGAAGAAAGATTGGAGGAAAGAAATAAATGTATATCTGTCCTCTTATTGTAGTTTACCCCATCCCACTACGGGAGTGAGCCCTGCAGAGTTGTTGTTTGGGCGAAAAATACGAACGCGTTTGCCAGAACTTCAAGATGTGTACGTTGATCTGGAAGTAAGAGATCGAGATCATGAGCAGAAGAATAAAAGTAAAGAGTATGCTGATGACAAACGAAGGGCTTGTTACTCCGATATTTGTCCAGGTGATAAAGTCTTGGTTCAGCAAGAGAGGAAGAATAAATTCTCAACCCGATTCAATCCTGTTCCTTTTACGGTGGTGAGGAAATATGGGAATAGTTTGGTAGTCCAATCGAAAGATGGAGTACAATATTCACGCAATACCTCACATTGTAAAAAGTTCTAGAAGATTTTGAAGGAGAGTGTCAGTCAGAAATTGATACGGAACAAGTGGAGTCACCTACCAGTATAGGAAATAACGATATTCAACAAACGACCATTGAGACAGAGGTGCAAGATTTCGTGTCAACGCAGCAAGAAACAGCAGGTGAAGACAGAAGAATTCCAGAAGAGGGAGGGACAATCGGAGTAGTACAGGCGAGTATCGCTAAGAAAAACGTTCCGTTAAGACGATCAGAAAGGATTAAATAGAAACCTAGTTATTTAAACGATTATGAACATTGAAATTACTTCTAGTTAGTAGGATATTGTAATTTCTAGTTATGTTGTATGGTAAATAAGTACATTTGAAATGATGAACTTTTAGGACAATCTTAAACTTTGAAAAAAAAGAGAAAAAAGCTTTAAAATGAACTCAAAAAGGGATAGAAATATTATAGATTTTTTTTTTATTTAGAAACTTTTTCTGGAAAAGGAGGGATGTAATGTATGGGATTTAGTACCATTTGGTGTATGTGATATAGTTAGCTTTAAGTTAAATACCAGGCTCCTACAGCTCGGTGGTGGCTGTTAACAGGGCGCCTATAAGATAGGGCGGCGAAACGCACGGATGGCGTGTTGAAACATGTGTGATGTGCGGACCCCCCATGAAGATTCGAAAAACTGTTTTCAAAATGGCGGCGGGTTACTTAGAAGACGAAGAACTTGAGATGTTTATAAGTTTGGATGACACTGATCTGGCAACAAATGACACAAATTCGTCATTTCCAGTTGGAAATACTGTTAATTTCAACGTAAAGGAGTTAATTGCTGTTCTTGAAAGGGTTTCTTCGTGTTTTTTTTACTCGTCCCAGTCCGCTGGTTACCAAGACAAGTTTGTAAACATGGTTCCGTTTTATGGTTGTCGTTTTCCAGAGAAAATTGTGAAAAAGGTTCAAAACATTATGCAACCATTTGCACGTGGAATCGATGTTAATGAACAAGGGAGTTATTTTCTAAATTTTCCAGCTTTAGGAGCTATGGCAAGGTTTTCAATTTTTTAATGGAAATTTTGTATATTGAAAATTCGAAAACGTTGTTGCGACGCGGTCTAATGCTCTTGCAAGTAAGTTAGCATTTTCTTGTTTTGTTTTTAGCTTGGCCAGGTCGACATTGCCATGACGAAAGAAAAACATATCATATTTTCAATTCGCAACGTTATCTAAGTATATAATATAATTTAAAGGGATTTTGTGTTGATATTTTCCGACCTCGCAGCCGTGAAAACAATTTTGTTGTAAAAAGTTTGAATACGTTCACTTCTACAAATGATTGCAAAAAAGGTTCAAAACGTTGTGTAGTGAAATTTGCTACAAATGTTCGTCAATATTCTGTACACCAAATCTTGAAGTATAATGCTTTTGGGGATTTTCCTCACTGAGAAAAATCAAAATGTGTATGATACATCTAAAAACAGATGAAGTAGCCGTGCGTATCCGTAGTTTTAATTTGACAAATTCGGTCAGTTAACTTTTGAAGAAACAATTTTAAGACACAATATTAATAAGAAAGAGTTATAAATTACACAGGAGAAATCTTATTTTAGAAATCGCGTTAATAGTTTCAGAGATTGAGTGGTTTTAATCGAGCTTGTTAAAAACCAAGTAAATATTGTTTCGTTCGAGAATTTTTCGCCGACCGCCCCGTCCCAGTCCTAAAATCGCATCACACATGTTTCAACACGCCATCCGTGCGTTTCGCCGCCCTATCTTATAGACGCCCTGCTGTTAACGAAGCCAAAATGGCGAGTATGTACATTATAAAATTACACGTTCAACCGAGAAGAATCCGTGTCATTTACTGACCATCACGGCATATAACAAGACAAAAAGAACATTCGAATTGTTGTTCAAGAGGAAATTTGGAGAGATCTGCATAGCTAAGCACTTAAAACGACCACAAATTTAATGGAAGAATCAACCCTCCTCGCTCCTGTGAACAATTACTTTCCTCGTATAATTATGGGGAATCAATTGAGATATTCAAACATAAAACTATTCTGGAACGGAGACCTCTCAATAACATATGGTATTGTCTGTTCTAGTTCTTGCATGCTTAGTTTTTCTATTAGAGTAGAACCTTTATCTCTTCTTAATTTAACCGTTTATTAAACCGTGACTCTGTTGCGTGATGTGCTTACGCACATAGTTAGTTTGTAATTAAACTTTTCTCTGATGATGGCCCGAGCTCACGGGCCAAAAGCTTATATATTACATATATAATATATTACATGGTGTAAATCGCAAGCAATTAGGCATTAGCAATTATATTTAATAACACCATGCAAAACTTCAAAGAATATAACAAAATAAATACCTCTCAACGTTCTTTGAGATCATGCAACTGCAGAGTTGAGGAGGAATGCGCAATAAACCGTAATTGTCTCGTGAAAAGCATTATGTATAAAGCAGAAGTTAACTCAGATAATCGAGGAGTTGTCAAGCATTACATTGGTATGACATGACATCAGGTAACCTCAAACTTACATACGGCAACCACTTAAAATCTTTTAACCACTAACGTTACTCTGGAGAAACGGAGCTTTCGAAGTAGGTTTGGAAGCGCAAGTCGCAAGATAAACCTTTTGAGATAAAAATAATGGTCAAGAATGAAGCAAGTTCCCGCCGAATGCCCAGAAATGAAAGTTTGTAATTTATGTACCGAGGAAAAAAGATTAATCATGCTATCTGACAAAAGCAAATCGCTAAACTAAAAAACAGAGCTGCTTAGTAAATGCCAACATAGATATATAGACAGAGGCTCTTCCGATTTTATGTTGAAACGAGTGTCCCCGAGTTTTGCCTAATCCCACGTCATTCTCACGTCATTTCCACTCGCACGCAACCACCCGATTCTGTTCTGGTAAGCTCCTTCGGCCAAATTTCAATACAAAAGTATAGACAAAACGCTGTTCGAAAGGTGAAAAATTTATTTTTTCTGAAACTGGATCGGATTATCTTCATATTTGGACTAAATTTTTTTTATTTTTTAATGCCGTACACTTTTAAGAAAATACCTTTTTGAAATTCAAGTCGGATACAATTAGCGTGCGGTTTTACAATGTTCATCATCATGACCGTCCTGCACGATGCACCATCTATATTTTGTAAATACTATATAGCCATGCAATTATCACAATTTTCTTTATTTTGTTTCATCTATGGCTACAGCCCATATGTCGTACCTGTTGCTTGGCGCTGTGTCTCCTGGGTTTGAATGGGATCTGCTGGCCTCTATAAGAGGGAGAATAATTTCACTTAGAGTATGCTCCCGAGGGAAATAGTGAGTTTTGTTTTCCCAAGAGTCTGAATGTTTTCCCAGGCGAAGTCGAGGGAAATATTGAGACGCGAGGCAGCGAGGGGAAACAAAACTCACTATTTCCCGAGGGAGCGTACATTAAGTACTTTGATTATTCGATATATAGGAACAAACCAGTGGAACAACCGAACAAAAGCATACATGTTACACAACAATTTTATATCATAAACACTTTACCATCAACAAAGCCTATGTGACTTTATAATGCTAACAAACAAGAGTTCTCAAACCTTCGCATGCAGCCGACAATTAAATTAAATTACAAACAATATTTTCGCTTTGAAATGTCATTTTTTGTAGAAGTTAAATGGTCACATTTGCTCCGGCAAGCCTCAGAGTCAAAATTGACCGTTTCTTGGCTGTGGGAGGCAAAATTCTGAGTCAATATAGGTGACTGTGAGCTGTTTGTAGTTTGGTTACAAGCAATTTCGTCTGCTTCGTTTCGAGCATCGTTTAGTACAATTTCATGCACTTGAGGTACCACTGTACCAGCCTCAGTAAAGCAAGCGCTATACTAAGCGAATTTGAAATTTGTTTTTGTTTCATCTCTGAGAGTCGTCTTGAATACGAGCGAATGCTACTCTCAGGCCTATGCCCAGAGACACGCATAATATGACGAGCTTCAAAATTACAGTCTTCGTGTAAAGAGACAGCTGTCGCCCTATTTTATATATATATATATATATATATATATATATATATATATATATATATATATATATATATATATACACCATTTGCAAAAACGTTGGCCGCAGATAAATAGATAGATAGTCGAGATCTAATTAGAATTGCATATGTTGTGTAATATTATAGAAATCCCATGCAAATGTAATCATATGCAATTCTAATTAGACTTCGAGTATCTATCTATCTATCTATCTGCGGCCAACGTTTTTGCAAATGGGTGTAATATATATATATATATATAATATATATATTTATATATATATATATATATATATATTTATATATATATATATATATATATATATATATATATATATATATTATTATATAGGCGTGCACATTCCTGTCGGCCTGTTACCATATACTAGCTAGAACATATTTAGGCGTCGGTATAATATTTTTCTTACCTTTATCTTTGCAGTGACACACAATTTGAAATTTAATAAGTTACTGGTTCATATCAACTATTGACTTAAGTTTCTTTTTCTTATCACAAGCATTTAAGCATTTAAAACGTATAATACCAAATGGATGGTTGCTGGCGAAATATAGTGATTACATAAATAAAAATATTAGAAAATTAGACACCTGAGTTGTTAGTTATCATCTGAAATGTTTTAAGCAATATTCTATCATGTTTAATGTTGTATATAGGCTCTTCATGTCCTTCAACCACACGCTAGCATGACACTAACTTTATGTGATATACGCCTACATACGTTTCTCGTACGCTACGTTAGCGCTGGTTAATATGCTAGAGATACGCTGCTCGAGGACACGCTTCATAGGAAACAATCGCTTGGAACTTAAATATGTTGACGCACATTTGAGATCTGTCGTTGTTCTGGTTTTATTATTCGCAAGGTCTGATTCTCAATCAGCGACGCATATCGAGAAAAAATTGGGGCTGTCATTCGTCCTGGGACTGCATTGTAGCGCTTGTATGTGACTGGAAAGGGCGTATACATTTCAGGGAATATGCATATGTGTAGAGGGTAAAAAATAATTTTTTAGGATGAAGACTGAAATTGAGACCCACGCAAACTTAATTTCGGAACATTCAGGATATAAAATGACCTCGTTTGTGTATTAATATACTAATCAGTACCCGTTATTCTCGCTAACAAGGTCCTGAAGCTAACATTCGTTGAGATAAATCATGCATGTAATATATAGGCGTGTACATGCATTGCCTTTTAGTCATAATAGTATATTTTATAGCAGCTAAATTATATTTTCTTACCTTTTTAACTTTGTAAAGATGGTTGAATTTTGGGTTATACATTCTTCCATCAGCGTAAGATATCTCTCGGAGTGTCTTACTGTTGAGCTCACACAGACCTTTATCGGTTCCAGAGGTTTTAAAATTCACTGAAGCACACGATTGATCACCAACACAATGCATGGAGCATTCCAACTCGGTATCTGCATGTTTGGTATCAATAACATGATTCGCTAAGTATATTTGTTGATGTTTTCGAAAAAAAACCTGATGAATTATTTGACATTCGCTTGGCTGGAGTATTTTATAAATTAAAATCAACGCACAAATGCTCATCAAGGCAGCCATTTTTAAAATGAGGTATACCTGTTTTGACACGCAGTTTTAAATCGATTAATTACTTATTCATCAATTATGTAATATAGTTTGCGTTCGCAAAGTAAATATCGTAATATAAACGCAAAATTGACCTGGTTTTTGCTAGCATTTAAGACGTTATCTAATTCTAAATAATTGGCGAAATATAGTGATAATATCAAAGACACCAGCGAAGCTATCAATTTTCCTCGCAAAAATGTTGTAATATCAATTTTTCTTCAAAACACCTCTGTGCTTGGCAGAACTTTTTTAACGACTTGACGCTTGTAATTGATATGCGCGTCATAGGATAAAGCGATAATTGAAAGGACCACTCAGCGGTGCGAAGTGCGCTCGTTTCTTTATGCAAAAATATACAAAAACTGGCCGGAAAGATGGCATGAACTGTCGGCCAAAGATGGCATGAACTGTCTAGGAAGATGGCGTAACACATGCTCCACATTTGCATTCAAAGGTTCCGATTCAAGTGGTACTTCTAAAGCCTGCTGCACACTGATGCATTTTGAACGCACACATGTCATTGTCACTCTTATACGTTTTTCTAATTTGCGGGGAAATATTTTGTCATTCGTATCGTAAGATTAGCAAATATGACAAAATATCCCAATTTGTCTACAAGTCTCATAGTCCAATATTCCAGTCAAAAGCTGGATACAAGATAATTTATTCAGGATTTAAGCCGGCTTCCGGTGCTGGGAGGCTTCATATCCGGCCCTCCAAACTCCAATCAACATCCTCGGTTACCAATTGTCGGCGATGGCTATTGTCGGCGATCACCGGAGAATGAAAGTGCTTTGTATACTTTGTATAAATTAACATTGTCATCGCGGTTACCAATAATATATCGCCGACTGCCGTTTAATTAACAGATAACAAGTCCTAGATGCCTTATAATTTTCCCCAGCATATTTATAATGATTTTATATATCTATAAGTATAAAAAGCCCGCAGTTTCTAAGTCGCCACATAATCAATGCTGCATGTACGCGGAACTTATGCACAACACATTTATTAATCATATTCGGCCACTTATACTTGTAGGGTTTTTCACTTATCGTGTTTCACTTTTAATACGCAAGAACACGCAACGTAAAAGTCTAAATCCATGCATATGTAGCTATGTTTTCTTTAAAAACTTGAAAGAACTTAGTTTTCCGCATATTTTGGTATGCATTTTTTGTCCAAGATGTTTATAAAATAATAACATTTAGAAGCCGTGGGTGCATACATACGTGCGTAAGAAAACGTGCAAGTGATCGAGGACGGCAAATATTCATATACCCATCACGTTCAGCATTATTAAGTCCTGTTTTTAAACTAATCATTTTTACGATGACGATCTGACCAGCTAAATTTGCCACTTTTTATAAGTGCAAAAGGACAGAAATCCTGAGTATCGTATAGCAAAACTATGGAATGAGTTACCTTCTGACATTAGACTATGTGAATCAATTAGTGTTTTTAAATCCAACTTGAAGAAAGAGTTATTGAGACAGTTCCGTATGGACCAATGACAATGTATATAATTTTATATATATATATATAACTATATAATTACTAGATTGAAGAAAGATTTATTAAGATAATTTTAATCGACCATCAATAACAATTTGACGCATGCCAAGTTTTAAATAGACAATGTAAATATAGTTTTTTTAAATATAGTAGCATAGTAGTTCTAACTTCCTATAGTAGTTCTAACCTAATATATTTTGTAATTATCGTAGTATATTGATTCTGAAAAGCCCTTTTCAGGGATGATCAATTGTATATTCATTCATTCATTCATTCATTCATTCATTCATTCATTCATTCATTCATTCATTCATACGATCTATTAAATGCTTAATTAAAAAGCTCTCCAAATGCTTATAATTCAACACATGGGTCAATAAATGCATACTAAAAATATATGCGGTAGTTCTTTCGATTTATTCACCTATAACTTTTTATTTATGCACCTAGCTTAAAAAGGGAGAATGGGGGGGTCCGGGAATCGGGAAATCAGGGAAGGGAATCAAGGAATCGGGCAATGGGAAAACGGGGAATCCTGATTCCCATTGTAAAAATGTGATATTTTATTATTATCATTAACTGTCGGCTTATTATCGCTTAATTCCCGTCCAAGCCAAATTAATTGACGGTTTTTTAAAACCACCGGACCAACACAATTTGCAGAATTCACCGACAATTTTCCGGACTGAAGTACGCCGATTTCACAAAACTCTTCCTAGTACCACCCTGTGTTCAAATTATCGGTATTAACCTACTATATCCGGTATTAACCTACTAGTAAGTTAATACCGGATAACTTTAACACAGGATAGTAACGAGAGGTATAGTACACACGTAAGGTAGTATACACGCAAAAACGCGCAAGTTGTAACAAGTCTGCAAACAAGTTGTTACGAGTCTGTTCACAAGTTTGCAACAAGATTTTTTCGCACTGTTCACTGCATAAAATAGGTTTTCTCATTTGAGTAAATTTTTGAGTTTTAGAGTAAACTTTACTCTTTCTTGCAAGTAAACGAAAACTCAAAATGTTGGGTGAAGTTTCACTCAAATTTTTGGGTATATTATTTAATGAAATTGACGAGTAAAATTTATCCAAGCTTAAGCATGAGTAGCCTCCTTCGCAGGCAACTCTTATGTATTAGAAAAGCATATTTGGCTTGGGCTAGCTGTGTTGGGGAAGGCGAGGAAAAAAACGGGAGAGATGCCTGGCATATATCGACACAACAAATTGCACTGCGCATTACAGCGCATACCAGCTCATCCATGCTAATTTTAGAAAAAAATGACAAAATCATACTGTGTATAGGCGTCAGGCGAGAGTGGAAAGGAGTGAAAGAATTTTGTTACAAATTTGCGTAAAATTTTCTGGTTTATTTATTAAAGAACGAATAAAGTGTTGTTGTAATTGTAACGTTAGGGTTAGGGTTAGGGTTAGGGAACCTAGGATCGGTTGCGGTTCGAAGCAACATGATTGAGATGAAAAGCCCATGTGACTCTGCACTATCCCCTGCAATCTGATGAACTTTAATCCCTCCTCAAAAATGCCGATATCATTTAGGCCTCGAACATCTGCTTTCATCTGGTTACTACAACAGCGTAACACTCTGCCAAAACACAACTTGATTCTCTCTTGAACATCGCTCCGTATCCTGGTGTTCTGTTAAGGTTCGCACCCGGGACTTACTACTACATGTGCACAAGAAATAACAACTTCGCCAACCGCAATCAGAAGGGACGATATCATGTTTACACCAATAGAAATGAGTCCAGACGTGTTATTGGGCCAGGGATTTTCAACAAAACATATATCTAGCTTTGTTAATTATCTTGATTCAAGAACCTTTTCTTTTGAACCTTTGTGGATTAAAAGGCATGATATATGTAGCTCATTACGGTTTACTGAGAAGATATGGTGCCATAAAAATAATAAATGTATCAAGTAGCTATAGCATATTCTATATAATTTTGGACGTTGTTGAAACCGCGTGAATTTAGTTTTGCAGAGTTATCAGTGAAAATCCAAATTATTTGAGAGTCATGATCTGAAGTATGATCCGAGAATCACTATTTCTCACCTCCATTATAACTCTCCGGAGTCAATCAACTATATATACAATACTACACCAGAACTGAAAAGGATAGGTTGACCAATACTAAAAAGTGTGTCAACCATTTGTCGAATAAAAAAAGTCGAGCATACTAAATCACTGCTGTAATTTCTTAGTTCCCAACGGTGGTTGCTCATCCTTGTGCTTTTTCTTTTTCTTCTTTTTGTGTTTTTTCTTATCATGTTCGAGGACATCACTGTTAACTTTCCCGAGACTCTCTTCATCAGCTTTGGACACACTGGTCGGGGGAGCGTCTTCTTCCTCGCCAAGCTATAAATAAGATAAATAGTCGTACTCCATGTTATGACGTACGGGCGGTGTGCACAAAGACGTAATCAACGTGAGCTGATGCGTCAATGTCCCACGGGAGCAGAAATATAAAACCGACACAAATGCGAGTGGTAAATGGCAATGTTAATTCTTTTAACTGAGGTTGATAACAACAAAGAATTCGAATTTAAGTGTGCCGTTTGCAGCTCGCCGTAAACATCTTAAAGTTCCCCTAATGATTTGGTTTTCCCAAAATGAACCTCGTTTGAATTAATTAAAGTTAGTTATATTGCGTTATCTATGGCTGTTAATATTGTAAAATTCAGAGATGGTAATACGGTTAGTGATGTTTCCGTATTCAGAGATTATAGGATAATATTCCGCAAAGGACCCAGCACCTGATAATGTCGTGATATTATTGCAGCAGGTCATGACCATGGCATCGAATATGGTAGCGGTAATAATTTATTATAAAAATTATTCATTGCGATTAAAGCGATGGATATTGTAATTATCGCATGATATTAACCATTCCCCCCTCCCCACCGCCCTCTGAAAAAACCGTCTGAGATGATTTACATAAACAAATCTTATACCTTTATCTTCAATTTAAGTTTTTGACTACCAGATAAATGCGACTCGTCGGACTGTGAAGCATTTAAAAAACTCTCTTTCATAGACGCATCTAAACGAAACAGAAACTAAAGGTTCATAAAATAAGTAATAAAGCACAAATGGGGATTTGTGATTCATAATTCAGTTGTTCGGACACTGCATGTTTCTATACTTGTAAAGAGCCCATGAAATATTCCTAGGATGTTTAGCTGTCGATTTTATTCGACTCTACAGAGGTGGCTAAGTTATCCAGCTCAAACGGGAAATAGAGATGACAGTTGGATTTCCACCTGCAGAATAATGGTGTTCTAGGGGAATATTTGCATATTTTCTTATGAATATTTTGTCAACATTGAAAAGAACATATGCAAATGTTTCGCTAGCGAACGGGAAATCCACCTTAAGTGAAAATCCACTTCTCAAAAATACGTTTTTATGATGCATAGAAAGCACACAGTCCGTCACATTATAAATATCTGAGTTAAGTTCAAACATTTGCTACGAAACAACACCAGAATTTTTTATATTACATTGGCAAATGTCACATATTAAGAATAATCTGAACATCAACAGTATAATGGAGATTGTATACCTTTATCAACTTCCATATCTTTTATACTCGTTTCTTTGGAAATTTCTTTCTTGAGCTCAAAATCCTTATTACAAACAAACAATATTAATTAAATAGAAAATCACCCCCCGGTAATAACCTTTCCACTCTTAAACTCTCATACCTGGCCTTTCATGGGTGAAAGCGAAGAGAAGTTTGTAATCTTTTTTTCTTTTAAATCAATAAGAACTCCCATCTAAAAGCATAGAATGTGTTCAGAACTGATCCTTTTCCTATGCCATAAGCTCCTTGCTTTAAACTGAAACACTCAGATTTCAAACCAGATATAATCCAAAAGAAGAAAGATAAAACAGTTACTTTTCAATGAACTGTTTAATTCGCTATACAGGGTGAGTAAAAAAAAACTGACACCTTTGAAATTCAAATTAGCTGCGAACTTATGCCTGGAATATGACAATTTCCATGTACAATGAACAAAAACGATTTGATAAAACTGTTCTTTTGTATTTACAGAGCTTAGAATGCATTTTAAACTCCCAAAGGGAACAAACTTTATGTTTTAGGTTAATTAATATGATATGCTTCGTATACCAATGAAATATTTTAGGCAACTTCTGTCACATTACAACCGCTATGCGGCTAATTTGAATTTCAAAGGTGTCAGTTTTTTTTACTCACCCTGTACATGCATGGATCTAATCAAGAAAAGCTTACGCAACAACAAAAACAATTTGACACATCTGAATAAGATTTCATTACTTACTCCTTGTGTTGGAACACATCCTGGAGAAACTCTCCCCCACAAGGTGTTATAAAGATCCATAAAATCACACCTTAAGCGAGAATCTAATGAACATTTGCTATAGAAAAAATTCAACAGGTTTAATTACTTACTTCAGTTGAAAAGCAAACAAACTTGCATGCAAATAAATTAAATTTCCAATGTTTTGTTAATTGGTACTGAGGAAAAAAACATGTTTCAGTTTAGTCTGAGTCAAGAAGATGAAACATCGAGATAACTACCTTGCATAGCTCCATATTTTGTTCACAAGATCCAAATTATCCAGTTGGGAGTCCGACTTTCTTGTAAATGGCGGATTCTCAATTAACATTCTCACAATGGAATGCCTAAAACGTATAAATTTTAGCATAGAAAATGGTGCCAAGCCAGTGTGCATTTTCACTTCAACTCTCGGCTCGATGAAGTGTAACAACACAATTACAATACCGTATGTAAGATGAAGGATCCTTGTTTGCCATAGTAAACAACAATTCCAGTACATCCCCGTTACAATCAGCTAAAAAGAAAAAAGAGTAACAAATTAGGGAAAATATAATTATGAGCAGAGAACAGAAAGATAGATATAGAGAATACTGAACGCATTGTTCTCGGGATAGCGGCTCGTTGTACATTAAAGTATTTGAAATTATAACCAACCACACCACATGAAATTCACGGAATGCTCTAGAAGAAAGCCTTTGTGAATACAGATGTCTAATAATCGACCGGTTCAGAGCACTGATTTTCATTATAGTAGTATTTCTTCATTTCTTCCTTCAATATTATGGCGATTATAGTTATCTTTGGCAAATAAAGTATACTTTCTGCAATCACTTTAACCAACCTTTAATAATACCAACTAAACATTCAATAGCTGTCAGTCGAACATTTTCAAAATGACCAATTCTAAAAAATATCGCAACCTGAGTATACAGTTAGAGGGAAACATAAATTTTGGTGCAGATAGAATGTTGAAAGGATATAAGAAGTTGCTGGGACGAGCCGTGGCTAGAAGCGTAATTGGGAAGGAGTTCTTACGTTCGACTGATTTCTTTTTCACTTTGTTGTTTCTATATGATACTGTATGAGCATGAACACTTGGTTTACACACGTTAACACGTGTATAAAAACACGTCACGTTGTGTATTAAACCAGGAGGTGTTCTTTGAAACATGGTCATAGGTGTGATGGTATACATGAAAAAATATTCTCATACTTGGCAAAATACTTGAACACATCAGGATCGGATGGAACGTGGCCATTGATCTGAAGTAGTCGTAAACCTTTCAAGCAACTAAAACAAAATTTGTATTTAAGGAGGATTAAAAGGAGATTCAATTTTGGATTGTTAAAAAGAGATTAAATTTTGTACCACCCACCTTGATGTTACCACATATTTATACGAAGGAAGGAGCTTCTCCAAGTTCAAATATTTTGTGATTTCTGCCAGGATAACCTGTTTTTCAAATATGAGATTGCTTGAAAGAATGCACGGAAAGTATTTTCACCTTTTAAAAATATGCAGTGACAAATTTTAACATTTAAGATTAGATGGAAAAGCCATCATATTATTGGTGTTCGTAAATAATTAACATGTCTATCCATACACTCGAACTAAAATAAATTCAAAACATACCTTGCATTCTTCAGAAAGCTTTAAGATTTGTTTACCTTCACTAGAGGAGAAAGCATCATTTTTGTAAAATAATACAATATGTAAAATATGGCTAATCCTATACGTTTCGAAGCAAAATTTGGACTTGACTTGTATATTTTCGAGACGAGGACAACTTCACATAATGATTTACCTGTTTGTCATAACAATGGGTACCGTTGGTGTGATGGTATTGAACAAACCATTTAGAATGTCGCTCACATAATCACTATCAGAATACTAGCAAGAGAATTGTGTTCGTTATGATAGAAAGAATTCAAATAAAAAGAATTACTAGAACAACTTTATACTTTACAAAAAGGAAATAACGCTCCTTGAAATAACTTCTTAGCAAAATTAGTTCGCAAACACCTGATAGAACACACATATATACTATACGACGTCGCAACCTAAATGCCATCCTACTTCTTACTAACTCTATACTGACCAGTGCTAGAGTAAAAACGTCGAGAAATTTGTTACTTCAACCATAACTTAAATTGTCCCCTATGGTATATACTGGATATATGACTTCTTCAAAAAAGCAAGTAAAACTACAATCTGTATTTACCTGGTTTAATCTATTGTCATTATATTTTAGAAGATCGAGAAGAAACTGCAGGACAGGTTTTGGACATTGTGATCGCGTGTCTCTACAAAATCCAATCGATGAGACTAAAGCCTTAAAAGTAAAGAAGTTTCGTCAGTTGCAAGTCATCTTGTATCACCGTGCATTATGTGCAACGAAATGATGGGCCACCGCCCGTCCAAACCGTTCTAAATGGTGAGCTACGCTCTCAAAAGTTCAAAATGATGTCGGGTTTCAATTCTTAACATTGAATACAATAGGGTTTATTGATTTATAATTTATTTTCACATGACAGTAGAATAATAGACGACGCGCATTTCAATTCGGTAAATTCATCGTCATAAATTATCTCTGATGGTATAGGTAGCATAATTAAACTCGTTAGTACAATGTGAAAAATATCCCATGCAGATATCATTACGCCAAATGGTATTGGATCAAAAACCATACACGACAAGTGAACTGTAATAAAACCTTAACAAGACATTCCTAGATAATTATTCTCTACGTCTGTCTCAAACGTTCAAAAATACAGAAAAACTACCTTCAAATTTGGCTGCAAAGATGGCGGTTTATTACAGTTTAGGTTTTATTACAGTTTACTGTGCTGTGGACGACCAACCCAGATAGGCCGTCACCTGTGCCAAATAAACGCCTTATATATAGAAAGGGCATTCCGTTGCACACAACGAGAGGCTAAATAATTTGACGAACATAAGGCAACTCATGAGCCTGGAAATAGATATTTGGGAAGCCCCCGTTCATAAGTGTGGACAACTACTCAAAAACAGTAGAGTGAAAAACAAATTCCGGAAATAGAAGACATCTTGAGAGTCAATATATGATTCAAACAAGACGCTGTTTGAAACATTTTGAGGGAAAGAATAGATAACTTTTATAGTAGCATATGACTTACCCTCTGTACAAAATAGTCGATAAAATTCGAAAAATCGTTATATCTAACAATTGTTGAGCAAGTTTGTGATCCAAACAGGTCTTGAAATATTGCTATTAAAGACAAGTGAATGTTCCAGGCTTCTCCAGTTTCATTTTGTAACTAAGGATAAAATTACACAACGTCATGTAGTAATTCTGGACGATTAAGTCCAAATTATCTTAGGGATGCAAGGACAGTGAAAAGAACGCCCTCGATATCTGACAAACAGGACGTCATTCCTAACATAATCCAACCAGATACTCCGCCAGTGAAAATCTAGAGTATTAAATTAAACATAACCACACAATTTTTTTCATGTTTTGATAAAGCACAGTGCGCTTTTTCCTAGTAGGGAATATCTCATTGTGATTTCATGCATGCACAATAAGGAATTGAATACGTGAAGTGAAACATGCTGATTGTGCATGTTAGATTGGTAAAATTTACATTAATAGCATTAGATTGTTAATAAGTACTTAAATCACATCACTCATTAGCTGTGATACAACCTTGTTCCCAGGGTGTTCGCTTCGTGAATTCTCTGGGGACACCTCCGGAAAGTTTGTACTATTTTAAAATAAACTGACTTCTTATATTATAGTTCAGTGCTGAATAAGGATTATTGAGAACCTTAAAAATCTCTGCACGTTAATTTTTACCTTAGCAAGTCGCCTTATCGCATCCAAACGAACTCTGTAGAAACATTCTTTCTGTTTTGCTATATCTATAAATGCCATCATAGTTTGATGTATGGGAAAATTCATCAAGTTCTCAAGAGCCTAGAATAGAAAGGTGAGCTATGTATAGAGTTCACTGAGGAAAATTTGTGCTTCCCTGTATCTTGAAAAAAGATTTCTGCTTCCCTGTATCTTGAAGGAAAATTTATGATTCCTGTATGTTGAAGGAACATCAGTGAACAAAACCTGGAACGCTAACATGGTGTAATAAAACCTTGATCCCTGGAACGCTAACTTGGCCGCCATCTTTAAGCCAAATTTGAAGGTAGTTTTTCAGAGTTTTTGAAAGTTTGAGACAGACATGGAGAGCTATTAAACTAGGAAAGTCTAGAACTATGTAAAATACAATCATTTGCTAATTTTTATAAAAATTGAACGAGAAACAGAGTCAAAAACTCAGTCTTTTGCTTCAATTTTTGGCTTTAACTACTTCGCTGAACTATAGGCGATAGCGTTCCAGGTTTTATTACAGTTCACTCAAAAAGATTTATGATGCCTCTCGGTATATTGAAGGAATTATGTTGACAGAAGATTTGTGCTTCCAGCTTTTTTCTGCATAAATACTGAATTATATCAATAAAAGGATTTTACCTCCGCCTGAGCAATCACGTCTCTTTCATGCCTCAATTGGAAATGCCACATGAAGTCAGATTGCTTAAACAACACTTGACGAATAAGATTCACCTCAGGATCGATACGAATCCACAGAACAGGAGAATCGGAGCTGGAAATGTACAAAATATTTCATTTTCTTTATTACGTTTGCCAGATAAATAATTTAAACCTCAATCTTAGATAGAAGAATAACTGCAAGTGATCTCACAACACGAAGTTGTGTTATAGTTACGCATTAAATAGCTTCTTACTCCATGGAATCAAGATCTATGTCAACTTCTTCCCCAGTCATCAATGGGATCTTTTTTCGCTTGTTTCTAAAAAGTAACCCACCCTTACAATGTATATCTACAATGGTAGAGCTAAGGGCGGTTTCAGGGCAGTTCTATTTAACAATTAATCGCGGAAGGCGAGGCGATTACAAGCCTATATTCACTGAGCTAAAGGCGAAGTGAATATAGGCTGTTAATCACCGAGCCTGAGGCGACTAGTTGTTTTAGTATAAATTTCGAGGTGTTTACAAATAATCAACATAATTTATAAAAATTAATAATTATTCAAATTTCCTATTTGAAAAACAACAACAAAAAGCTATAGTCACCGACCAGTAACTATCACTTCAGAGACAGTGAATCTTGACCAATCAGAATGTAGGAAAATCAATAGTCACCTCGAAGTTTATACTAAATGTAAAATAGTCACATGTGTAGAACCAGAAGAATGCGACTTCTTAAGAATAACCTAAATTGTATCTTAAAAATTGCCAGCTGTTCAAGACTATTAGATTTTAATACACGCTCCTCATGAGCAAACACAAAAATCTAAAATAATACCTTCTGCTCTTGGAGTGACACTGTAACTCATGATGACTTGAACTATCTTCAATTTGCACCGTATGTTTGAAGGATCCATCTAATTCTTGGATACAAACAGTGAGTGGACCCTATAAAATCCACATTAGAGTACTGTACAGTCAAAATATCTTACACTCACTGGCGATACAGAAGAAATCTCCCTTCAACTATGCTTCAACTGAACCCTGGGATCGCGGAAGATGTGTAAGAGGGGAGGGCAAGGAGGATGTTCACAAATTCACGTTCAGCATTGTTTTTTTCTTTTGAAATTGATTGTTTCTACGGTCTGCTAACATTGGTATATGAATATATCCCCCCTCCCCTTTCTCACTCTGACCAAACCACTACGACAAGATCCCATTTACCATGTATTTAAACGTTCCTTTTCTTAAATCTTGTACCAAATCCAACTCCACAATATTACGTTTACGATTAAACACAAACCGACCCGAAAATGACACCACTCCTGACCTGTATCTAAAACCAATATTAAGGAAGAAGTTTTTTTTAAATTTTATACTTTCCTCACTAGTATTCTCTCCTGAGCTAATCCTGTAGGTTATTTCCGATATGTGAATTATGTGACAACATTATTTATTCATTTCACGTAATTTAATGTCGCATAAACGCCTTTAAATATTCTTCAGCGACTGGAAAAATGTACAAGAACGTCTTTGGGGCCTTTGGCTTTTAACTCTTCTGAGAAGGCTCTCAGGTTGAAAGGTCAAGAGGACCGAAGCCATATTTGATGACGGGATAAACTGCAACGCTGTCTGGTTTATTTTGCACGTAACAAATAAGTGAATAAAAAAATATTGTATTATAGTATACTAAAGCAGACTGGGTTGTCCTAATTGTTATGTGATTAAATTTTACTCACGCATTAAAATTATTAATAATTATATGAAGTATTCCAAATCTCACTAACATCCAAATGATAATTTCAACTTAATTATATCGTTCTTGTTAAAAATGAAACGAGCTAGAATACAGAACAGAAATACATTATTCTATAATCGGATACATCCACTGCTCAACAAAAACGTTGAGGTCTTTCCCAGAGACAATGGAGATGGAACGGAGAAACTAAAAGTAAAATGTGTAAATCAGATTTTCATCTAGTCCTGTATCATCATAAAAATCATCATCATCACATCCAAAAATCATATTCCATATTCATATATATTCATAGATGTTCAAATAAGCGTAAAAACGATCACTATCGAGAGAAATCACTCGGGTATAAGACGAATATATGAATTTACACTACCCAATTAAGCTTCTTTGGCGAGACACCTGTATATAAATACTGTATGCTCTGGATAAACTTGTATATAAATAACAACAGTAAGAAAGATAGTAACAAACATCGCATATTCACCCCTGTCGTGGACAGCAGCATGTTTCTCCAGGAATTTATATCTTTTGATTTCACGGCAGATTTTGCGAGTGAGAGAAGTTTATTAAAAACCTTCAAAAAAAAGGAAAACTACTTTAAAAATTTTATTTAGGTACATTACTATAAGGTTCCAGGAAACTTTTGTTTTTTCGACGAGTTTCTTCATCGCCGACCATAGAGAATATTTTACATCAGTAAAATCTAAATAGACGGGAACGATAACTCCATTCTTAAGGCTAATGGCGGGAATCGTGCATTTCAAAAGGACTAAGAAGAGTGTCAAAGAGTGGAAAAGTGTTTTTAAGGAAAAATTGCAAGGAAAGTGCGTTTTCTAATCAATATATATTGGCTTTAATTTAAAATATCAAATGAAAACATTCCCTTTGATATATAAATAGACAAAGACACTCAATGCACTTACTTGAAGTAATGGCTCCTGTCCAATTCGCATTTCAATCAATCTCAATACCAAATGTGCTTTACTGCACATAGCTTGAAGTTGCTTGGACGATGTCAAATGTGGATGCATATGAATGAAACTTGGTTGATAACATGCATTGGTGACTGTGTCGGAGTCAGTGTCCGAACTTAGTTCTTCTGAAGGTGATGAGTATTTGCTGTGCAGAGGTAACAAACCAGGTCCACCAATCTCAAATTCACACACTTTTTTCATCTCCTAAATAATTATTCATATTTTTTACAATTAAGTATATTACGTTTATCGTTCTTATAACTATTCCTCAGATCATCGTTAGAAAAAGTCGCATTTATAAAACGAGCCTATTAGGCTAAAAACTACACATTGTGAATCCTCCAACCACAAACTGGACATTATAGTTATAGAGTGCTAATCAATCTGGCGAAGCAAAACATACTTATATATAAATTTTCAACCTGGCCCAACTAGAAAATACTTTTTAATTCAACATATTGTTATTTTATATGTTTTATAATTTTCTGTCGAATGTGTACCTCTTGTATCCAATTCCTATATTCGTTATTGCCAAATGCTTTCTTCATATAAAGCCCGTATAAATAAACTGTTATTCCGGCCTGAAGCCATGAATCTGACCTACAAAGGTAGAGTCAGCAAAAAATTGTTAGGATATTTGATAATTGTTCTTTTTGCACAGACCGAGCTCGAAGAGCGAAGTTCGTACAAAAAGATCGAGGTCCGATATTTCTCGGTAAAGACCGAGAAGGCGAGGTTGATGAAAAGTTTATTATATGACATAAGGCATTTATTTGCACTTGAAACAAACAAGAATGCATGAATTCGTATTGGTAGCCTGGTACGCATTTGATAAATACAAAAACAAAATATTGAATTATTTAGTTTACCTAAACTGTCTTGAGACGTCTTATTCATTTCAAAGTCAATTAAATTTACTCTTGAGCATTTATTTGTGCCTCTTTCATTCAGAACTCCTCTGTTTTTCATCTCGTAATGGATCGGCGGTAACGCCGATCCATTACGGGAAAGTAGCGGTCCATTACGGGAAAGTAATGGACTGATGAAAATTCTTCTCAGCCAATCACTGAGCTCTATTTCACGGGAAGTGACGCTTGCCATATAATTAAATAAAACTGTTTTCTTCGCTAAATACGACAAACGACTTAATCGACGTTATTTAGCTACACACAACGCATTTGTGAAATTAGAAGGCTTGATACATGCATACCATATTCTAAAACAATTTCAATTTACCACTTCTATGAGTTATAGTATAAATGTACGTTCAAATATAGTTACTAAGATGTACTGTACACATTATCGTAAATTAATTTTCTAATCTCCGTATTTTTCAATATTATTATCTATGCTTAAGTCCCAAAAAATTCGGGGAGAGAACTTTTGCTATGAAAAAGAAGGAGGCAAACAGTGGCGTGATTTGATTTATATTAAATTCAAACCAAGCGAGTTTGGATATAAAATCAATTTATATACACCGTAGCACTTTGCCATCGAAGAGCAAAATGTATTGTTGTACCGGCCAAAACCGCAAGGAAAATCACACTATTAATCTTCAAAACATACCAGGTGTGGAGTGATAAATAACAACCAAAAAACTGACGAGCTAACGCTAGAGCCAACGTCTTCCTTGTGTAGAAAGTTTGATCAATCATCCGACTTGAATGAAGTAAATTTGTACTATAGGAAGCAAAGAAAAATGAAAAATAAGTACAATTAAGCCTCTGTTACACAGGATTTGTTGCCCAAATAAAATGGATCCGACAAAATTGGATCGAGTGAACAGACCTTAAAACAAGGCAAAGATAAAAAATTGACATATTAAAATTACTGTAAAAGTTAATTTATTGACAATGGCATGATTAAATACAATATAAAGCAAAATACAATATAAGTATGTCTGTACAGTTTCAGGTATTGCGATTCAGGTATTACACCACTTCTGAGCTACCAAAAATATATCTTATCCTGCATTTCTGCATCGTTCTTTAAAACATCTTGCATACATACATGAAGAGGAAATTACCTGCAAATGGCCAGTGTGGCATAAGAAGACGTTTCTTCAAATGGAAACTCAACGAAGACTTGTTTATAACTTGTATAAGGAAAATGACAACTCATCGACTCCTCATAAAATTCGAACACCTTAAAATGGAATGTTTAATAAGTAAAATGTCTTCCTTTTTGATAGGATTGGATAAGTAAATTTAAGAGCTTCAGCCAAAAATTTACAAAGTTTGTTATTGTTCGCAAGTTAGGTCGCCAACATGGCAGCAGGCCAAAGATTTAGCGGATTCTAAACCAGCAGTTAACGTGGTAGCCAGAAAACCTGGCTTTCGAATTGTATTGTATAACAACATTTCAACGGCGTGAACGACCAATCAGAATCCATGAATCATTTCTGATTTCGATTATCCCAGAGCCTTTGTTTCCTCGCCAGAGGAAAGCGCGGGCTGGGAGAACAAGATTGAACCCGCCTGCTGAAGTAGCTACGTTTTGCGGTTAAGTTCGAGATTTTGGAATCTACTTTTCAATTCGAGCCTAGAGTTGTTTGTTCGCGTTGTATGTTGGCGACTAACTGGTGGTTTTACACAAGAACTTATATATTATAATTCCTGCAATGCAAAACTTCCCTGCCACTATACACTTGAGATAAAAACCAAACAAATGGAATGGTGTGAAGAACCTTTTTTACCTCGTTAAGAGATCCAGTAGTTTGCTTCAACAATGGTACCAGCCCAGGTAAACAGAAATGTGTAACTTCAGGCATCACAGGATCGATATAGACTTCAAAAGGACTAAAGAGAATAATAATATACCTTATTGACATTTTCAAAGTGTCATTTGAAAATAATAATATACCTTATTGATATTTTCACAAGTACTATTATTGCATGAACAACATCGCATGATTATTTGTTTAATATTAGCATAATAAAATCGTAAAATTTTGTACCGCATAGCGGGCAGTTTTTTGTCAGATAGACTTTTATCCAATATTTAATACTTTTGCCACTATTAGTTCTTCTTTTTTTTTCCTTTCAGAGTTGTTTAGTTTGTATCCAAATAACTTCTGTAATTTTGTGTACTTTCGAAAATTAATAATTGTACTGCAGTACAACTAGTGAGGTAACTCTACCCCACTCAACCAATCAGAATCCAGTAACTTTATCAGCATAAACAAAAACGTTACTATCATAGCAAGATCTTTGAGTAACATAATATCACGCAACATACCCGACTGCTAACGCAATATTTGGTGCTGCTGTTGGCACATCCAAAACATACGAGAAGGTCTTGTATTTTTCATCTGCTGTATATACCTGAAAGAAATGACGGGCGCTATGCTAAAACATGCAGCAATGCTGTCTGCAAAATAATTGCTGGTTTCGATAATTCACTCTCCGTTAACTCCGTTTTCCACCAGACGAATTTATTCACGCGAACTGATAAAAAGTACAGGAAGCGTTTCTACCAAAACCCCGGATTTCAGATATCGCTTCGCGTCACGCCAATGAATTCGCCTAGTGGAAACGTAGTTTCTCATGTTTACTATCATGTTAGTTGAAATTTATCCGGCCTGGCACGAGGTGGCGTACGGCCCAAAATTGGTGGTTTTTTAGACTAAATAAATCAATTTTATACTTAATCCTTTTATAGCTTGCGCAAGGCGGCGTTACTGTGTTTGTCGGACGTCTCTGTCCAGTCCCGCGTGACGTTCGCGTAGTCTCATCAGTTTAATATATTGCAACATATATTGGATCTCGTGGCCGTAGAAGGAGCCGTAGTTGAATCTAAAACTCTCTATTACCTGCTCAATGAGTTCGCCACATGAAACAGCAATCAAGTCTTTGTCTACTGTCACATCAATTTTCCATGTGCAAACTTCAGAAAACGAGTCAACACATGGAAACCACAGCCTAAAGACCAATAATATTTAGATGAAACTTCATTCTACTTCTAGGCTAGTCGCCTGGATGTGAAACTAGCTTTAAACTCCAATCAGAGAACGAGCACACTCTGATTTCTGACAAAACTTCCTCAGTTTAGGATATGCTTTCAAAAATGTGTGCAACGCCATTTTTTGTTAACATATTACCTGGATGTATTGCCATGCGTGTATGTAAACATATGAGCTGATTTCTAGGGGGAAAAACAGATAATTAACGTTATTGTCGACCGTTCTCAAAATTTAAAACTTAAAAAAGTAGTTGAATACTGCCGGAACTGTGCTGCCGAGATTCGAAACAATTCGTGACAGCGTCAACAGGGCTTGAATCAGCCACAAACACAGTGTATTACCTAATATTGGCAATGACCAGATTCAAAACCATGGCGTAAGGTACCCGCCACGTGTGTTCTTTCAAAAAAAAAAGAAACGAAAATTTTCATTTCCAGTTCCTTTAAGATCACACAGTACCTCTTCAATACTTCCATTTCCACCAGGCATTACAAATTGAATACCACCTTTTGGATGTTCCAGAGAGAACTCGATGCTTAAACGAAATGTTTTCTTTTCTGAAATGAATTTCTGAGATTCCTTGGGCAATTTAACAGTTAATTCACCACCACCATTCTCAGGTTCCACAGAGGAAATAGCCGTCTGAAGTGACGCAGCAAAGTGTTCTAAATTCCTCCTACATCATAATAAAAGTGAACATGAAAACTCACACAACCGTCAGGTGATGACGCAAAATCAACGCAAAATTTTCATCAGGCATATTTACTGAAAACATGTACGAACATTTATTTTTAATTTAATTTGACCTTTCCTATGCAATTATCGATCTTTTCACATAAACTTTAAGGAATATATTTTACTGACGTGTAAACACGTAAAAATTATACAGTTTGATTTTACTAGTGTGTTGCTGGCGTCATTTCGACAACTCATATTGGGCATATATTCAAACTCAATGACAAACTTCAATACTTTATACATTTGCAAAGAAAAAGCGAATCCAACGATTCATGCATCCATGGAGACACACATTGCCTTGACCTTTGCAACCACTTCCCCGGTGAGCCCGTATATATGATATTAGGGACCTTAAGCATATTGGAGGGCAACACGACGACGACGCGGCTGAAATTCTCCTTTACATAAATGCTATGGCAAAGTGGTTGGTTTATATTATTAATTGTACCGATTTAGTGAGATATAAGGCGTAAAAAACATTGTGTTTATGTTTAAGAACAATTCTATAAAGCCTAATTCGAGGTAGGGCTCGCTGGGCCTGAAATGCAACCGTTCTAGGCAAGATGTAAAAAACCACGTTTTCTCGTTGTAAACAGAACGAAGACGACGTCCAAAACCCATCATGGGTCTTTATAATTATTCATTTCTTTTCAATGACCCATTGTATTGATAGCCGTCGTCGACGCGTTCGCGTTCTACATGCTTAAGATCCCTATTGTTTCCTAACATAATGACGTCCACATCGTGTAACGAAGAAACTTACTTTTTACTTTGGCTGCAAAGATTTTCTTCCAAATCGTCAAGTTGGAAACCAGCATCAAACCAAGCACTGTTTTCTTTGCTGTCTTGAACACATATTCTAAATATTCTTGTGAAGTGTTAAGAAATATTACTTCAACAGTTAAGTAAGGGCCAGACACACTCGCGAATTTCTAGGTGGTCCGGTTCGATATATACAGCTTCGACGTCATGCTACGGTGTTCCAGCTCAAAACTATTTTAGCTTGAACCCAAAAAAGTGTATCCGGAGCATCCTTATAAAAATTATCCTTCCAACTGTAGTGGAGTTCAATGATCTTAGCTCGAAAACTATCCGTAGAGGATCGAGAGAAACTTGGCGAGACTGAGTTGTGAACAAGCGGAATACGCATGGTGAGGTAACTATACCATATACATTATAACATTTATATTACGCGCGAGCTGGTTGGTCGAGAAGCGTGTTTCTATTTAACAATTAGATAACGAGTCCGAGTTGAAGGACTATATTCGCTCATAGACAACAAAGGCGAGTTGTCTAATTGTTTTAGTATACACCCTGTACCTAGATATATTAATTTCGAGAAAAAATCTATACACCGCAATCGATACACGACCCTGCTCTTAACCAATAGAAACAGAGCTTTTACACTATAGGTCTGGGATAATAATTAGTGCTCAGCACAATAATCATTTCAAGCACCGAGTAAGAAACGGATGTATAAAGAGGATATGAAGTTGTTTGCAGTTTAGTTTTAATCTGGTCAGATTGCTTTGAAGTGGAAGAATACATAACTCAACAACTCCCTAAAAACAATATTTTTGCAAAGCGATTAAACACATGAGTAATTAAGCTTTCTAATAATATCTTTTTCTTGTTATGATGGCTTGATGTTAAAATTAAGTGTTAAAAATTGCTGGTCGAGAAACCACATTTTATGAAACAAAATGGCAGACATTAAAATGTTATTAGATATATTCATTATATACAAAGTCATTGGTTTTGTGGGAAGAAAGCTGGAAGCATTATTGTAAGTACAGTGTGTACTGTGTAAAAATCAAAATTCATTTCTTTCTTGGCAATTAATTAAAAATAAATGTACAAAATGTGTATATGCAAAGATTGTTATAAATATACTTTGCATAACATTGCACAAATTTAAACACACAAATACTTTACACAGTTGTGCTCATTAGAGAGAACTAAAGCTTTTGTACTGTACATGATGGTAGATATAATTAAGTACCGAAACAATTTGAAAAAATCTGGAAAATGATTCATTCAAGTCTTGATCAAATGCCCATTGGGCTTGTAGTGAACTAAACTTTTTAATATACTCTTTTAAAATAATTTGACCTATTCAGGTATACCGTACTGAGACTGGAAAATCCCCTGATGATTAAACTGGAATATAAATTTATTATTAAAACTCACAAAAAGGCATTGTCTCTTAAAATCAACTGATGTGATGCACAAATATTGGTCAACTGTAAAAAAACAAAAACAAAAAAGGTAAAAATTACATTCATACATCCCATTGATAGTTTAACAAGTAACCCATCCCCACAACAAAATGCTGCACTGCAGAACAAATTTCATTGGGAAGCCATGCAATGCACCCATATTGGAGAACAAAAAAGATTGGAAGAGATTGCTGGAATGCATCTTGGGCTCTTTTGGCTAATGGTGATAATAGTAACATAACAATTTACACGCAAATTGACGCAAATTCATCAGGTCAGAAGTGGAATAGTATACACTTAATGCATGCTTCCGAGGGAAATAGCGAGTTTTGTTTCCCAAGAGTCTGAATGAAACACTGAGACTTGAGGGAAAACAAAACCCACTATTTCCCGAGGTAGTGTACAATAAGTGTTTTGTTATATAGGAACAAAAACATGTTATATAGACAATTAAGAAGAGGGGAACAATTTTTCACATGTTTCATTACATGATCTAACAATATTATTGTTGTAGCAAAGTTGTTATATCATAGACTAGTTAGAACAATCTTGTAACGCGTTTCTGGTGACACAGAGCGGTATTATAAAATAGATTGTAAAGATACTTATAATTTAAAATTTCTTGGGTTTTCTTTGGAACTTTCGGCCTTTTTCATCTCTTTGCTGAATTGCGTATGCGCGTTAAACCGACTATTCCAAGCAACACACTCTGAAATCCATCGCTTCCTTCCTTTTTACAACGTGTTAATTCAAATTATATCATAGTTCCAAGCATTATTTCATAGATCTGAGGTATTAATTCAAATTATATCATAGTTCCAAGCATCATTTCATATTGCTTTTCATTTCATTATTTCTCTTATTTACAATTTCTTCGATTTTTTCTCCCGCGGTGTGCCAGTGTGCCCGCGTTCCTGTTTCGTTGAAATGGGACACTTCGTGTTACTGTCGTTCTATAATCTCATCTGTCATTTTCAACTTTTTTGAAATCATTGGAAATCTATGCTTTTATTCAGAATTTTTTTCTAGCCTTCTTCTAGCCTTTAGATTGAGCTCAGCTCACCTCGGTACACGTTTTCACAGTCTCGCGTCTTTTACTTATCGTATTACACTATTACAGTCATTTTTAATTCTTATAGTACAGCGATCCTAGGAAAGTTTTTTTTGAGAGTGGAAACACTGTAAACTGGGCAACTGGCTGATGAAACACTGTTGAAATACCTCCTGTGTTTTCATTGTTTTGGCGTAATATCTGCTTTATTTTGAGCAGAAATATGAAGTGATGTTCATTGTGCAATGTGGATTGCCTGCATGTACCATTAATTGGAAGAGACGCTGCAAATGGCATACTTGTTAGACGTGTCTGACAATGTCGATTTCGGCTCTTCTTTCGAGACGGCAGATGTAAACAAAGCCCATAACCGATGCAGCTTACCGCCAGAGGTGAAAATATTTCAAATTTTTTATGCATAGCTAAAAAACGTATGAATTATTTCAACAACTATTTTATTTTATTTATATTGTCACAGATTGAGGAGGGCAATGTTGAATATAAAGTAAGTTTTTAATAATACCAGCATATAGATTGCTGTTAAGTGTTAACTTCTGAATTGTGACTCCAAAGACTGTTTACATTAGGTTTCCCTCGAATATAATTCTCATGAGCTAATGTTTCAGTTTCTTGGAATGATACAACTTAGCATCAGCTCTGTATACTAAGAAATTGTTCCTGTTTTAGCTATGCAAACAACTTATTAAGTGTATACATATGTTTTGTATTCTTACAGAAATGATATTTGCTTTTGAATTGCTGCAATGTTTTATTGCAAATTGTTGTGAAATGCTGAAAATATAACTTTGCAAAGTTTTCAGATTTTGTATAATTTAATTTGTGTATATGCATGCACAGAAAATGTCAATTTTCCACATTTTGGCAAGAAATGGCAACAATTTATGCACAGAATGCAAAAGAATACAAAATATGCGAACTTTGCACAAATATGTTTCCTGATTTTTACAATATTTTACAACCATGACCCCTAGCTTTCTTCGCAGAGCTCTGACAGTTTTTTATTGTATGTATATATATTTTGTTTTTTGATTTGTGATTGCATGTTGTCAGGAGGCATCTTGTAATAATTGAAGAATGTGTAGATTTCCAAAACCAATCTCTTGATTTGCAAGTTTTTTCTGGAATGTCTCATGATCTAGTTGAACTTGAACTGATAGTTATCTTGACAAATCCAACACCTCAATGTTTAATTTATATTTCCAGCTAAAGCTTGTGAACCCAAGTGAAGCAAGGCTTGTACAACTTGTGACACAGTTGAAATGGAGACTGCAGGAAGGTCAAGGCGAAGCTATATATGAAATAGGAGTTGAAGACAATGGCATTATGACCGGACTCACCAGAAAAGAACTGAACCTGTCATTGGAGACATTACAGAGCATGGCTTCCAAACTCGGCTCAGAGGCCACTGTTTTGCGAGAGCAAGTGGTTGATGGATGTGATGTTGATAACAATGAAAAATTGGTGGCTGAAGTTCTTGTTCGTAAGGTTTCAGATGATCACCAGGTACATGCAGTTAAATCACTGTGGTTAAATTAATTCAGTTTTGAGTTACTAAATAGTTAGTTGGACGACTAACGGCTACACAATTCACTATTTCTAGGACACCACTAGTGAGATCAAATCAAATCTTTTCATGTGAGGTTTTTACTCAAAAATAGTTTAAATAGTCAAAAGGTTTGAAAATATTGTTTTCTGATCAGCTTTCACAAGAAAATTAGATTACTCAATCTTAATTTCTTTGATGAGAATGTTGAATCATATCTCTAATTAACAAAGGAGCTGTCACACTGCATTTTCTAATAGGTTTTAATAAAGAGTGCAGGTACAACAACTGCCTGAATAGACCTTTTTCATGATGTCAAATGCGGAAAGTCTGATGTTACACGAAGTTTGATTGGCTTGACAGTTTTGTGGAGCCAATCAAATTTTGTGTAACATCAGACTTTCCGCGTTTGACGTCATTATGAGAAAGGTCTATTAGACAAAAATACTTTTCGACATTTGCTACTTTAGGAACTTTTTGTACCATATTTGGTAGGAAGTCATATTAGATTGCTAATGGATGACTTGTGCTTTAGACTAATTTTTACTCATTTTAGTACGTTCTTTCAGAAAATGTCTTTTTTATCGCCAAGGTAAGAAATTAGTCTAAATCGAAAGTCATCCATTAAGTTGGTACGAATGATTATGGTGCCAGGCTCCTTTCTTTGAAATTGCAGGTTCAATAACCTAAGAAAGTATAAATAGAAACTAGGTAGCACTAAGTAAGAATTTAAAACCTATTCAATCTGAGTTCATCTGAGTTTCAATATTTCCAAGACTTAATGGTCAAGGAAAAACACATTAAAAAGTTTAAGCTCCGTATTCATCGGGAAAGTTTCGTTCATTCTTACGTATGTGAAAAGATTGATTGTGCAAGAGTGTAAATAAGTGAGTCCAGATGCGTTTGAAGACTTTATTGCTTATTAATTTAAACGTAAAATATGTCCTCGTGTTCGACGTTTCACATACGACGCGAAGCTTAAACTTTCTATAAATTCAACACGCAAAAACGTGCAATGTAATAACTTTATTCTCTGCCGCATTTCTCTAGACTTATTTTGAAAGTTGTTTTTTCCCCCCTAGTTTATCGATATTCGCTTGGCAGTTCTTGGTAATGTTGATGTTGGAAAGAGCACACTCGTTGGTGTGTTGACACAAGGGGAGTTGGATAATGGTCGGGGGCGAGCAAGACTCAATCTCTTCAGGCATCTTCACGAAATTGAATCCGGTCGTACATCAAGCATCAGTCATGAAATTCTTGGCTTTGACAGCAAAGGACAGGTATTCAAGCTATGAATGACCTGGGGCTGATTGAAAGCTTGAGCTAGAGCGCTATCCGCCAGACACTGATTTTTTCAACTATTTTAAACATTCTTGGAAATCAATGAAATCACAGATGCCATAATGGTTAATAAATTACGAGCTAATAGTTATGAAAACCCAAATTTAGAAATACCAGGTTATATTCCCTGCAACAGCGGGCAATTTTAGAATAATTGAATATATACAACATGTGCAAACACGCGCGTAGATTTTCCGCATTTATGTCAAAAGTAGACAAGAATAGACCTTTTTCATAATTAGTCAAACGCGGAAAGTCTGATGTTACACGAAATTTAATTGGCTCCACTAAACTATCGAGCCAATCAAACTTCGTGTAACATCAGACTTTCCGCGTTTGACGTCATTATGAAAAAGGTCTATTCCGTCAGTTCATTAAGTTCTTGGCATACGAAGGCTGCTTATCCTTAGCGCTGTCAGCCAGATAGTGGTTCGATCTAAAACGAACATTATAATAAAACGTGTATTTTCTTTGACTGACACAAGCGAGGTTCACTGCATCTTACTTTTCAGAAGGATCTGAGGTGCATACATCACAAGTTGTTTAAAATTCCAACCTATACCCTAGACTTGTAGTATACTATCATGATGATTGCATGGTGAAATATGTGATTTGGTGTGATTTAAACCAAATTTTGTACGTGCAGGTTTTGAACTACAATGATTCTGGAAGTGCAGAGGAGATTTGTGAGATGTCCTCAAAAATCATCACGTTCCTTGACTTGGCTGGCCATCATAAATATCTCAAGACAACGATATTTGGACTTACTGGTCATATACCTGATTATGCAATGCTGGTCATTGCTGCCAATGCAGGAGTGGGTAAGTAGAATACAAAATTACTGATTTACAGTTTATCTTGGAACAGTAGTTTCCAGGGAAAAGCAATGTATTCCTGTTCAAGTCAATTTATCCCGTAGAGAGGGTGCATGTCATCTCAATTAACTTAATTTTTTTTTAATAAAATAACGTATTCATACACGTATATAATTCAGGTATAAATGTACCAAATTTTATATTGTAATGTAATAATATTATCAGTAATAACAATATTGAAAAACACTTTGAATCCTTAATATCTTTGTGAGAAGAGTATCATATACGATACGGACTCTCCTGACCTAAGACCTAAATAAGACCTAACTCTCTGACCTGAGACCTAACACCAGAGAAATGTTTTTATCTATTTTAGACAGTTATTAATTATTGTGAAGTTGTTAATATTAAGTAGTTTTAAAACTTTTGGTACGTTGTATAGTTGGTACCTCGCGTGAGCACCTTGGTCTGTGCATTGCTCTCGATGTTCCAATGTTTATTGTTGTCAATAAAACCGACACATGCACGGCTTCTATGACTGAGCGAACTATTAAAGGCCTGGAGAGAGTTCTCAAGTCACCTGGCTGCAAAAAGATCCCATTACGTGTTTCAAACCCGGACGATTCCGTAGTTGCCGCGGCCAACTTAGTTTCAAACAGGTGGGACAATTACTTATGTGAACAGGTCTAAGTGCTGATTCTCATTTGTCAGCGACACTTATTTAGAATAACAAAGCACTAAAAAGTCACTTTGTATTCTCTCGTGATCAAACCGGTCATATTTTGAACTGAAATATTACGAGTATTTCGTTATAAAGAGAAGGCAACGAATCTCCACCTGCTCTTTTGCGCTATGTATAGATGTACTAGTAGCGATATATACTTGGTTGCAGAGTTATTGAAACACTCTAAAGTACCAGTAATCTGTCTAAATTCAACAGTTAACAGGACCGGTCTGGCTGTTTTTACTGTATAAAGGAAAGCGCTCTAGTCATCGCCGATTGGTCGGTGACCAATGAGTATCAGGCTTTATCACTCTCCTGATCGGATTATATGCTGGGGCCGGTCGCATCAAACCCGTTTAGCTTAAACGGTGGATAAGTCAAAATTAAATAACACTCAACTTGAATATTATACACTGATTATATTGTTGTAAACAGTATCTTTGTATTAAGGTGAAAGACATTTAGTTCGCTTGTTGAATAAAATGATAGACTTGCTTTCTATTCTGCCAATTTTTCCCACGTTTAAGCCAAACCGGCTTGATGCAACCGGCACCTGATGAAAGTAGTTCGTGTAATCCTTCATTTTTAAACAGCCTCAGTTGATTTCCTAAACTTTCTACAGGACGACTCCAATCTTCACAGTGTCCAGCGTCACAGGACAAGATTTGGATCTTCTGACGCAGTTTCTAAATGTGATTCCCCCACGTCAAAGTAAGGAAGAACAGGAGACGTTAATGCAAGAGGATCCCGAATATCTGGTGGGCGTTTAATTTATGTTGAGTGTATACTGTGAACACAAACTCTTGTTCTATCATTTAGAACCGTATATGGCGAGATATGCATCACAGTTCAAAAGTTAAACAGGGCGTTTGTTATATAATACATGACGGCTGGATATTATCTTTGATAGTCTTCATTATTGTTTTTATTATTGAGACCATACCTGACTTTGTAGCTGAATATAAATGTTGACAAGAACGTAGTGCGATTAGATCAGATAAAATGCCCCAAAAAAATAATGTTGTGTTTGAATTAAGGTGAATATATGCATGCGAATGCAGTGTGTTACATAATTTATTTAGGTGGACGAAACTTTCAATGTTCCTGGAACTGGGCTTGTTCTTGGAGGAACCCTGATGAGGTATGATGTAGAAAATAATCCTCCCAAGATTTTGCTTGTGTTTTAAATTCAGTAACAGGTGAAAAAAAAGGAAAATTTAGCAGCCAAGCATGTATGATGCCCAATTAGATCATGTTTTTCGCAGAAGCGTAGAAAATATGACTATATAAAAACCACTTCACATTTGATAGGTTTATTGGCCAAGCGTAAACGCCGGGGGGGGGGGTAGCTTGTTCAAATCTCGGAAACTTTTTATTCAAAACAGCTAGTCATAATTTAGCAAATGCTAATTTAAAGTAGCTATAACCTGTCCTTAATTCTAACCATGTAGTTGTACTTGTTTCTTTATATCTTGATGGCTGTTCTGTTTTATTGCAGAGGTTTGATACGAGAGGGTGACGTCATGATGTTAGGACCTTCTGAACATGGAGAATTTCATGAAAGCAAAGTTATGGCAATTCGTCGAAATCGCGTCCCCTGTCGCCATATCAAAGCAGGCCAATCAGCAACTTTGGCACTTTCTGGTGTTGAAAAAACATTCATCCGTCGTGTATGTATTTCTATTAAAGAACCCAATAGACCTTTTTCATAATGACGTCAAACGCGGAAAGTCTGATGTTACACGAAGTTTGATTGGCTCGATAGTTTAGTGGAGCCAATTAAATTTCGTGTAACATCAGACTTTCCGCGTCTGACGTCATTATAAGAAAGGTCTATTGGATTCAATCCTGAGATTGCTTGATATAGGTGATAGTTCATATTAGGCGAACGTAGCTCAAACGTTTTCGTAGTGACTTGCTAGTGGTCATATAGACTTGCTCCAAGTCTCGCTCAAAATAGTTTTAGATTTTGATAGGTCTATCCAGCTAGGGTAATCTTGAGATCAGTGCGTATTGAGTGTTTTTGCAGAAATATTTGCTGATGGCTATTAGGCGTCTGCATAACTCAGGCTTTCTGATTCTTGAATGAAATGTCTTGAATATAAGTGAAATACCAGATAGATCTCGTCTGCTAAAGTTCTGAATCAAATCACGATCAAATGAAAGTACAAAAATCATGTTGCCCATGATCTGGAGACTATTGGACGGAGTCTTTTTTTTATATACGGATGATGTTCTTATAATTTTTTAATGATTTATTGACATATTTTTGTTATATAGGGAATGGCCTTGCTTTCTCTATCATTGAAACCTGCCTGTTACTCGGCTATTGAGGCGAGCCTGTTTCTTTTATTCCATACAAGTGAGTTATCGGAGGGTTTCCAAGGCACTTTACACGTGGGAAAAATTGTCCAGACGGTAACCATCGAAAAGATTTCTCAGGTACGGAAAGACAATCTGGTTAAATATAACGAGTTTTCTAGGTCAAAACACATTTCCCGCGCAGTTAATTTTGGTCACATTTTTAAGGGTTGAATTATCTAAACTGGGATGTATTAGGTTGCATATTGTAACATTAGTATAGCTTGCATCATTTCTGTTCAACTGTATCCACAGCGATCACTGAGCTGTACTACTGTATACTTATAAATCAATGTAATTCATCGATATTAAAATGTTGATTACAAATGTTTTCTAGCCTTTAAAAACTGGCCAATGGGCGACCGTGACTTTCAAATTTCTGAGAAATCCAGAGTTTGTCAGAACAGGATCAAAGATATTTTTCCGTCAAGGTAGAACAAAAGCTATGGGAACAATCTTAAAAACTTTTCCGTTTGAAAACAAAGTTGACAGGTGAACTACGATTGGGCCGAGTCGTACTGCACTGCACTATTCACCGTAAAAAGACCTGGGGCCGGTTGTATCAAGCCCGTTTACCTTAAACGGTGGATAAGTCAAAATTAAATAACACTTTTACATCCCTCTTGAATGAGTCAACTTGAATATTATGCACTGAATATGTAGTTGTAAACAGTATCTTTGTATTAAGGTTGAAAACATTTAGTTTGCTTGTTGAATAAAACGATAGACTTGCTTTCTATTTTGAACTTAACCACCGTTTAAGCTAAACGGGCTTGATACAACAGGCCCCAGGTTATTTAACTTCGAACGCAAAATTCCATGGTTGCACTTGTTATAAATAGCACATGCTTTGGAATATTCTCGTGCCCAGAACTGTGCGCTTACGCAAAATGTGGTAACAGATGTTGAAGAAACCGTCAGAATTGTTACTTCAGTCCGTCAGAACTGGCTATCCGTAATACACCCTTCGTTAAGGCCCTGCATGGTTGCTGCTCGCGCACGCAAGTCTCTGGTTACGAGAACTCACGCCTGTATTCTAAAAACCCGCTCACACTCAAACTCAGTGAGTGAAAGATCTCATTCTGCATGATTGCATGACGGTATTTCCACTTGAATAAGAGATTTTCAGTGTTTTACCTTAAAACTTTCCACTGATAAAAAAACACTTTCACGTTAATCAGTTGTAACAAAATTTCTATTTTAAACTCAATGAGAGTGAGTGCATGTGAGTAATTTTTGAGAATACAGGCGTTACAAATGTTGATATTAAGAAGAACAGTTAGCAAAAGGTTTAAATTCAGTTCCAATGTTACCACTCATAGCAGTATTTCTTGTTTTAAGCAGGGCGACATAATAGTTTTATGTACATATATGTCCAGTATTTTAAACTATAGAGAAACTTTTAGATTGTAGGTTAGCAAATTGACATTTTTTCTTAAATAAATTGTGTTGAAATTATACTTTATGTGAAAAATTGAGTTATTTTGAAAAAAAGAATTATTAAAATTCTTCAATTCCAATCATCAGTGAGGAGCAGGGGACTACAGTGTGTACCGAAAATCGCTAGTGTTTGAAATGCAATTAGAAACAATACAGAGATATGATTGTTCTAAAATGCGTTGATGATACGTGACAAAAGAATGCGATATCTTGTTATATTTGAATTTCAGACTGTCGTTTCTCTGCAATTGGCCTGTAGAGGCAGAATGAGGATGTTCATACGTTGTAGATGCTCAGTGCACCAAAAAAAACATGGTTGTACTGAATGAAATTTAGCCCCGTTTACACTATATACACTCAATTTACTGGTACGGCACGGCTAAAATGGTATAGTGTAAACGGGGCTTTTAAAGACTATTGTTTTTGGTGACGACAAAGTGCTTATTAAAATAAGCGTGCGGGAGGTCGCGTTGGAGGTCGCGCCCCTCTGCCTTGGCAAAAAATCTAAAAGTACTTGACTCCATGTGCAACAGCCAGAATAACTGATTATTGACCGAGCGTGAGGTCTGTATTGTGAAATATCAGACCGAGGCTTTTTAGTACAGATCGAACAAGCGAGGTCAATAATAATCTTTTTATTATATGGCTGAACTGCATGAGGCATCCGGGATATTGGTCCAGATACGGAATATACGGGCCACGGTCCGGATATGGATTTTTACGGACCGCTCGTCAAGCAATCAGCATGGAGGATATTGAAAAGTCATATAATAAATAAATATACATTATACTTATTTTCATAACTGCCATTGCATAATAATATAATAGTTTCGGCTTAACTAGAGCTTCGAGCCCTCTTTTGCATACGTTTATTCTTTTTTGCCTCTAATGCTTCAGCTTGCATAAGTTTTTGTAATCCTCTGGGATCTTTAGGATGATAACCTAATCGTTGTGCCTCCAACTGCTTTTCTTTCTGTTTCTCTTTTAACTCCCGTTTCTGTGCACGGAGATCTTTCATTTTCGCCCTGTACTCTGCAATCATTTCCGGCATTTTCTTCATGTTTTCTTCAATCAATTTTCGTCTTCAAGTGAAAATGAATTTTTATCAATGGAAACACTCAGCCTTTTTCACAAGCATCTTGGGGGTTAAGGTGGGGAAAATAATCTGCAGGTTCCAAAAAAAATCTATGGTGGTTGCCAGGAATAATCACTTCAATGAATAACTTTATTGGCAATGAAATGCAATTGCAAAATTATAAAAAAAGGGATATGCCCCACTTAGTTTGTTATGAGCTGAAGACATGTATACAGAACAGACTTTATATCATCGTTAAGAATATTGGTAAAATTCATAATCAATCTATTATTACCTTTCTTCTCTTGCTTTTTCCTTTTTTGAATATTTGGGTACCATATCTAGAGACCTATCACGCAAAGGTTTTGTTGGCCAATAATACCCATCTGATACATACTGTTTTCTTATCTTTGCTAATCTTCTTGCACTTAGCTTTGCCTTCACATATCGACCATTTACAAAAGTTGGCTTGGACAATTCTAACCACTTAGCCACCTCATCACTGACACACTGCTCATCTAAGAAAAAAATTTTTAAAACCAAATTTTGTAATATATATATTACATATATGTAATATTTGGCCAGTTTTGTTACACTTTCTTGTAAGCACATCCACGGCTTTGCCAATTTATTGTTTCATATCTGGTACATTGTATATTTCAAAAATTTAGGCGATTTTTTCTGCCCCCCTAAAGGAAGTTGCGCCCGTACGCTTATGATAACAGGTAATATGACATGGACAAAGCATAATTGCTGTATTCATAACTCTAAAAGGCTATACATACCTTGATTTTGTTCAAATAGCATTTCACTCTCTTTTGTAACACCAATGCAAATAAATCTGCTGGTCAAAATTATAGTGTCTCAAGATAACATGACAGCTATTTGTAGGAGAAATTTGTAGATAAATATAAAAATCTATTTTTTAGAAAATTCTATATACTTTGGGCAATATGGAACGACGTTGGCCACAGTTCAGAATCATGTCAATCTATACTAAATTCCTATGAACTCAACTAAATTAACTTACTAAGTACTAGGGGATACTGAAGCTGGTCTGAATGCATATCCACACCATCCTAGCATAAGGACAAGAAGGATTTCTATGCACACACCAAGATGGCATTGTAACACCTTCAAGCTAGTTGTCCCCACCCCTTATTGTAATGATTACCACCCTTGATGATATCCCAAGAATATGCATGGCCTAAATAGTCAATCAATATTTCTATATTTAATCATAATTGGAACAAAGAAGATTAGTTACCTAGTTTTTGGTAAGAAATCCATTTTTTTAATACCACAGCATTTTGACAACTTTATGAAATTAAATGAAGAACACCTTTGTTTCAATATTCTCAAAGCCATTATTTTCGCAACAAAATATCATATACACTTTCTTAAAGTTTCTTTGATATTTTAATTTTTAAATATTTTCAATATATGTATGATCGTATATCAATGTATGATCTTATTTGCTTTTGGTAATTTGGTTATTACCACTGGTTATTACCTATTAGAGAATGTGCCATGAAGTATTTACTTCCGGATTACTTTTGACCGTGGGCACAAACCGAACTGCGCTTGCGCATTTTGCACAGAAATTTCTTTTCAATTCTTTCGCAAAAACTGTGGCAGCGAAGGGCGATATAAGAAATAAACTGAAATGGCGGAAGGCGAACTTGTTGTCGATAGTGTTATTTCAAGACTTCTAGACGGTATGTTCCTTCTTATAACATCATTCGGCTCCTATTATGTAACACCCTTATGCTCTCTTCATCGTTTTAGCTCGAGGAAGGCCGGGTAAAAGTGTTCAGTTGACCGAAGCCGAAGTTCGCGGCTTGTGTCTCAAGTCAAGAGAAATATTTTTAAGCCAGCCGATTCTGTTAGAACTAGAAGCTCCCCTGAAAATATGTGGTGAGTAGCATTCGCCAAAATGAAAAATGATGTCGGTATTATGTTTAAATATTATCTCAAGTTTGCTTCTTGTTCATTTTTAATCGTTTATATAACGATGAAATGAAGCAGTAATGACGAAGGTCCATTATATTGTTTATTATATCGATGTCAAATTCTATTCTGTTATTAATCCCCGGCTGTTTAGATAGTTATAGAACTTTATATCATCTAGACTCCTGTCATAGTTTTCAATAGTTCTCAATAGCTTAATTGGGTGTATATTTTTACTGTAGCATTTAGATGGGAATGATAATGTTGAAACTTACAAGTAGTGTGTAAATAGATATACCGTATTAATACTATCATCTAAGTGTATATTAATGCAATTTAATTATGGTAGACTGGGCTGGATCAAAATGACCTGATTTCAACAACACTATATTAGGACAAATATTTGCAGTCAATTTATTTCCCTTTGGTTGAATATGTTGAAGTTTTTTTCAAAATTGCTAGAATACAATGTTCAAAGTTATGCTCAATGGTTCATTTCTAAAGAAAATTAACAACCTCTGTTTCTGTAGCTGTGGTAGGAAAAGTTTGCATAATAGTCTATGTGACCAAGAAGTAAGAAAATTTCTTTGCACATCTTTTTACTTCCTTGCCTTTGAAGGTTTAAAACAAATTTGATAGGTTCAATTTTTTACAATATGTTATCAGGCCGAATCCTAGACATTCCTGCAATTTCATTGGCTGTAGCTGCAGGTGAAATTTAAAAATTTAACAATATCTGATCTTGGTCCAGATGTATACCATTATGTGTATTTTGATCAAGTATTCCCAGAGGTATATGCGTTTTACTTTTAATACATATTTTTGAAAAGTGCAAAAATTAGTCAAAAATGGCATATTAAATAAGAAAAGAATAATGTTTGTTTTCAACGTTTTTCATCCTATTACTTCTTGACCTTTACTTACCCCTGGCAGCTATATTCTGTGCAAACCCAAACTCACTGTTGTATTGTTAAACAAGGCTTATTAAAGAAAGAACAAGCAGAATTCATGCGAAATTGTTTGTTAAATTTGTGCACTACCGAATGACTTTTATCCCCCATTTGGAACAAAGTCTAAACCATAATAGCCAATTTTGTTTTAACACTTCCAACATGTCATAACACAGAAAATAAAAAGACCTATCCATCTGTCAAATGTTTCTATTTAAACTTCATTGAAACAGACAAATATGGGTGATAAAATACTAGGATTTGTCAACTCACTACTTTAATGCCATTTTTATAGCTAATTTTTAATTAAAACTGCAATATCTCGGTCAAAACTACATGAAAAACCTCATGCTATGTACCAAAATTTAATTTAGACATTAGACTAGAATATAAAAAACATAATTTGGCTTTGGCATTGTTTTATTATCCTGGTATTCCAAGAGCCCCTATTTACGTATTTAGTTTACATCTACAGTAGTTTAATTACCACATTCAGAAACTCATGTCTTCATGAAGTTTCACATTCACTGTTTCATCTATGGGACATTCTATGTGACTGAAATTCATATCATGAACTTGTGGTGTACATCATTTTGCAAAACAGTGAATAATCAAATAACTAATTGCAATTAGCCTTTCTCACGATGATGAATATGCCGCCATTTTTGGGGTACTTTTTTCAAAAACCGCGAGTGTAAGACTTGGTACCGGCGACTGTCTTTATTTTTAGGCTGAATTTATTCTTCAAATGGTCTGTTTATTCTAAAAAAATTACTTTTGATATTAAAACACAATTTTTAAACAGATTTCAGTAAATTGAAAGTACCCCAAAACGTCATCGTGAGAAAGGCTAATTAGATTAGATATGTTTCAATACAACCAAGAAACAGTGTGGCAGCATCTTTAAGGTCCTTATCAAATATGTGAAACTGACAGAAAATTTATTGACGTCCTTCACACAAGAGCTTTCTGTCCATCTTAATTCTCCCTCCATGCTAAAAGACCCTTGAGTTTTTTTGTCTATTTTAGGCAAATGTACTTCAATAGAGCATATGCTATCTGAATAGTTGAGGTTTCTTGCGTATGACTGCCATTGACTGAACAGAACACTACAATAGCTTGTCTGTCAACTGAAACACTTTCATTATGTCATCAATTACTATAAAACTTAGTGTTTCTCGCTGGAAACATTGCAATAATGATATTATTGACATTTATTGTCGATTTCACATTTAAGAAATAGAAAACATTTTCCGTGTTTCTATACAGTTATAGAAACACGCTTCTCGACCAATCAGCACGCGCGTACTATAAATGTTATATTATAAAACTTGTTGTCACATAATTTCGTTGCGAAGTTCGCAATTACGTTTCGAATGTTCGACAGTTCGAAGTCAAAACAAACTTCGAAGATCAAGTTCATAAACAATTTGAAAATACCTTTTCAAACAGAACTCAGTCAACTCACTAAGTACTGTTAAAACAGTTTTGTACTTTTGTTTCGATTTGAAATGGTCTCATTGTATGCAGTTACGTTCATAAGTCATAATTTTCAGTGTATTTTAATGCTTCGTGACTCAAATTTACGAGCTTGACCTTCAAAGTTTTGAACTTAGTTCATTTTGAACTTCGAACACTGATTCGAAACGTAATTGCGAACTTCGCAACGAACTTCGCAACCGCGTTTTGAAAAGTTATGTGAAATCGACAAAAATGCTTATATATATATTGCTTTAACAATTGAAATTTCTTTCCAAACTATGACAAACAGCCTTTTACATTAGTTTATTTATTTGTTAGCAATTTCAAAATTATGATATTTTAAACTTACAGGCGACATCCACGGCCAATACACAGATCTTCTTCGCCTGTTTGAATATGGTGGATTCCCACCTGAGGCTAACTACCTTTTCCTTGGTGATTATGTTGACAGAGGCAAACAATCATTAGAAACAATATGTTTGTTGTTAGCATACAAAGTGAAATACCCAGAAAATTTCTTCCTACTTCGAGGCAACCACGAGTGTGCAAGTATCAACCGTATATATGGATTTTATGATGAGTGTAAGTGATCAGGATTTTGTTCATTTTCTTTTTTAGATTTATTGTAGGTGTACACAAAGTATTTATTCTGTGAAACTGTCCAGTCTTTTGGCATTTTCCTTTAAGCAATGAAAATTTTTATGATTGCCTTCAGGGTTAGATCAATGCTTGTCTGACAGGAGGGGTGCAGATTTTCCTGTGGGGGCGGGGTGCATCAGTGTGCTATAAAACTTTTACTCAGTCTATCTTGGTTGACTCCAGGCTGACCAGGTTGACTTGACAATGCGTACCAAAGATGCAAGCCTCTAGTCGAGTGCTGAAGCTGCGATCTGCTTAAAGGGATCCTGGTGAAATATATAATGCAACAGATATACAAATACCAAATAATGTAACAGTTTAGATGTATTCACACCCCTCCTGTGAAGGTTTAGGGGGGCACCCCCCACACCCCCAGTGGATCCACCACTGCAATTTTTTGGCCAATAACGTAATAAGAGCCTACAGTATGTATTCCATTTTCAATTTTTTCAGGTGGTGCTAAAAACTTTGGGGAACCCCCCCCCAGAAAATCTGCCCTGATTGCCTTCTATATGAAATCTATTATATATCTATTCTATATCCAATCAATGTTACTGCAATGCTATAATAACATGTCATGTATGTGACACAAAGAATGACAATATCATCTCCCAAAAGTCTATGAATATAAGCTTTGAAACAAAAAATGTCCACCTTTAGAGTATCAGGAAATACAGTTTAGCTGTCGATACACGGATGGTGTTAGATTGTGTAAGAACAAAAAAATTGGTCACGATTTTGCCTATAGCTCGTTCTGAGGTCTTCTGTGTATCCTACTGAACATACAACAGCTAAATGTTTTATAAATTTTTATAATAAAATACAAACAAATTCAAACATTTATCTATGGCCTTTTACCCCAAGTCATGGTGTTATGCAAAAAGTATGTGCATGCAAAACGTTTTATCCTATACGTTATGACGTCCCCATTAGACGTTACGACGTCACTTATTGTTTAACACATGGCTATTTAATATAATAATATATTTAACTAATTTAATATATATTGTCCCACTTTCTAGGCAAGAGAAGATACAATATTAAACTATGGAAGACCTTCACAGATTGCTTCAACTGTTTGCCCATCGCAGCAATTGTGGACGAAAAAATCTTTTGTTGTCACGGAGGTAAGGTTACGTCGCATTTAGGTCGAGTCGAATGCAATTCAAACAATAGGTAATGAGATGATAATGAAGCTTAATGAGGTTTATCAGCTCATTATCTATTGTTTGAATTGCATTCGACACGTTAACCTAGGCCTAAGCGCTCTGAAAAAGTCATTGTAGTTGCACTTGAATCTTATCGTAACAGCGATATAAAATTTTATCGACCCTGCCTTTACACTCTTATTTTCAGGCCCGTAACTAGCGCGGTAGGGAGCGTATATCCATGTATTTAATTCTGCCCGATAGATTTCTTTAAAAACGCATATGCGTACAAGAGAAATCCTTGCGACAGAACTGAATACATCAGCATGCACGACTTCTCCTCCCTAGTTATCACGCTTGTTGTGGGCCTGCTTATTTTATCTAAAACATCAAGAACAGACGGTGTCTATTCTTGGAAGTAGTTTTATTTTGGATATTCCATAACGATTCCCTTGTTTCCATTGCCCAGGACTCTCGCCAGATTTGCAGTCAATGGAACAGATTCGGCGAATAATGAGGCCAACAGACGTCCCCGACACAGGATTGTTGTGTGATTTATTATGGTCAGATCCAGATAAAGACACCAATGGCTGGGGTGAAAATGATCGCGGTGTCTCATTCACATTTGGAGCTGATATGGTCAGCAAGTTCCTCAACAGACATGACTTGGATCTAATATGCAGGGCCCATCAGGTAGGGTCACTTTAGAGAATACCTCAATTCGTTGTATCTCTCGCCTAATATACCCCTTATTAAGTTCCGTTTACACTTGCAATTTTTGCTGCGATTTTATGTGCGATTTTCTTCTTTTGATAGATGTGAATGATTGAATTAGTTAACTATGTTCAAATAGGAGCTCGTACACGTAACAGCTTTCGTAACTTATCACTTGTTTGCATCTATCAAAAGAAGAAAATCGCAAGTGTAAACGGGCCTTTAAGAGAGCTATATTTCATTAATTACGTAATTACAGTGTATTGATCGGCTATTTTTTTTCATCTACAGCCTGTTGTAAAGCTCACTCTGAGTCTGGTTTTTTTTTCGTTTTTAGGTGGTCGAAGATGGTTACGAATTTTTTGCAAAGCGGCAATTGGTAACGTTGTTCTCAGCTCCAAATTACTGCGGGGAATTCGACAATGCTGGTGGCATGATGAGCGTTGATGAAACACTGATGTGTTCCTTCCAGGTGGGTTTTCATATCCTGTAATATAAGAATCTGCTCAAGCCATATTGAAAGCCAAGTTGGTCTGAGTGACAAAAGACTTGTAGGAACCTTCAATCACTATAGTTACCCAGGCCAGACACCCAATGGTGGAAAATAGACTATTTTTGTAAACACCCGTTCAGTCTGAATAAAGTAGGGACTGGTTACTTCAGATAGATCGCAGAAGTGTTATATTTATAGCCTATAAAACGTTTAATACTGGACAAGTTTTATTTACTCTAGTTCAGCCCCGAGGCAAAAATATTTAGAACTAAATAAAACCAATTTCTTCGTTCAACTTCAAGAGTTAAAACCTGGTTTGTTATCGAGACTTTTTGACCTGAGTCAATTAGATTGGTATTATAGTTGTATAATTTCGTTTGCGTTGACGTTTATGTTTCCTTCCACCGGTAGATTCTAAAACCCTCCGAGAAGAAAGCCAAATACCAATATGGTGGACTCAATTCTGGTCGACCAGTCACACCTCCCAGGGGCGGAGCTCCACAACAGAACAAGAAGGGGAAAAAGTAGATTGTAGTTTTACTTCGAAAAACTTTGCTGTCTGCAGCATTGTCGTGCCTTAACAACTTACCCAGTTCGGATAAGAAACGAATTAGCATATTACAGTCTATAATAAATATATCTTGTAAAATAACAGGGGAATGCATTCGAACTCTAGGGTATATTCTTCATACTATAAATTTTGGTTTTAATTTCAATTTCTGAATATTGGAATATCTGTTATGTGAAATTTTTCACTATGAATGTTTAATTATATATCTATTGATGACCTTGTCTATTAGAATCTCTTTTTTGAGCCATCCTACTTGCATTTCTAATTAACTGTTATAAGCTTGATTCATTCGCCGCATTTTTGTCGGGTCAAATGCAATTCAAACAATAGATAATAATATGATGAGGCTGAATGAGATTTATCTGGACTTATTATCTTATGACGCGACCAAAATGCGAGGCCTTTGTTTGCATTTCTAAAGATTTTGAAGACGGACTTTCCCCACAATACTGCACAAACCAGCTGATCTGGTATCATGACCTCGTGAAGCGCCAAAACAAAACTGAGTTATCGTGCGCCTGGAATTATTCATCCTCGTTCTTCCAATTAAGGGCCGCTTCCCACTCTCGCGTTTTTTGCACGTAAAATTTTAAAATCATTTAAATAATACTTATAAAATCAACGATAGAATAGATGCAGAGGGTTGGATTCTGTGGAAGATTTGGTGTGTTATTTCTGCAATAAAATTAATTATGTAAAAACTTTCAAGTTTTCAACTATTACGTGCGTGTACGTACGTGCAAAAAAACGCGACAGTGGAAGCAGCCCTAAGGGCCAATTTCCACTGTCGAGTATTTTGCTCATACGTACACGCCATAGAAATAATAGATATCTATTATTAGATAAAATATATCTATAGATATATGATACACGCGCATGGAATAAAATTTATACGCAAGTACACGCACGTAAAAGTCTAAATCCTTATATATGTCGTATTTGAAAAAGCTAAGTGAATTAATCGAAAAAACTTAGTTTTCCGCATTTGTTGACCCATGTGTTAAAGTCTTCTGAAATTCAGCTTTTCTGAAAGCTAAAATTCAGTTTTGTCGAGGATCTGATTGGTTGATTTTTACACTCTGAGCAGCTGGAAGTGTGTAGTACTGCTACTGCACGCACTGCCACGCAGGAACGACGGACCGTTGCGAGTGAAGTGAACCAGGGGGTGTCGGTAATTTTACCTGAATTTTTAAAAGTATGTTTACATTTACGCCCCTTAGAATAATTTTTCTGGATCTCATTTACACTTTTTGTAATGTAATGTAAAGGATCGCAATATTTGACATTTTTAGCTCTAGGCTATATTCAGGGAGCGTAGTCGTAGAGCACATTTAGGTTGAGGGTAAGGGCATCAACTTCTGCGGCTACTAGCCTGATGAAAAGGGCACAGGCGTTGACACGTATTGTACACTCTTGAAGTTAAAGTCATTATTGCGTTGCCAGCGTTGGCATAGACGTTTCCACGGGGAAAAAGGATACCTCATCTCAAAGCAAAAGAGAACTTTTCAGCAATCTTGTTTAGTTGGGAGCCTTAAGCCCCGTACAGACGGGCAAGTTTTCCTGGACAAGTTTTCCTTGCCATGTTTTATTTGCTCGTATGTACGCGAGATAATTGAAAAAATGCTTGTGTGTACGGCCGTCGAGGAAAACTGGACAATGAAGTGCGCAGTAGGGAACAGCGCAACAATCTTCGAGCCAATCGAGCAGGTTTTTGAAGTTTTATCACTTCTGTTTGTTTTGAGATTCGGTCGTATACTCATTTTATCATGGCTCATATTATCGTAAAATTATCACTTATTGGGCATAAATAAAGTTTGAACAAAATAGGTTAGAGGCCTAATATTGCCTGAACCAGTCTAGGACAGGCCTAGGTAATATGCGCCGTAATCACACTGTCTTTCTTGTTGATGATATCGATTATCGAAGCCAACATAATTGATATAATTAAATACTTGGACCAAAATTAAATCTAATACCCAATTGCAAAACACGCCGAAAAGTGGTAACATTAGTAGGGATCATATACTATTAGGTACGTTGAAAATTGGTCAGGACTTGGGTCAGGAGTGCGTAAACCCCGCGTTCAAATTACAAAAATCGTGCCCCAGGTCAGGTCGGTCCTGCATGGCTTGGTCCAGGACACCTTCTTCTGTTGGCCTGCATTTTAGTGACCTGACCAGCTCCGGTCCAGGTCAGATAAACAACGTTCACACCTACAATCATGAGCAAAATTATTTACGTATTTTAGACACCTTTCCTCACCTTGACAACTGTTTTGTCGCGTATTTCGATTCATTATTGACTATCAAAATAAAGTTAACAAAATATCCGTAAACGAATCAGTAAATATTCATGAAATAGAATTCTTTAAAATAGACAAAGATCATTTTTATTGCCGTATCTCTCTATAGAATTCAATAGGAGATTTATTGCATACATTTTTCAGTGAAGAATTTGCTCCAAGAACTAACGACAACGCATGGCACATGCTGACATGCGCACACAATTGACACGCCTTTTCATTTGCGACAGAAGTGCTTTTTTGGCAGAACTGAATTAAAAAATGTATCACAGGTGAACAGAACAGGTGTCCCAGCGGATAGTGCCACCCGCGGACACTAAGCAATCCGCGACGGCGATTTATGTCCTTCATCGCGAATAGTGTCAAGAAGTATACTATTTGCTAGAGTATCGTGTCCGGGGGAGGGCACTTCGGCAGCCGCGGGAGGACGCTATCCGCTGTAACACCAGCTAGCAGTGTGACCAGACGTAGTAATTTTAATTACTTTTGGTAATTTTTCGGATGATTGTAGTAATTGGAAATTTGTATTAATCAGGCTACAGTAATTTTTCTTAAAATTACAGTAAGGTTTAATGCTTTTTACAAGGTTGAAAAAATCCCTAGGTGGACAGGTCTATCCAGTTTTCGTACAAGTGGCCCCTATTTGTCTTGTGTCCCAGGTCATTTCCACAGCAAAACAATAATTTATACGATTCTGTTAGGGTAAAGTAGGGATATTTTTGAAAAAGATTTGGAATTACCAATGATAATGCGGGATAAATGTGTGCGTAGTAATTTCTGTCCCCTAATTTGGTAATTGCCTAATGCCACAGAATACCTAACAGAAGTGGAACTCTATATTATTTTTTCGTAAGTGTGATTCGTAATATTCGTCACTTAGCAAGTGCATTTTTTTGAGGTAGTCACCCCCCTGCTAATGTCTAAAATTAGCCCATTTTTAGTATTGGCAGGGGGGTGACTACCTAAAAAAAATGCACTTGCTAAGTGACGAATATTACGAATCACACTTACGAAAAAAGTACAGGAGTTCCACTTCTGTTAGGTATTCTGTGCTAATGCCTTCAGACACAGAGTACTACACAGAGGTGGAACTCGCGGCAAATCTTGTCCCCCTGTTTTTAATGCGCACGCGCTAGGCTCTGGCAAGTGTTTTTGCACTTTTTAATAAGGAAAATTCGATTTTTTAGCAGAAAAAATAAAATTTTAAAGCCAAGGTCTTTTGCTCTTCGTTTTTTTGACAAATTTTATTTATCCATCCGACATTGCTCCTTTTGGATTAAAAATGACTGCGATAATACGAATTAAAACGGAAAAAAACGGGAAATACAACTACGAGGAGTGCGATTTTCACACGAAGCTTGCCAGAACTGCCAGGTAAAAATTGAAGGTTTGGTATTTCATGTAATAAATGTAGGTCTATATGACTATATTTCGCCAACATACAGTCATATTTTTTTCTAGATGGCAAAACAATCTCTCAAAGTTAACTTTGAGCAGATGACATATCAAGACATTGAGTTCTACTGTTCAACAGTTCAAGATAGCAAGTTAGATGGCTATTAAAAAAATGCTTTACAACGTATACGCAGTTTACTGATATTTGTGAACCCTATATATGTTGTCTCCTATGCGTATTATTATTTCACTTTGGACTCTTCGGCCCTCTTTGGGCTGGCACCAATGGAAATTCTAGAACTGAATTATCTAGCAGCACCAGCAGCAGCAAGGTTAGACAATGGTTCTAGAATTATAGCTTGCATATCAGTATAAGAAATTTATGTTATTCATATATAGGTAAGCTTTTATATTACCCTTATGCATTAACTGCTCAAATTATTTAGGCTTGGTGTAAATTCATTCATGTAATTAATCTCAACAAAAAGCCTTGTTCTTGAATCTATCCATGCAAGGTTAATTCTGCAACATTAAAACTCCATGTAAAAGGGAAGGTTAGGACACATTCATCATATTATTATAGTTTCAGAGCACAAAATATTTATATTTTTCATTATATTCACATCCAAAAATTGTAAAATAGCTTTCAATCTTCTCATAGAAGCCACACAGAATTGCATAGATTAGATTGGAAATTGATTTGCATGTCCTTCATGAATATTACAATCATGTATGAACTGAAATTAATATCTGTTAGCATTTACCATTTTGTGTGTGAAGTTGGATTTATACTCATGTAAAAAGTATTGTATATAGGTAAAAGTTGCATTTGTTTATTGTAAATCCTTTGAATTCAAGTTCAAGATTCGAATAAAAAACATGTAGTTTTTGCTAGTTTTATGGCACAATAAATTATTTTCAATGATTTTTTTCGTGTGTTTGAATTGTAATATTAACACATCAATCATGCTTTTTTTAAGATCAGCTCAGATGTTTTCTGGATGAAAAAATAACTGCCTAATTTATAATCGACGACGATGTTGGCAATCAGCTTGATATTTATAAAGAAAATCATTCGCGCTTGTATTTCTTACCTCTTTAATCTAACGCATATATTTTTTACAAAAAAACAACCATTTACCGTTTGTTTTTAAAATTTAGGCACAAAAATGGAGATCGATAGAGCCAGCTTTAAAATATTAACATTTTTCGTCTTTCGAACACCTTTTTCCCTTACTTTAGAGTCAAAATACACTTGCCAGAGCAATTTGCGTGGCGCGTGGAATGGCGTAGGCAGGGGGACAGCAACATCAAAGGGTTCCGCCGCGAGTTCCATAACTGTATATCATTAAACTGTGCTTCAGAGTTCAGAAATTGAAAACCTGGTCACATCACACTACCAGCTAGACAATGTTTATTTAATAATGCAACATATTTCCGCCGTTCATGACTTATAGCATGTCCAGGAACACTTCAAAACAAAAAAACATGACAAAGGTCTTGTCTGCAATCGATTATAAACTCTGAAAACACTCGTTCGGCGAACAAAGTTGTCTTGAAAGTTGAAATGAGGTCTCTTTCTGGATTGTTTCGAAATGGCTTGTGGCGGCAGGGAAGGATGGCCTTTTCAACAACGAATATTTCTAGCTACTACAGCTATGAACCGGCATTTCCAATCGTTGGAAGGCACCCGAAAATTTCAAAAGCGCAAGAAGCTGTTTCTGCAATAAAATCAGGTAGCGAATTCATGTGTCAATTTTCAGGTTATTTGGAGTATATTAGGTAACACGTATCAATTAAGATTGTATAACTGTATTTAACTCGTTCCCTGTTGTAACTTATTAACTATATACATCTTACTTCATATTTGGATTACTTGGATGTGGATTCAAAATTTAATTAGCTAGCTAGTACATGACAGCCAGAGAAATATGTTAACAGAGTTTACCATTTTGGTCAATTTGAAAAATTACTGGTTATATAACTGGTTATATATTTTTTATGTATGAATTAAATTATAATACTATTTATCTCTAAATTTCACATTTCAACAGTCAACTTAGACATACAAATTGTACAAGTCACAATTAAATTGCTTGACTTAAAAACCTAATTATTTTTCTGCATTAACCTATATATGCTCAACATGCACCCATTACCTTTGCCTGTTGTATTCTTTTTACTACTAAGCTCGCTGGTTTGTTTATTTAAAGTAGAGGACCTATATATGTAAGGAGGGGCAAAAGATCTAAGAGGGGCAAGTTAAAGTAATGTAAAGTCATTGTATAGTCATAACCAGTATACAATGTGAATGTGTATTACAATACTAAATATATCATTTGTTTATTTTTAGATGACAGGGTGTTTATCCAAGGTGCAGCAGCCACTCCTCTGCCACTTATTAAAGCCATGTCAGAACATGGAAAGTCCACAGGGCTCAAAAATGTTGAAGTAATTCACATCCACACAGAAGGGCAAGCAGAATATGCTTCAAAGGAATATGAAGGTATGGGCAGGGACATATAGCGTGACTAGTTTTTCACTGGGGGGATACAACATCCCAAGTTTTACCGACGAGCATGTGGCACTTGAAGCACATTGAAGGAAATCATATATAGCCTTTTGGTTGTTTGGTGCAAGATTTAATAAAAATAATTTGTAAATTAAAATAAATTTAATAAGTGACTGGATTCGATCCCCAAACCAATTCAGCCTCATATTCAAATTGCCACAGCCCACTTAACGCTTTTGTGTATATGATTTTGATAGATTTGATTTCTTGTCAGAACACAATATCATATAGGGTCACAATTAATACAACAAGTTCTGACATCAATATTATTGCAAATTCATTGCCAAATAAACATCTCTTAACAGTATCAATAAAAAATTGTTTGTATCTCACTTGTTCTTGCCATCACCGTATAGGGTCAGTCATATGCAAATAATTAGTTTTGGAAATCCTTTGACAACCTAGGGCAAGCAATTATAAATACACCTATCAAATTTGACTCGAAGCAGTGTTCTTATTTTCTAATTTGATCTTTGAGAGCACATACTTCAGATACATTTCGCTCATTCCAAGATACTAAGATTCCGCTCATTTCAAAATAGATCCCGCTTATTTCAGGATATACGCGCACTCATTCCAAATTAGACTGGGCGCTCATTCCAAAATAAACTGCGCTCATTCCAAAATAGACTGGGCGCTCATTCCAAAATAGACCGCGTGCTCATTCCAAAATAAACTGTGTGCTCATTCCAAAATAGACTGTGCGCTCATTTCAAAATAGACTGGGCGCTCATTTCAAAATAGACTGGGCGCTCATTCCAAAATAAACTGTGCGCTTATTCCAAAATAGACTGTGCGCTCATTTCAAAATAGACTGGGCGCTCATTCCAAAATAGACTGGGCGCTCATTCCTCTCGTTCCGTGATAGATTTCGCTCATTCTGAGATAGGTTCCGCTTATTTCAAGATAGTTTCCGCTAATTACAAGATATTTAACGCTCATTCCAAAATAGATTCGACCCATTTCGATATAGCTAGATCCCCCTTATTAGGGAGCGCAGTAATTGGTTTAAGCTGTTGCGTTTTCCTGCCATTTGTTTTTGTTTTTTTCATTATTATTATTTTATTATTATGTAATTAAACTTATTTAGCCCTTCATTAAAAATGATTTTCAAGGGGCCGTTTGCATGCAAAGTATAAAAATAATTAACGTACATGACGTACTTAACGTACATAAAGTACATAACGTATACATCATATTTACATTAATTTAAGTTAGGAAAAAAAGACAATCACACATCATAAATAAAAATGCTGATGAATAATCAATACATTTTAATATTGTTTGTACCTGGCAAAGTTAATAAATTAAATTCCGAGATAGATTGTTCTCATTGCGAGATAAAATGTGCTCATTCCGAGAAAGATTCCCGCTCATTCCGAGATAGATTCCGCTCAACCTATATATTTAATTTATTTGTCATGTTTTTAAAAATCTCTGGTTACAGATAGTTTTTGAATGTTCTCTAAATAGCTATGTTACAGCCTCTGATTCATTGGGCCAATCAAAGAATGCTTATTTTCGGAGTTTTATATATGCCATGTGATAATTTGACTTTTTTTGCTCTCAATGCAGCTCGAAATCTTTTAATGATATTAAGGTACCACAAGGGTAAAAAGGAGGAGCTGGTTAAAAAACCAAGAACAGTTTATTTATTCTGGTTTATTCTTTTTTAAAGGTATTTTCCGAGATAACTGCCTTTTCATCGGTGGAAATTTGAGAAAAGCGGTGAATGAAGGTCGTGCTGATTTTATGCCAGTGTTTCTTAGTGAAATACCTCTTTTGTTTCGAAGAAATATCTTGAATATTGATGTTGCTCTCGTGCAAGTCTCGCAGCCGGATGAACACGGCTTTTGTAGCCTCGGACCAAGTGTTGATATTACAAGAGCTGCAATCCAAAATGCAAAGTTTATTGTTGGTAAGCATGTCTATGTTAAACGTATAGTTATTTGAGTGAAACGTCTGAATTCCACGATGTATAATATTTTTATAATTTCATTATTCGTATTAAGATTTGAAAAAAAAACTCATGGTCTAATGGCTACCTAAGATACACAAGAACCTTAATTACCTAATATATATGTGCATAATTAATATGTTTTACGCATACGCGATAACTAATCTCCGCTGATCATTACATACGAGTTTAATAAATAAATCTAGATAATAATGCCAACAGCGGCGACAATGACAACTGCAAAAAAAACATTTCTCGACGTTTCGAGAGAGTTGACAGTAGCTACTAGTGTTTTTGTCTATTTTAGGCAGTTGTCGTATCACATTTAGCTATATAACAGCCATGCCTTACCTTCACAGCTTTGAGCAACCCGTCAATGCCCAGAACATTTGGTGACAGCTTGATTCACAAATCTCATGTGGACGTTATGGTTGAAGTTAACAACCCTTTGCCTGAAATGAAATCAGAAGAACCAAATGATGTGGAAAAAGCCATTGGAAAACTAGTGGCTGAGAATTTGGTGGACGATGGAGCCACATTACAAATGGGTAGGTATCGCTGTAACTTTCCTTTCAGTTACTGTTTTATGGAGTCTCTGCAGTTGTAAGTTGTCGGCACGCATGCTCAGACCATATTACTTTCACAGATCAGTTGAGCTTGTTTCATCCGATAAACTATCTTCTTCCGCGGTATAGGTATTGGAAGCATCCCAAACTCAGTTCTGTCATGTTTACATGAACACAAAGATCTTGGTGTTCACACAGAGATGTTCAGCGATGGAGTTGTTGAACTGGTCGAACAAGGATGCATAACAAACGCAAAAAAGGTTATTCGACCTGGGAAGATAGTTTCTTCCTTCGCAATGGGATCTCGGAGCCTCTTTAAGTTCATAGATAACAATCCGTCAGTAGGTGAGAGTCGTATTACTGAATGTATCGCAAATATCAAGTTCTTAGAAATGTCGATAATCCGATTCAATCCATTTTTCTGTAGACATGATGGACATATCTTTTGTGAACAAGGTCGAAAATATTTCCAGAAATCCTAAAGTAACTGCCATTAATTCATGTATTGAAGTTGATTTAACTGGCCAGGTTGTTTCTGACTCTATAGGAACAAGGATGTATTCCGGTATGTATCCAATAAATGACAAACCAGGCGAAATTTCGTGACGTCACTGAACTCACAGCCGCAACTGGACTAACTTTCATTATTTCAAATAGTATTTATTGGGATTCCTATGATTTTACATGAAATATTGAACCTTCAAGGCATTCCGATTGGCCAAGCTTCATTTATTGGTACCCAGTCAATATTAGGAAGCTAGCTAAAATCATATAGAAATGAGAAGAATTAGTATTTCTGCCGAGCCTGCTCTCACGAACGAATATAAAAGAAAACCAACAATTTTTCAGAATATTACCGGTAGAGAAAATAATTCCTACTTGTGGATACGAGACCTTTCCAAGTATCGCGTGGCGTGATCTTTTAATGCAACTAAATATATACGTGTTAGATTTTGTTGAAATGCATGTTTCTTTATATAGGGGTTGGGGGACAGATAGATTTTATTCGTGGGGCAGCATTGGGTTATGATGGTTTGGGAAAACCAATTTTAGCTTTTCCTTCCACGACAAGTAAAGGCGAGACGAGGGTGGTGCCTTACATCAAACAAGGTAAGTTATGTTTTATATCATTGGTTATGACCTACTCTGCAATCTGACCTTTTCTATACAATAATGCCAGTTGTTCGAAAGGAGTTTAGCTTAAACGGTGGATAAGTTCAAAATGGAAAACAAAATTATCTATTTATTGAACAACCGAACTGAAATACTTCAATGTAAATAGTTTAATCAGTTTTCAATGGAAGTACATATTGAATGCAAAAGATTCAGGCTCAGTCATTGGAGAGATGTCAAAGAGTATTTTTAAACTTCGGCTTATCCAACGTTTAAGCTAAACGTCTTTCGAACAACCGGCCCCTGGTATACATTTGCAAAGCCGAAGCGAAAAATCCTGCTTCACGAAGAAGCCACAGCGAAGAAGCACCTATACATCACAATTACCTCTTGAGTTTTCAAAAGCCATATACTATGGAAATATGGTTGACCCATACTGTTTCCACACTATAGTCATAGTACAGCATAACGGTGGTGTTGTATACCATATTCTAACCCAACTGCAAGACCGGTGTCAATGGTCGTTTTGTATGGATATATGGCAATTAACATGGGCACGATCGATACCAACCGATTTATGGAATTCACTATCCATATAGCCATGCATACTGTATGGCCATTTGTTCACACATTAAGCCCGTTTTCCCTTCAACCGTATCGTAGCGAAACGTAGCGTGTCTCATTGTTTTATATCATTAGTTCTGATCGAATACTGATCTGAAAGAAATACGCTACGTTATGTTACGTTACGAAGTGGAAAACGGCCTTCATACGCATGTGATCTTATTTTTAGGTGCTGGTGTTGTGACAACCCGAGCACATGTTCATTACATCGTCACAGAGTATGGCATAGCATATCTATTTGGAAAGAATTTAAGACAACGGGCACATGCACTCATTCAAATAGCACACCCAGCACATCGAGAAAACTTAGAGAAAGAAGCTTTTAATAGACTGAAGTGTATGCCGTCGCCATAGGTCGGAATTAGTGGTTAAAATAACTAATAATTTTGGCCTGAAATAATTTAATAAGGGGTAAGAGATAGGGTATGTATGGTGGTCTTCTTGAACAAAATGAGATTGTCTAAAAACTGAACAATAATCTAGACTCGCCAAAACACTTGCAGTGAATTTATTCAACCAAAGTCAAGATGTACAGAGTGTTTAAAAAACTGTAAACTCTTTTAAAATCAGATATTTTTGAAATTTTAGCACTGACACTGTGTCAGGGGATAAGGAACGAAAAAACAAGCAAAGCTAGTACGAAATTTTGTTGTTCGTGTGTTAAAAGCTACGGTGCATGCGATGATATAAGCTTACCTAGGGTTTTATGCTTACATTATTTTGTTATATATATTTATACAACTCGTAATATTTAACTTTTTTGCCCATACGTTCTCAGAAACATCTTTCTTTTAACTAATTGCTCGAGTGAGTCGAGTCCATAAATGAAATGTTTTACTGCATGAATGAAATTATCATTTCATTTAAAATTTCCCGAGTAAGTATTAAAAAAGTGTGTGGTTTACCATGCACAAGTTTGAAGGCGGCTACCCGAGTAATGAAAGGAATTTTTTCCTCGAAATCGTTATTTCAATTTTAATATTACTAATGTAATTAAAAATAAAAAAATGTGTAGTGATCAAGGCAATGCTTGCCCAGGTTTTAATACCTTCGCTCGAGTCCCTGAAAGGAATGATTTCCTCATTAAAAAATGTAGCCTTTCACCGCATGTCCTTGTGGCCTAGTGGTGAAGGCATTCAGGCAACGCTCTCCCGAGTTCCACGCGGATGTTCGAGTCCCTGAAAGGAATGTTTTTGTAATTGAAATTATTAAATATGGTGAAGGCGATACTCTTCCGAGCCTTAAAGCCGCGCCGGGTTCGCGTCCCTAAAGGAATGTTTCCTCATTGAGATTATTACTTCATTTCACTTCGTCCAAAAAAAGGGTTAAGTAAAATAAAAAAAACACTAGCCTCTCACCACAAGAACTAGTGGTCCAATGGTGAAGACGTTGATCTGCCAAGTCGACATCTGATAGCTCAAGTCCTGGCTGAACTGAAAAAAATGGTAAAGTGAGAATTTGTGAGTGTAAGAGCAAGAGGGCGAATATGCGCTCGCCTCGGGCGAGGAGTAGACTGAAGGGGTTTGTTGTTAGATCAGTGGAAGGAAACTGTCTAGAAGTTGTTGTAAAAGTAAGCTTTCTGAAAAAAATTAGAAGTGTTAGGGGATAGTAAGCCGTGTCTGAGGATAGGAAAAGGTAGGGGTATTAAGGGATAAATAGGAGTATGTTTTATACTCATATACCCCTAAGCATTTATTTAAAGTCATGTGACTACGAATGAACCAATCACATTTAAAATACACAGCACCTATATAACAATAGTGATTGTTGAAAGCCTGCAGCTATTTAGTCAACCTTATCTTATCAGGTCATTGCACTGATGAAGGCCAGGGTAACGGACCGAAAACCTACGTGGTGTACCTACAAGCTAATTTCCTTATGCTTATTTGGTTGCTTTAATAACCTTTTCTCGAGTGTCATAATGAAAAATATTTATACTCTGTTTCGAACCATCGCTTGCCACTTTCGTAATTATTGTCTTCACCACTAGATCACGATATCTTGTGCTGAACGAGGATTTACTTTATTCATGAAAATATTTTTGCCTGGATTCGAACCATCTTTGGCACAATTGTTTCTGTGGGCCCCATTTTAACTTTTACTATTAAAGATCAGGATGAAAATATTTTTGCTTGGATTCGAACCATCCACATGCCACCTGGGAGACCGTGGTCTTCCCGAATAACGGTAATTTATTTTATCTAATCATTTTCTGTAAGGTTGTGGTGAAAATGCGTCTTTACGGTATTTGAGCCATCGACTGACAACTTGCAAAACCATAATTTGTCGTAACCAATACACCACAAGAACTTTTGCTGCGCAAGAAAGATTATTTATTTTACCACCTGTGATTGGCGACCATCATTATTTTTTTATCTATAATCCTATTCCAAATTAAGGTCATAGTGAACAAACAATATTGGAGGGATTCGAGCCATCCAGATCAAGTTATACATTTTGAGAACCATCGTCTGCACCAATGCATCACAAGAGCGTGTGACGTTAGGTACTCATTTTATATCTAACCCTATTCTCAAAGTGCATAGTGAAATTTTTTACGGGATTCTAACCATCAACTTACCATTAATTAGCGACCTTTGGTATACGTGTTGTTTTCATCACAAGGCCTCACGAGGAAAAACTTTCTCACGGGATTCCACTTACCACACTTACACGTACTTCTATAGCTGTGTACAGGGTGTCCCAAAAAAAACAAAAACTATTGAAATCACCCTTAAATCCCCACGGGCTGAAATTCGTGAACACGGCATTCAAATTTTAACAATGAGTGATTTCAATAGTTTTCGTTTTTTTTGGGACACCCTGTACAGTATACCTATCACCGGGTAATTAATACAAATAAGTGCATAACTCGTCAGACAGGTTGTGAAAATTGTAATTAATATTCGGTTTCTATACCTTTCGAATAAATTAGAAATCTCGCGTGCAGACTATCTACAATCTTTGCTAGAAAACTGTATTGAAAGTATGTATTTACATCAATAAATTCAGCCTACATGCGTGACACGAACACATCAATTTACAAAAATTCCAAAACGATTACATACAAATTTCAAGTATACAATGCGATAGTTATTTGGTAGGTATAAAACGCTTTCACATGGCCTCATAGGCAAGCCAGTGCAATTTTCCACTGATAGACTTCCTTTGAAATTAGCGACACTATCTTGCCACAGGAAATTGGACGTATTGAAAAAACAATGCATGGTCAGTTTTATACTATGTATACGTCTTCGAAAAACGTTTAGACAATGGTGTTACCACGGAAAAGTGTTCATTAGTGAAATAGTTTATTCTTTCCCCATGGAAGAGTTATCCCGTTTACCAAAGAATTCCATTTCGGCGTAATACACCATGATCACACAATCAGACAATCCTGCTAAGCCGGAATAGCTGTTCAGATGTGGAAACGTATTAGCCCTCACAAGTAAAAGCGTTGTAAACCTAGAATATCTATCAGCCAAATATAAACATTATACCCCCCTTATTATTTATTAACTCTCGTATAAAATCGTATTATTACACAGTCTTGAAATCTCTTCAATGTATCGTTGCGCTTGTCGTCTTTCTTCCTCGAGTTGAGCTTCTAATTTTCTAAGATATCGGTCAACTGCCGCCGTTGCCGAGTATGTTGTAGACGATGCGTTAGTGTGTTCGACAGGACTTGCGGGAATTGCGTCGGGAATTGCGTGTGGTATGGTTCCCAGTTGGAAACTGTCTGATGCATTGGAATAGTTTGTGATATCTGTATCAACTTCATTTGTTGTAAAATGTTGGGTATTATTCGTTACTTTGCTGTTCACAGCAGTAAGTTCTCTTGCTCCATTATTTAAATCTTCAACCTTAGCCAGTTCTATGTCGTGAGATTCATGACTTAATTTCCTGTTGCTTAATGAATTGTTTTCATTCGTATGAATTTCAGTTAGTCTCGACTGCGTCGAATCGCACGAATCTCCACTTATATCTCGTACTGAGCTCTCTGCACCAACAACCTGCTCACTTGAATTAAATTCACCGCAGGTTATTGTCTTCTCTGACGTAACATCGATTCTATCCTTAATGTCATCGTGGTGAATGCATTCGCTTGACGTACGCTCAGCCATAGTGACAACTTGTGAGTTGTCCATAGTACCAGTGCCGTTGTGCTCCGTTTTTGCATATCCAAACGCAGCATTGTGAATGTTCGTTGTAAAACTGTCCTTGTCAGTTGAGGAATCGTGCTCATTGCTGCCTGCCTCGGAGATATTTCTCGTGGTATTGTTTACCTCGCTACAAGTGATCTCGCAACTGTCCATAGACGACGCAACATTTAACCCACCGTCCCCTAAATTGTTTATGGAACTTGTGTCGCTTCCTATGCACTCAGTGATTGAACTCGAAAAATGAGCTTGGTTAGAAATATTCTTAGGTTTCATACTGGTATCGTGTTGTGATTGAATATCTTCTATACTATCTTGTTTGTTGGCTGCCTCATGGTCATTAATGATATCAACTGGTGCACTTTCGGTCAGATCAGATGCATCCGTAGTTTTGGTGCTTTCTGCAATACCTTTGTCTAAAGTTGTAATATCCAAAATTTTATGGACTTCATGTTCTATTTCACCCTCGCTAGGAGCAGCCTGATCTCTGACGGTTCCTGTAGTATTGTTCAATGTACTGTTATCAATATTAGTGTTGTTATCTTCACTCTGGCCAACAGTAACTGGAACATAGTCACTTCTAGAGTCTTCATTTGCATTCGTAAAAATATTTCTCTGCATGTGTTTCGTAGTTTGATCAGCATCGGCCTGCACACGTTGGTCGCTATCGTTGTTTTCATTACAATTAGCGTTCGTTGAGATTTCAGGGTCTGGCGGCCCTCGGTCCACCTCATCCAGGTTGGTGCCTGGGTGAGAATTGACAGTGACAGGATTTGGGTCACTTATATTCAGGTCAGCATTGACGTCAATAGTATTATTGGATAAGCTATCATCACGAACAGCTACAGAGGACCCATCCTCGGTGTTACCTAAGCAACTGTCACCCGCGGGTACAGAGGAATTCTCACGATTCATGTTTGCAAACAAAGCGAAATCCGATTTGATAGTTGGAAACGCTTCGTTGACTTGGAGAAACGATGTTTGCTTTCCGAAACGACGCAAAGTTGCTTCGATTTCCATTACTGTACTCGTCACAGTAAGACTTGGTTCAAGAGAAGAATTTGCTAGGATGGGTTCGAGAGACGATTTTGATTCACCGGGCTCAGAGACAACAACATTCCTACCCATGAGTATTTCTTCACTCGGTAACGAATGACCTGCAAGTCTTGGTAGTGTATAAACATTATTCTCCCCTTTAGTGCTGTTTTCACAGGGATCTAGGATCTGCTTTTGGTCCCAGGTTTCCTAAAAAAACAAATTGTTTAGCTTGTGAGAGATCAACACTACCTAACACAAACTCCAGGCGGGACAGCTGCATAAAATTTTGAGTACATAAACAGCAGTTAACTTCAAAAAACACTATGCTGAGTGGCTATATCTGCGATTATAGTGCTGCGACCTAAACTACAGTATACTTGTGATTATACCTTATAGTTTTTATACCTAAATTGGTTTCCAAGTGTATTAGTTTTTTGTGGGTAGCCGCTTCGCGTACGTAGCTAACCATACTGGCTCGCGCGTTCCTCGCAATTTTCGGAAAATGCCGTGAGTTGTTTATTGAAAAGAAAATTTCTTTATCGTTCGAAGGTATTTGCCATTTTTATTTCGCTCGAGGGTTTTGGCAAATTTTTAGGCCAAAGTAAGATATTTTGCGATGTTTGTTTATTTCAATCGCTCAATTGTCCATTGTGGTCGAACGAACGGATTTGCACGAGCGAATTTTCACGCGAGTTTTAGACTACAAATATGGGCGTTACTAGCTCACACCACAACTTTACTGACTGCCGCAACAAGCTGTGCTTAATGGCGTTGGAATCAAATACTATTGTTCTACTATTGTTGTATTCTATTTGCCTTCCATTAATAAACCGTGAATTGTACTTGTGGTATGACTATGTTCAAATACTATCATAATGTGTACATGCGATTGTGACTAACTTGCTAAGACTGTCAAATGACGTGGAGGAAAATCCAGGCCCTAGGACTGGATTATAAATGATAATATGATATACTTGATGCTGCCTGTACAGTAAATGTTGATTTTAATGAGGGTGATTATTTAATCTTTGGTACGAGTAAACAGGATGTAACTATGTCATTTTATGCAATTATTTACAAAAAAATTAAATCAATGAATATTTGAGGTCAGTCAATTCTAAACAGTGAAATCAATACTAGTGCAAGGAGTTTGTATGGTATTATCACCGAGTAAACAAAAGTTTTTTATTGTTAACTGATGTATACCTGAGTTTGAAAGGATAAATAATCACACTTTTACAATACATTTGCCTACAATAAACCTTATACATAATGACGCAACAAGCCGTTTGAAGTTTGAATACAGCGATTCACAAGCCGTTTGAATTTTGAATTTTTACCTTGATTACTAAAACCAGAATTCCCTGCAGGCGTCACGGCTTGATACGTCATTATGCGTAAGGTCTACTGGTATGAAAACTGTTGCAATTATGATGCCCTTTAATTCCTAATGTATTTGCAGTGTTTGATTCGCATTCACTAAAATTTATGTGGAGGACCATCAGCATCGGATTACTTTGTTTTAATATCAGTGGAAGGACTAGAGAAACTTGGACAGTATTTTCAATTAACTTCAAGGTCAAGTGAAGTTGTATTGCCAAGAGGTGTAAAATGCATTAATTGTAATAGCATGATACAGTTGTATGACAGTGAACACAACTTGCACAACTTGCACAATTTTTGCCAAGGCTTAGCTTTATTGCAGCCAGTTCTTTAGAGGCTACCCACATGTACGCGTACCTATTTTTAATATTGCGATGGTGCTACTCTGAGTTACAAATAGCTAGGTCGACACGGTTCAAATTATTGGCACGGCAGGACTAAAATGCCAAATGGATACCCGTGCACAGCCTTTGTTTTGGTAGCCTGGGCACTAATAAAACTCGGCACAAGTGCCCATTTTAGCCGTGCCGTGCCAGTAAATTGAGTGTAGTGGGGCTTAATTGTCAAGTTTCAACGAACCTTTGGTCCCGATTAAAATTGCATGTATGCAATATTCTGCAATATACACTTAACCTTCCCCTTTTAATATAAATCGAAAGATGCAGAAAAAACCTCACCTCATCACAGATCATATCGAATAATGAGAGAATCACGGCACCAATACCTTCAGCTGATTTTGAGATCAGCGCCACGAGAAGCTTTGGGTAATTCGTTAATGTTTGCACAAAATACCTAAAAAGATATGAAAAAGTTACTTCTAGAGGTAATAGCATAAACTGTACGTTAGGACGTAAGTTCTAATACCAAGGAACAAACATTTTCTTTAAACATTTTCTTTAAACATTTTCTTATCAGGCACACTGTCAGTATCTTACCCATATTTTGTTTAATTCTGTTATTTTTATAAACTTTAAGAACTTTTCAACGAATCCTATAGTATAGTGTAACAGGAGCGATAACCAACACTATTAGTGGCACGTTATGTGATGTTTATGTATATGCGTGTCTATACCATCAGGTACGTCGGAGTAATTATCGTATACGACTAATCGCGCAATATGTGATACGTTTGCACCGATAAAAACACTACATGAAATTATGAATAATTGTGACCAACCGGGCAAGTTAAAAATATTGGTGACCGCGGTAGTCCAGTGCTCTTTCAACTTAGCTACTAGCAACCTCGTACCCAGGGCCTTCTCCTCCCCCTTACGAAAACTCCTAATACAGTTACCCAAATTTTATAAATTTAGAATTATTCACTATTTAACAATTAGACAACGAGTCCGAGTTGTCTATGAGCGAATAGTCAACGAGGCGAAGCCGAGTTGACTATTTGCTCATAGACAACGAGGCCGAGTTGTCTAATTGTTTTAGTATAAACTATAACATTAATTTACAACTAGGAAACACAATATAAAATTCTTGTTGGCTTGCAAACCATTCTGAAATTTATTTCGTATATTAAAGGAAGAAAATATTTTAATTGTTGTTCGCGTAAAATGTTTTAAAATTCAGTTTAAATATAAAAATTCAATTGAGTATACGTTATTTTTATGTATTTTCTTACCCTTAAAAATTGCAATTCCGTATTTTGTTGCTTTTTTTGTTTTTTCTGGTACGGAATTGTCCAACAAGTCGTCCAAAAAATCTTCAGATACTTCGGCGAAACGCGAATTTTCCGCCATTGTTTTGAATTTTGCTACTAGTAGGCTATCACTAATAGCCTACCAGTAGCGTAGCCAATCAGAACGCAGGAAAAGTGATAGCCTATTAGTCAGTTTATACTAAAACTTAATATAACAAAATAGCATAGGTAAGGTATGTGGAATCATATGAATGAGCTCTTAACATTTTCATAATGCAAATTACTAGTGTGGTTTTATATACTGGATGCAGGTATACATTCAATATACAAATGAAATTTAAATTTAGCATGGCAAGACAAAAATTGGTATCCATACCATATTCAATTGTGTTTAGGGGCCGGTTGTTCAAAAGCCGGTTAACTCAAATTTCATATCAATTTTTTTAATTCCTTGTTAATGAAGTTGAACATGTTTTTTCATAAATATATTTGTTGATCAATAGTAGTCTTATTTTGTAAAGTCTTGAAACAAACAGCGGTGCAGAACCATATAAACCAAAACAGTGGAGTAAGATTTAACCCAGGGTTAGCGCTAACCCAGCTTTGAACAACCGGCCCCAGGCAGCCAATACAAATGCTGAACATGAAAGCAGCACAAGTATGTACCTTTTTATCAGTGCCATGCCCATAAACAGAGTGTACTGTACTATAAATGAAGCTCATCGCAATACAAGTGACTGCTATTAGTTGTCTTTGTTTCTGATTTAGTAGTCTAAATGGAGGTTGCATGTTTCCACAAAAGAATGGAAACTATTCCCAGGAGAAAGAGAGATTATTTCTTTACATAACATAACATAACGTAAATTTCACATTTCCTAGCAAGCCACAAAAAGATATACTGTTCGGCTTTTTTATATAAACCAATATATAATAAATAAACTTCACTTCTTATAAGAGACTCAAAACAAATGAAACACTTATGTACATACATAAAAACAATAGTAGACCTTTGAAATATATAACACAGTGATTTTTAAAGGCTGCAAGATATGCAGAAATGCATCATTGTACATTTTGTACACATTGTAGCTGTACATGTTCTGTGATCAGTGAAAGAAATTTCCTTTTTTCCAATGGGGTTTTTGATCAGTTTGCAAAAATGATATTTTCGCAGTTAGAAATATTGTATTTTCATATTATCCTAATGTATGTAATTGAATAAATACCTATGGCAATACTAGATTTCAAAGTCAGTTTGTTTACTGATAAAAATTTGGCATTAACACTTAAAAATTATTGGCCATCCTATAGATAATTGTTTATTATCTGTAGGCTCCTACCCAATCAGAATTGAGATACAACCAAACTTGTATAATAATTGTTTTTAACTATCAGTGGCTGGTTGTGCAAAAAGCTGGATAGTGAAGTTGCAGCATTTTTGGGACAGTTAAAAAAAACACTATCTTTTGGATAGAGCTATCTGGTCTTTGTACAAAACGTATCTCAATACCGGTATAATAAAGTATAAAAATATTTTTAAAAGTTTTACAATTTTGGACATATGGTTTTGCATGACAAAACAACCTGTGAAATGACATTCAAATACTGGTGCAGATATATAATATACTGGAAAATTGTAAGGTCTAGATTTTTTTGTGATTTTGAGTGCAATATTTAATGCAAAGGATTCTTAAAACTTTAAGACATAACACCTGCAAAAATGGAATGCAGGTGACTCACAAAATATTACAGTCAACTTATTAGATTCACTTATTAGACATACAAAATATTAGACTGACTTTTCTGTCTAAAATAGGATGTTTACCCTTTTTTGCAAAATGTTCAGAGCAATTTGGTAGCAAAGTAACAGGGGACTATGGCATTAGAGACTCAGATGTGACTTAATTCCCACTCAGATATATATTTGCAAGACCCCACTGAAAAACACTATAGGTGATGTGGGTATCCTGGTTAAATATAATAATAATAATATAGTGTTATATAACACACAAACAATATTGAATCAATATAATACCTGGTTTTGGCCAGTACTACATTGTCTTTCTCTACTCCTGTCTTGGACATATCATCAAGTTTCATTCCACATAACACACCACTTCCCAAACCTCGCATAACTACCACATCACACTGGCTTGTTGCCACATCTTCCAAAGCCGTGATTAGATCCGACATTATCTTTAGACAAGTACCTTTACGCTTGCATGTTTCTCGATTGAGTGTAATATAACAAAAGCTTTCCTCATATTTAACAGATACATCATGTTTTTGCTTTGTTGGTCCAACCTGCGACTTACGAACAGTATTTACATCAGTTTCACTACAGAGCATCTTCCGGAGAGCCTTCTGTGAACTGAATGCAAACGTACATTCCTTCAAGCTCAGGCTATCACAACAATATGCTTGAAATGGTACCCGATTGACCACAGAGACATCTTGCTCACATTCAACAAGATACTCACGCAAATAATAATTATGTTTATCCATTACAACGTCATCTGATGATACCCAACAACTCGTTCCATTCTGCCACTGAACAAGGAACTCGTAAATACCATTAGGACTTCGACGCATACCCAAAACTCTATCAAGATCCTCTGAAGATTTTGATGCTTCTGAATCCTTTACCTTGGTCAGCTTACCCATCTTCTTGTTCATTTTGTTAGTCTGATTTTCCTCGACCTCAACATCCACCTTAGCACAAGAAGTTTTCTTTACTTTGCATATAGCCCCATTTCTTCTATTTCTTTTTAAAACATCGTTCTTGACAGTTTTCTCGTTTCTTCGAAGCTTCAGTTTCTTAGCTAGAGCCTTTCTCATTTTTAAATCTTTCAAACACTGTGATCCATCAGCTTTGGCAGAGTCTGGGTCTTTTAGCATGTCCTTTAAGATAAATGTTTTGTCCAGCTTCGCACAAGGTTTTACAATACGTTTTCTCTTCGATGATTTACTTCCAATATCACCAGCTACTTTGCCACTAAGTTCAAATTCCTTACTTTCTGTACCACTTTGAGTATTTTCAGCCGAAATATTTACGGATGGTGAATTTAAAGTGCATTCTTTACAATATCTACAGTTTTGTCTTTCGATAAATGATCCCGCATTGCCGTTGTGAAATGTACACGACATTTGACAGTCGTTTGAAATTTGTTTTGGGCTGACGACTGTCTGTCTCATTGACGAAACACAATTCGAAGTTTCGTGCAAATAATTACCTTTAAATGATGTATTTACAAGTGTCGTGGAACGATTTAAATGTGTATGTTCGTTAATTTCTGGTGTAGATTCCTCTTCTGGCTTTATTAGCGATTCGAAGCGTCGCCTGCCATTGTTCTTGCCCGAAATATCAACGCAACAACCATTGCTTGTGAAAGAATGCTCTGCTGTCTGTTTAGACTGTCTGGAGCAAAAGTTATCTACCAATGTGGGTTCTCCGTTTACAGCATCGGGCTTAGAAGCCTTTTCACACATTACTTCACTACCTTGCGAAGTAATTTGGTCCAACGAGTCCTTGTCTGGGGTTTCATCGGCGACATGTGAAATGTTATCGTTCGAAATTGGAGAAGTGTCTTCAAAAACATCGGGGTATTCGACATTTGCAAGACATTCTTGCTCCCCGAAATTATTTGTAATCCTGTCGACCTGAAATTCTACAACAGGAAGCAGCATAGCAGCCCCATGTTCTTTAAAACCATTTACATGCAATTTACTATTACTGCTTGGCAGCTTTCTTCTCCGTCGGCTTCGTTTAACTTTCAATCTATTCTGGCTATCTTTTACAGACCTTACACTTCCGTCGCCACTATCCGAATCTGTGTCGAGATATCGCGAAGGAATTCGTGAAATTCTCCCCGTATAAGTATATCGAGGTTTTTTTGCTTGTCGAAAACCATTACACGAGTAAGAATTATGTTTCTCAAGGCTTTCATTGTCGATGTTATGCCTCAGCGGCCATTGCGAAGGGCTGCTGTTGACATTGCTACTTTGCTTTGCTTCGAGGGCTTCGCCTTCGTTGTAACTTGAACCATTATCGAATTCACTACCACCATCATCATTACCATTGCAAGAAACATTTCCTTCAGTCAAATCCATAACATTGCTTACAAGGGAATCATTTTCTATCGCCTTACTACGAGAACGAACAGATTTTGAAGTTTGCAAATATGTGGACAATAGCTGAGTTTTCATTCAGTAAGCGCGTGCGCCATTATTTAAATTCCAAGCATGTGCTTTAAAGGGCATACCGCTGACCTCCTGGTAATTTCTGAATTCTTGACGCTGGAGTGCTTATCCCTTGGTTTTAAACTATTTTTCGTTGTGTTTGTTTAACGTTTTCAATATATTAGCGATTATTAGGTTATAATCGACTCCTTTAATTACATTTTTTTCTAATTGGCACCGTTAAGACAGCGAATGAACCCTTTTGGTCCAGGCTGAAGCCGAAGGTGTAATTAAAACAAATTACCCTGGAGTACATAATCTTTTTGCCATTGTTCCACTGACACGGGATTTATTGTGTAACAAGTAACAATTAACCACAGGTGATAAGAATTGTCGGGCCTTGATTTGACTTTTTATCAGACCGTCAGCGATTTTTAAAAATATGATCTATGTAGGCCACGAATAAAGCAAAAATTGTCACTTTTTTCCAATAGAAAGCTTCTGCGCAGCAGAGAAACTTGTGACTTGTCTTTATATAGCGGCGCAGATATATAAGTCAATAAGACTATCAAAGGCCGTTTTCCAATCTAGAGGCTCAAATTTCAATAATTTGTCTCGCTCGAGCGGCTTAACTTCATTTTCAGAAATTTACGATGGTTTATGTTCTTATCACTTATCAGTTATCAGGCCTTAGACTAAGCCGGCTTAGATCGTCTTAGCCTATTCGCATACATGCAATACTCACAATAAACAATGCCATACTTGCTAAAATACTAAATTCGGTTTTCAAAAAATTATTTGAAGGATTTAAAGTATTGTCTGGCGTGCAGATACCGACGTACGAAACGCGTTATTGGGGAATTTTCGTTCAACGTTTTTTTGTTTCATATTCTCCTTCTTATGTTTAAAAATTAAATATTGGTTGTGCCTCGCAGGGGCGGGTCCTACCGGGTCGAAAGTGGTTCAATCCACAGTCACTGGCTGGAGTTTTAAAAAAGTCCAGACCATTTTTTCTTTATTGCCCGGCTTTGGCCGTTTCACGTATAAAACTCATCAAGTAATGAGACAGATGTAAATCGGAGTCACCTAAGTCTCATGCACTATTACTATCACTTTAAGATGTAAATCCGCTGAAAGACGTGCTTCTTGTCCGACCTTTCCGGTGATGTAAACGGATAAATTGGTACGAGTGAAATTTGGCTTACTGATCTGGCAGAAGTTTTGAAATTTTATCCACACCATTCTTTCGCTACCGTACCAAAAATTATGTAGTGGGTAGTCAGTAGTGTATCCAAATTCATCCGTACCAAACCGAAAATTGCGTGTAGTGTGAATGGGGCTTGAACGTCCGGCAACTGAGACCCTGTCTACACTAGTGCGTTTTCGTTTGAAAACGCATACATTTCGATGCGTTTAGGCCTTCATACATTTCGATGCGTTTAGGCCTGAACTGAACTAACGGGAAACACGTCTTCAGTCGAATTTAGACGGATAAACCAGACGAATTTCTCAATTTACAACGCATTCAAAGTCGCAACTAGGGAAATAAATCGATTAACGAACTATGAAACATTTTTTAGCACTACCCGACCAATTATTACATTTACGTCTCAACTGATCCATCCTATTCATTTTCCGACGCGCTTTTACAGTCGATATTCCCACGTTCGCTTCTAGCTTTTTATCGAAACTTACGAAATTAGCCATTTTGGTTACCTCAACTTGGCTGCAACGGATGTCCATGCAATCAATAGGTTTATTAAAATTTAGATATATAGAGAAACAGCGTATTGATCGGCCAAATTTTTGCATGTCTATGTAATGAATAACTTTCATCACAACGCAATAAATTCACGCGGTTGATTTAAAAAATTACTCATTTATCAAATTGCTGTATACATATTTGCTAAAGTCAGGATAAAGTAGCATAAAAATAAATTGACAATATATTTATTGAAAAATTAAAACTTTTCATTCACTACTTTTGATAGTACATGAAAAATCAGTAAAAACTAAAAAAGTCGTCGCTATTAGATTAGAAATCGTCTTTAAGTGCTGGTCGTGATGAGTCGTAGGTATTTACCTTAAAATCAGAAGAAGTATATAAGAATTAGTACTTATCGCTACTCGGTACTCGAGCCTCTAGCCTAAGGCCTGTTTTCCACTTCAACCCTTTCGTACCGAACCGTACCTATAGCGTATTACTTCGTTTCAAAGTCATTATTTCTATCCGAGTTCCAGGAAAGAATGAAATACGCTACGAATTTACGATAGGTTATAGAGTGGAAAAACAGCCCTAATACTTTGTGATCGATTACGTGTACAGTCATCCTGATTCCTCTCGGTTGGAGTCGAAAAAGTCCCTGCTTGGGTTAGTGATAAACCTGTGTTAAAATTCCTAACCCTAGGCTAGTTAAACCTGGGTTAAAACAGTGTGTTCAAAGCAGGGTTCAAAGCAGAGTTAGCGTTAACCGGCTTTTGAACAGCCGGCTCCAGGGGCTTTTCAGTTTACAGTTTTTTAACTAAGAAATATTCACCAGATGATCAGAAGATCTGATTAGCGACTCCATGCACACTAAAAACATGTCTGATTTCTATATATTCATCTTTACAATGTTTATCATATTCAAATATTCCAAAGTAAATCTTTCATTGACATTGCCTCGCTCGTCACCATGGTTATCAGGTCTAAACTCTCAGAAAACCTCCCTCAAAATCCCTTTCTGAGAACCACTCAGTTCCTAACGATAATTTTACACTTACCGACATCCCACGATGTTTTTGTCTTCGTTTTCTAACCTAGAAATAATGAACGTAGTTTAGGTATAGCAGAAATAGTCGTCACATGGTGATAGCATTAAAGCACTTAAGGAGTAAGGCCTTGTTACACGCAAGGTACAATTTTTGGCAACTTGTAATGGCATTCTACTTTTAGGAGATGCAAATTAGTGAACAGCTTTCAAATGTAAGTGTAAGACTGACGTCCATGGAGCGTAATAAACACAATAGTTTCGTAGTTGCCAAATTTACATCTCCCAAAAAGTAGAATTGTATCGCAAGTTGCATGATAAATTACACCGAGTAACAGGAACAGGATCCCTAAATATCTAGAGAATAGACGTGGTACATTTTTAAGGTCCGTTTGGAATCAACTTTTGGACCACTTGGGAGACCCAAGTTCATCACTGTGTGCATGGGGTGGTTTGGGGGGAGTTTGTATGTTTTCTGCTATTATCATAACTTTGATAACAAAAGTTTCCTACCATGAATAAAATTCCGACAATCAAGATAACAGCCAGTATTCCAAACACAACTCCAAGAGCGATTGCCAATACTGGGGTACTGCTTGAATTCCTCGTCTCCGTTTCTACACTTGTCAATTCAGCACTTTCTTGATATGATTCAGGTTTTGCCACCATTGTTTCACCGCCAAATTTAATTAAAAATGTTCCTTCTAAAACCTTCAAACAATACATAACCATCAAGGATATGGACTGACGCAAGACATATGGCACAAAGGCCAGGGGATATGCATTGTGGCTGTCGGTCTGATAACGTCAGTGTGGCACCCCGATTTTTGGTGCCAGAACGTTAATGAATATTCGATTTACAGGTAGATAAAACCCACACAGGAAATACTCGTACGCGAATTGAGAAGTGACTGTGTCACATAAAAATAGTGCAGACAATTAGTTTCTCGTATAGTCTATGGACTGGTTGTGGTCTTGTGGAATGTGCATGCATGGATGCACTTTCCAAATGCAGCTTTCTCTTTTTTAAACTTGTATTTGCACCAACCTCGTACCCAGGGTCTTTTTACCTGGGTACGAGGTTGTATTTACACGTGATACAGCCTATATTCATGCATAGCCGTGAGCTATGTTTGGTGACTGAATGTGTGAACGCGTTATATTTACCAGCGAGTAGAATTACTATTTATGCATGTGATACATGATCCACATTGAAAATATTTCGTAAACTTACCGCTTCACGGATCTGACTTGAGGCATTTCTCAAATTTCTGCCTTCTTCGTATTTCACTAACTCGAATTTGACAATAATACTACCACTGGTAACCTGAGAAATAACATAAAATAATAATTGCCCTCCATATAAATCGGAATTCAATTACAAATGAATACGGACAAACTTTACTTTACGCCATAAAATAGCGTAAAATTTCAATGTGCTTGCGTACCTTGAGATTATGAACCTGCCGCGGATGTATTTCAAATCGATCTTGCAGGAAATTAAGTATCACCCTAAGAAAGCGAAAAATAAGGGTTTCGAATTTGCCTTTGCTTCGTCTCTGCAGCCCGTTTTCCACTGCGAATTTAGATATTCGTGCGACGCAATATGTGAAATGTGGTGATGTGCTTGGTTGGCGAATTTAAAGTAGAGTGGAAAACTGACTGAATTACGAAGCTATTTTCCAACAGGCGGAATTGTCTGCGGGCTTTCATGCAGAACTAATGTGAGAAAAACAAAAAAAAATTCCGCTCCGCGCGCAAAATTCCGCCTAGTGGAAAACAGCCCTCAAAGCTAGTTAAAGCATGTTTTCCACCAGGCGGAAATTTACCCGCGGAGCGGAATTTTTAATTGTCTGCGCGCTTTCACGCAGAACTAATGTGAGAAAAACAAAGAAAAATTCCGCTCCGCGAGCAAAATTTCGCCTAGTGGAAAACAGGCTTAACATGGGCGGCTTTTCTCAGCGATTTCAGGTATGGATTTTTTTCTTTTGATAGATTTTATCGAGTTCGTGAGTTACCGTTGTTCCTATATATAACTACAATATCTAAATTACACGCGGGTCTGATTCGATTTATTATTTATTAAATTTATTATTTAAAAGACTTACGTTTCGAAATCCTTAAGGGAATCTTTAACGCTGTCAAAACTAGCATCAAGGGATAACCTCACGTGAACACTTCTAAAATTGAAAATCCGTAAACCGAAACATTACGTCATCAGTCAACATAACCTAGATTGAAATATTGAAGGAAAACTCCAAACACAACAATCGAATAAACAATACATTATTTACCTGACAGGACCTTGAATCATAAAAAGAAGAGAAAACATGTAAGTATAAGAAAAGCTTCATATAGAGACCGGGTTCAGTACAAATGCATAAGTTTAATAATTTTATTTGTATATTAAAACAAGTGTTTCCGGTTGAATTTTAGACTGAACGCTAGTTCTCAGACTATTGCAAAGACATCCCAAGTAAAATAGTTGAAGCAGAAGTCTATCTCGTGGTCCAAGGCCGTATCTTGGCTATCATTACAATTGCCTTTTCTGGTGGTTACATCAAAAATTATAGTTTAAGTTATTTGCTCTCGGATTATGTCTTAGTATTTTATTTTGGTGGTTTTAAGTCAACTGAACAATAAAGTTGTGCGTAATTCACGGTAAGTCTTATTGTTGCTGCGTTCTATAATTTAACGACCGGTACCTAATAATTCGCCTTCAGCATTGCCTTTGTAATTTTTAAACTTCACGGAAATAGCACCACAGAGCAATGACGTGATACACTTATGGTTGTATTTTCCTTCAACCTACTTTTGCTGTAGTCGCATTCAGGTTGACCACGTACTCTCGTTCCAGGCCACTCGGTGCCATCCGGGGAAGAGCACCAACAATAGCCGGTAGATCCATGACACTGTATACGACTGTATGTACCATCTCCCTCACACCTAGGCTTAAATGCTCCGAGCAACAGGGGACCAGTCTCCAGTTTTTTTCGCTTGCGTTGACATTCGGTCAAACCTGCAAAGATATGACTATATCATTGGCAGTCCAAATTTCCGTCATAATTTGAACGCGAGAATTTTTTTGGTGTTTGGTCCTCCTAAATATGCTATGATATGGACTACAAGAAACACGACTACTTTTGACACTTGAAAACAAGATCGATGTTGAAAGACCCGTCGACAAAGAACGGTCAACATTTGGGCCAACATTTTCATATTACGCGGATATCCGTAGCTATTTCGCTTTTACGATCACTTAGTAAAATCTCCAATCATCAATTTTTACTGACGAGAAGAAATTGACCAAAATATAAGGCAGATTTACACTACACGCAGTTTAACGACACCGCACAGGTAAATTGGGTATCCGAAACCATTTTACTCGTCCCCAGACAACAAAAACTACAAAAACTGAGCGCGGATGAAAAGGGTATATAGGGGAATTTCGTTTTAATTAGAGGAATTTCGTTTAATTAGAGGAATTTCCGATCGTTTTAATTTGAAAACTAATCAGCAAATTAAAAATGTTTACATTTTTTGAGTTTTATTTCCAATTGTTTCACGATTTATACACGGTGTGATATTACGCTGGTAAAATAAAAAAACATTTTCCATGCTGATATATATAGTTACAGCAACACCATGGAAATTGAGAAAACAAGAAATTGTGTGGAAACCCGAGTTATATTATCCACATGCTTTAACCATTTAGCGTTTAAAATCAACGTATAAAATAATTCATCGAGTTTTGATAGAATAATATTATTTAAAGAAAAGCGCCTCTTCTTACTTACAGTCAACTTCATTTCCATTTTCATCATAGAACTCGACAGCGCAGTCGCAACTCAAGGCTGGCACACGACATGTTGCTTTTGGATTCCTGGCACAGGTCTTATCTTTACACAATGAAGAAGGACAAAAGTACAACGTGCTGTTCTTTTCTTGGCAGTGAACTCTCTTTTGTTTTGATACAACCTCTACAGTAGGAAATTACGCTTCATGTTTGTAATGATATTAATGGGTACATGGGTACGATACTACAAACCAATATATAAAATGAAATTAATCTACCACAATAGCAAGTGGAGATACATGCAGGGTGGGATTCCTACCCTGAGAATACTAATCGCTATATAAGCATATTTAGTATCAGTTTTCAAGCTTAACGATTTAGGGTTGGAAGTGTTTTAGAACTTTCGAATTTCGAGGTGTTCGCGTCTCTTATAGTAAATATTGCAAAATCGTGCCGAGAAAACTTTTAGGGAAACTGCCGCATAAGGTACTACCTACTATATACCATCGCTATATCGATTTGGATACCCTAAATCACTCACCTTTTTTGCCACAATCGGCTATAGTGCCGTTTGCAAACACGAACTCGACAGAACAATGACCACAGTAATTCATTTGGCATGTAGCCTGGGGATAGGCTGGACAGCTGACGTCATCATCGCACATGTTACGTAGACACATAACCAGTGGAGCTCCATTTGGACAAACTACAAGAAAAATTTATGTCCGGATGTAACCTTGAACAATTGCTAAAAATGAGCCTACACTAAAAAATAAACTTAAACTTTATTGGTAAAGTCTTATAGGTAAAGTCTTATTGGTAAAGTCTTGTTGGACTGTGGACCACGGACTATGCCATGTTTAACTACAACTCATTCAGTCATACCTTCTCTAGCAGGACGCATGCACTTTCGACTACAGCCGCTGGCGCAACATTTTTCATTTCCGCTACATTCGCTGTCTTGAGAGCACTCGCTTGTACAATCACCAGCATGTGAAGTGTTTACAAGAGGACAATAACCTGGTTTCACTAAAAAGATAGGATTACAAATATTATTACACCATAATAGTACTGAAGTTGTAACGAATATTAGTTTTAACTACCCAGGGAAGTATTACAAATCTTGAGCTGTTATTGTGGCTACATCTCTGATAGGTTTAGTGAGGTATAAGACGAGAACAAAACTTAAAGATACAAAGAAAACGTCGAATGGGTTGAGAACTCAGGACATTTCGACGTTCTCTTTAATAAATAGTGTATCTATACCACCAGGCTTATTTAAAGTAAGCACATGCACCCCTGGACAATCAACATTTCGATAGTTATAACTAGTTATAACAGTTAATCGTTAGTGACAAAACTGAAATAATTAGGACAATAGCTGCGACTCAAGCAAAGAGCTTATCCATGTGTTTTATTTTTTCGTTCAGCACGATTTCGTTGCTGAATTGCTAAATAGAGTACAGCATTTGAAAGATAACTCGAATATCTTGCATTCAGATCTCATTCACAAACGAATCAATTCAGTTTTTATAGCAGACAAAACTGCGGAATTATTTACCGTGAATAACGGGCTCACTGCACTTTTTCTGACAACACTTCAACGTTCCACCACACTCCAGGTCTTCATTACAATCAAGACCAGTAGTGGAAGGTGATTTTGGACATAAACCAGGTTTTAAAGGAGCCCTGGCGCATTCGCATCTTTGGCAACCACGTTCATCTTTGGCGAAGCCATACTGACAATAAATCATACATAGCACTGGCCTACAGGCTGCAAAAATGCAAAAGATTCAAAAGAAACATACTCCGAAGAATAACATTAAGATATATGAGCCTTTATTTCAAAGTCACTGTCAGACCAGATAAAATTTTGCATTATTCAGTCATTGTTCCGGTTTGACAATGACTTTGAAATGAAGTCGAAATATCACCGTAAAATTCTTGTCTTGATTAATATCATAATATAGATTTTAAAATATTTTATAACAATCGTCTTCTACTAAGTAATTGTCTGCTGGTAATGGTTTTTAGGTTCAACAGCAGATCGATTTCCAATTATATCCAATTACACTTTAAGGACAATTCAATCGTTCATCTTTACGACAGTGAACAACCAAGAACACGATTTCACCTACCTTCACTGCAATTTGGAGTTGATTTACCAGGTTCAACTCTTGTTCCCAGAAGTTCGATACCATTCTCATCTACACACCACTGATAGCCTTCCCATGACTGCACCTGTTTAAAGCTACCATCAGCCTCACATTGTGGCTTTTTAACACCCAAGAGAAGAGTTTTTTCTGCTTTTACTTTCATCTGTTCACATTTGGTGAGAACTACAATGAAATAATGAATTTGAAAATTTTGTTATTAGGCCTGAGAGTCTAACTTTAATAAATCGTAAGCCAACGCTTCAATTTCACAAATTACAGTACAAAAATAGCGTGCCTCACACAGATTGTATGGTATTTCACTGTGCATGAGAGAACCTTTAACGCTTGTAATATCTGCTGTATGCGAATTTTGGCTGGACACGGTCTATAAAAAATCAGCGAAAATGACTGCATTGTGTGTCCATGTAGCTTACCCTTTTTTGAGATAACCCCAGTGCAATTCACAGCCCCTCGCTGTCTGCCTCTAGTATCGTCAATTTCTCGCCCAGTCTGATCCACACACCAACAGTAGCCTGTGGATCCGTGGCATTGCATTGTGGAGTAACTTCCGTCCTTCTCACACTGAGGGATATAACTGCCTGGCATCACGGGTGACTGCGCCTTCTGAAGTTGGCATTCGGTTAAACCTATCCAAAACGCAGATGTTATGATATTTGTCTATATAGGGACATATATTGCTATTGTACTTGCATGCCCTACTAATCAACTCCGCTAAATCAATCTTTATCAAATATACTGATATTGATAAAATACTACATCAATTTAAGTACTTAGCTACATTAATCAATTTATTAGCATAAAAAAGTGGACAATTTTTTGTCACTGACGATAGGAAATCGGCGAACACTTCAGTGAAGACTTTCACGAAAAGTATATTTGCGTTTTGCCATTTAACAAAAATGTTTTCACAGCTTTAATGGGCGAAGATGATAGTTCTCCTACTTTTTAAAAACAGATTGTACATGGTAAAACGTCAACTATAGTTGAAAATTAATTGTCTCCTTTTGCTCAACTTTATTTGGTTAAAACAACGGCTGAATTAGTGTTTCATTAGATTCTTATAATGATGTAACGGGAAAGATTTGATGAGCGGTAAAGCACGTTTCCCACTAAGCGATCCTACTTTTTCGCGGCGAATTTCTTGCACACTAATCATCCCTTAGAGACTCGCGAAAAAATCGGCCATTGGAGAACGAGATGTTGTAGTAAACTTACCCTCGGTACAATTAACAATATTCCCATCGTCGTCTTTAAATTCAACTTTACACATACGGCACGGGTCAACGGTGCATTTTGCTTTTGGATGCGAAGGACAACTGGCCAGTTGGCAATGATGAAGACAAAGTAGGAACGGCATCCCATTAGGACACGCTGATATAAAAGAGAAACATTCAAGGCCCATCAACTAATAATTAAGCATTTGCTACTAAAGTATATCATTAACTACATGGGCAAGCGAAGATGTTATGACCAGCGAAACCGGTATTTTATCTCGTGTAAACCGTTCTTTAGATAAAGTGCTTCAAGGTGTAGATTTGACTCGTGTATAACCCGTGTTTCTACTTTTAAATATTTACGCTTAATCATTTCGAAAAATGCACGTATAGAATTGAAGCTTCGGTTATGAAAAGCAGTCAGCTATCAACTTTTTTTCCAGAAAGAAAAAATAAAATACCAACTCCTTTTTACTCCTACCATTACTTTTCAAATCGCATAGTTCATGAGGATTACGACGTTCTTTCAAAACGGCGTATATAGTCAGATGAGCGATAGCTACAATGGCTTCAATATTCGAAATATTGCGAGCGAGAGCCATATATAGTATAACCTATAAAGCAGATCTCTATAATTATGACATACCCAATTGTTCCTCAGCTGGTTTTCTACATGTTTTTCCACAACCAATCTTACAGCATTTCTCTTTGCCGGTGCAATCTTTGTCATTAACACATTTTGAAGTACATGTATCAGTGGGTTTTACGGTTGGACATCGGCCTGGTTTAACCTCGGAATTGTTTTCTAAATAATGCAAATCAGACGAATGAAATTGTTTGTTTATCGTATAGAAAAAGACCGTTATTAATGATGAATATAAGTTTTCACAGAGGCAGGATTACTCATGACTGAGATTTAACGGAGGTCTGTCAATAAAAATAAGCAAGCAAATGCATGCATATATATTTAAAGCAGGTGACAATTTTTGTGCATCGAGTCAACTAAATGTTTCCGATTTTACAGTCCCTTCCGAAACATCACCCATCATCCCTTCATCCCCTTGCATCGTTAAAAAACAGGGAAAATTTCATAAGGAATGGTCCTTCCCTGCATGTAAATAACGATAAAAGCACATGCTTGCATGCACAAATGACTTGGTGTGCAGTTTCACATCAGTGAAAATGACTTGTTCACCAAAACCAGTCGTAGGTCTATACGTGCATAAATTTATCCGCGTCTTATATTTAGGAGTGCTCCACTCTGGTGCCCGTAACATTTTTCAGTGGTGCCAGATTAAACCAGTGAACTCTAATAAAACTGGAACGATAGCTCCACAATAGAGTCTAGTCATTGGATGAAGCCGATTTGAATATAATTTACTGATTAATCCGGGGGCCGCGCGACAAAAACACGCCTTGAAAAAAACTGGGGAGAGTGTCTAGGAGTGAGAAATTCAGTAAAAATCGTTGGAAAAAAATTGCCACAAAAGTACATTATTTTATTTTTTCATTTGACCACTTCAACTTTGAACAACATATTTACCGGCGAGGTACAGCTTTGTACTTGAAATTTTTAAAGAATTTGAACGGGGCGAAAAAAAAATTCGCCTTCAACTAGCAAAACAAAATAATCTTTCTTGGCTTGAAAGATGGCGGCCAAGTTATCGTTCCAGTCTTTTTAGAGTTACTGGGTTAAACATGTCGTTTCAAAATGAAATTGGTCACGGTGCCCAAAGAAAAGCACTTAACAAGGGCACTGTGCTGAACACTTTTTAGGAACGAGTTTGACAAGCAAACTTGGTATATAAATGGCGAGTTTAAAATACACCGCTAAATCTACGACGCAGGCATGAAGTTATACTGCCGTTATTTCCAGTTTTACATCAGGGTTAAAAATTATAGATTCCCCTCGTAAACAAAGTCATAGCCATAAAACGAAATGAAATTGGGTTCCTAACACCAGCAGCTGTTTTCGTGTGACGTACTGGTAGATTTGGTGGACCTTAAACTCACTAATTTTAGCTTCAATGCGATGAAGATAATTTCTACAAACAGCATACATACCTGTCAAATTTTCGTGTGTTTTAATTGCGCAGTTAGGAGTTCCTCTCACACGTGTTAACTCTTGTTCCACTCCAGTTTTACCATCGACGCACCAACAGTATCCAGTCGACCCCCAACACTGTATCCTGGAATAATTCCCATCTTTATCGCACTGAGGAATGAATCTTCCCACGGGTTGTAAACCAATATACTTGCTGCTAAAAGCGTCTGCACGCTGCAGTTCACATTTAGACATTTCTATTTGAAATAAGACGTAAATGTTTGATTCATATACTTAAGAAATTAAAATTCTACAAATTTACAGCAGACAAAACCAAAAATGTTTGAAGGGATTATGTTGGATGGTGCTATCCAGTTTTTGTACAACCGGCCCCTATACGGTAGAAATCCGTTTTAATAATACTACGGAAACAAATGTATAGATTAATGCTATACAGTGGCGTAGGAAGCTCGATAATTAGGGGGGCGAGAATATATTCATATATTCATGTTAGCAGACTGTAGACATTCGATTTGAAAAGAAATTGATCGTGCATAACATGAATATATGAATATGTCCCCCTCCCCAATTATTGTACTTCCAACGCCACTGACAAAAAATAATTTACATCAAGGCGACAGTGCAAACCAGTCTTTTGGACAATCCGGTATGCAAAAATGGATTACTGCCGAACATACGAATGTAGAGAGGTTTGATATCATTACCTTGATTGCAGTCTATCAGTTTGTTATCCTCGTCAAAATACTCGACTGCACATGCTCTGCAGGGGTTAACACGACATGTTGCCTTTGCATTGATATCGCAACCTTTAGCCCACTGACAAAAAGGACGAAGGCACAGCAACATCGGAAATCCGTTTGGGCAAACTTTAAAAGAAAAAACAGCATGGTGAGTAATAATAAAAATAATACCAGAACTATCAACTTGTCAGACAAAATTGAACGGGTCCAAAAGCGGACAACGCGAATAATCTATCCCACATTAAGTTATGACGTATCGCTCGATCAAGCAAAATGTTCGCTATCACACGCAAGACGCGACGCGTTCTGTTGAATTACAGTTTGCAGTGCCGATTGCCCGACCTGGGACTGCAGTTGAGTGACTTGAATCGTACATGTTTCGTGCGACCGAGACCCCGTTTACACCGTATTGGATTCACATTGTCATTGTCATAGCTACAAGAAAAAATCATTACCTGGTCGTTTGAAGTCGCGTAAAACGGGAGACCCTTAAATTAAAAGAAAATAAAATCGTAGTAATCCTAAAAGTGAAGTGAAAGTAACCATTATATGTAAAAGCTGTATTTCATTATTCTGATGTCTCAATCATGAAAAAATCAGCTTCATTTCATCATAACGAAGCAATAAAGAACTTTATGGTACATTAATTTTTGCAATATATTTCAATGATTAATTAAAGTGCCTGTATCACTCGTGGGATCTTTATGCATTTGAAAAGAACGTAAAAAGTTAGTTTATATATTAAAGAACATTTTTTCATTTAGTGCAATAATTTCGAAGATACAAGCCTCTAAACTACCTGCGGTTCCTGAGTCCCAACCTCCTGGGTTTAAACACGGCTATTCAATTTGAAACTGCCCATTGTTTACAGGAGCCTGGGACTCAGGAATTGCAGGTAGTTTAAAGGCTAGTATCTTCAAAATTATTGCACTAAATCAAAAACTTTCTTTAATATATTAACTAACTTTTTACATTCTTTTCAAATGCATAAAGATTCCACGAGTGATACAGGCACTTTAATCGATATGCTTGATTCCCTTCCTCGTTAAAACACATATGCAATCAATATGCAAACAATATATCAAATTAATGACGTTTTTGAGTTTATATAAGGAATGAGAAAACTTCTTTTTCCTGCATGTATTAGCTATATATATATATATATATATATATATATATATATATAATTATATATATTCGGGCAGTTATAAGGAAAACTGACAACATATACAAACTTTTACAGTTCGGCGTTCCTCTAGTCATCGTTCCATCAACATGCACCCCACTGATACGATCAACACACCAGCACTGACCAACAGATCCCCAGCACTGGGTTTGTTTGTAGTTCCCATAAACATCACACTGTGGAACGTATTCTCCAACAAGAGGTCGACCACCATTCTTTCCAAGCAATTTTGCACGTTTGTTCGCGCAGGTCTGACCTACAATTCATAAAATCCCACACATGCATCACTTCATGATTGCACATGTATTGAAGAGGCGACTTAGGGAAATCTTTCCGAGCATAATACAATACATTCCACTCAAGGCGGTTTTCCACTAGCGAATTTTTCGAGCGAACGAAATTTTTCGCTCGTTTTTCTTTTCGAATTGGAAATACGACGTTCCACCGAAAAATTCAAGTGGAAAACTGCCCTCAAAGGACTTCTTCAAATTCTATCGACGTTTTTGGACCAGGAACTGTTGGACCAGGAACTCTGGTCCCTAACCGCGGCTAATCGTCTTGTTGCTGTTGTTGTTGTTGTTGTTGTTAGGGGGTGACGCTCTTTAAAAAAACCCTAAGGCTCTAGCATTACTTGTTTGATCGGAATGAAATTTGGCACAATTATTCTAAGCAATATTCCGCATCGATTGACGGAGTTCGAATTTTTACTTTTGACCTTTGAGGCAAGTTACAAGCAATTCTTGATATATTTGCAGCAAATAATATATACATGCATATCATTAATATTCAGCCTATATACAGGGTGTCCCAAAAAAAACGCAACCACTTAAATATGCAAGAATATTAATATTGTTCGGGTTTGCACCATAGTTCAGCTAAAATGACTTTTAGCATTGTAAATGAAGGATCTATTGCGCTTTAGAGCTGTATTAATGTTCTGCATATTTAAGTGATTGCTTTTTTTTTGGGACACCCTGTATAAGTAAACACAAACGATTAGAAATACATTATCCTCTCCATTGTTATAAATACAATGCAGTTCAGAAATTAAACTCGGTTACGCAGTTCCTGGTCCACTATACAGGGTGTCCCAAAAAAAACGAAAACTATTGAAATCACTCATTGTTAAAATTTGAATGCCGTGTTCACGAATTTCAGCCCGTGAGTATTTTATGCAACTTATAAAATGCTAAATGCTTTGTGTTGCTAGAGAAAGGGGACATGTCGAAGGTCATGGTCCTTGAGATGCACGTTTAAATAATGTTATCCATATTTGTAAATTGTAAATATTGTTAATAAATATCATTTTTGCGAACAATTAAATTTGACTGCATCATATGCATGCATAAATATGCTTATGGCAACCCCAATTTATACACTTTTGGGCCCAACAGAGTGCTTAGGCATTCAAACTCTAACAATGGCATTGTTATGGGTGATTTCAATAGTTTTCGTTTTTTTTGGGACACCCTGTAGTACGATCGTACTTGTTTTCAGTTCAATGCTGCACACACATCAAAATATTTTATGCCATCAGCCACCATGACATATTCACAACACTCGCGACTAAAAGGAAACTAGGCGTAACAGAATCAACTTCAAACTAATCATGCTAAACTTTAACATGCACTATGCAGTCATACGTATGAATACTCACATTCAACTTTGCGATTATTTTCGTCAAGAAACTCGGCCTTGCATTGTCCACATGGATTGATCCGACATGAAACTTTACGCTTGTCATGACCAGGACAGGAAACCGTTGAGCATATCATTGGATCACATCCATCCACACTTTTCACACCCGCTGGACACACTAGTGAAGCAAAGTGGTATTTAAAGTCCTAATACAGAAGCCGTCGTTAACTTACTACTCAAAAAACAGCTGAGAATCTAACACACTTTGGTTATTCACTACATAAGAACAATATACAGGGTGTCTCAAAAAGAAACGAAATAGAAATTAACAGACTTTTACGAAGGATATATTTAATTTTTATACAGCATGAAAGAGAAGCTATCCAATGCATGAAGCCTTTGTTTACTTTATAACGGCAAGAAATTATTAAAATATTTTAAAATAAAAATTATTGATCGAAATCAAACTTGCTCGAACGAAGGCAAAACGAAGCAAATTTGAATATAATATGAGCTACAATGCGTGTTTGCGCCAGTAAGATTGTCTATTCAATTGCCAGCGGTGTGGCTTGAACAACGGGTCCAAAGATTATTTGGCTACTTCAATAGTCATTATGGTATAAAACGATATTGTTAGAAAGCTAAATAACTCCATTTTCTTGCTATGTTAAAATAAATCGTCGGACTCAATATATAATGCGTTTGGCATGTTGAAGTGGCGATTTTGGTTTTTTTACACACCCTGTAGTTACCAAGATAACTTACTATCTCGTGGACACTCGACTGCTCCCCTTCTTCTCGACCCAAACCATTCTCGGCCGTTTTTATCAACACACCAACAAAATCCTGTTGAACCATGACACTGTTTGTCTGCGTAACTTCCATCGTCTTTACACGAAGGCACGAACCGTCCAATGGGAGGAAGCTTTAATGCAGCCTCTTTTGCCAACTGACAATCCGTCTTTTCCGCTAAAGTTGCAAGTACATAGAAAATTGATGTAAGATAAGTTTCTAAAGGGTTTAACGGCCTTAATTTTGAGGGAAAATCACACACATCTCAAATTCAAGCCAGGAACAGTTGAGAAAATGTGTCAACAACATCGGTCCTCAAGCAGCAATGGAACCTACGCCTTTGAAAACGAGGAAAGTGCCACAAAATTGTAAATGATTCACCCTCATGCACCTATATTTGGCGGCGTTACCGTCCTAAATATACACCAGTACCAGTCTACCACGCTCACTCTTGTCCATGCAGTTACCTTTGTAACTCAGTGGCAAGAGCATCGCAATGGTATCGTAAGGGTAGGCTCAATTCCTGCCAGGCGAGATAGCAAACATGCATCAATCATAATCGCTGTCACAACCACCGTACGAAGAGTAACTTTCAAACCTTTTTTATCACAATTCATCTCTCGAATCTGTCCTACGCCTTTCTCTGTAGTAAAATCAGGAATTCCACTTTGTTTATCAACGCAAAATATTCTGCTCCCCATGCGTTGTATCGAATCAAAATTCCCATCGTTTGTACATGTTGGCACGTAACGTCCTAGTAGTGGATTCACGCGTCCGTAATCTCGCATTCTTTCACATAGATTTTGCCCTAAGAAATAACTATCGGTAATTTAAACTGAAAAGGGAGACTGATAACAAATATTATGATTTTCTCCTCAACACCCGTCCCAACCTGGGAATAATTAATAGCAGTGAATTAATAGCTGGTTATGGATGGACCTTAATATGAAATGTGTTTCATGAAATGTGAATTTCCTATAACACGTAAGGTAATGGTTTGGGAAAACTTCATTAGTGTGCACTTTGAGAAAAACCCTAGGGGGCCACCTTAAGGCGTGTTGCGGACGTCGCGCTTCTGATGTTCCATAAGAAAACTAGGCTCTATTTACCAGCATTAGTGCAGCTGATTTTCTCCCACGTGGTTTTGTTGTAGTATTCAACCTTGCACTGGCCACAGGAGTCTATTCTACATAAGGCATCTGGAGCATTCGGGCACTGGGAGAACCGACATAGTGATTGTGGACAGCTCACTTTCGAAACTCCAGCACGACAGGCTAAATTAAAAAAATACATTAATCTGTAAAAATGTGAATTGAAATCGCTAAACTCGCACAATTTGCAGCTTTTCTAAACCATGCACATCAGTAAAAAATATAACAATAAATAATGGCCCGATTTATAGACGGATCATCCCTCTAGACGAACTTGGGCAAGCAAAAGATAGTTCGTCTTTAGTTTGTCTGTGTGAAAACAGATAGATTATCCATCAACATGCATGAATTATCCGCATATATTGTTTCTCATTTAACATTTCTTTAGCAGATATGGTAGAGACGGTAGAATACAACAAAACCGTCCTAATACCTTAGACCAAGGTTCGTCTTCGAATCCCGTTCATCTCAACAACTATAACTATAGGTCTAGGCGGGGAAATCACGGCTGAGGAAATTAAAAATTCACATTTTTGTCGGCAACCCGTTCGCGGGCTAACCACTATGCTACACGCAAAAAACGATGAGCGATGATGCATGTCTGTCCGCCGAGTTTGTTTATCTTCGAAAGAGACTGGGCAGAGCCGAAATTTTGTCACCCTGATCGGTGTAAACTGGCCTAAACTTGCAGATAAATTAATCGCAGGAATGGTATTTCATTGATGTTTCATTGATTATTCTTATGTCTAATTTGTTTTAACTGTATCCAATTAGCAAACTAGCCCATTTTTGCCTTTGCGTGTGGCATTAGAACGTAAAACTAAGCATCATGCAGTTGATTTCCCCGCCATTATTGCGACCTGTCATTTGACATTGAACAAAACTTGAAAATCTTTGCCAATGTTTTGGAGGCTAGCCACATGTATGCATTGCATACCTATTTTTTTCTTGTGCAAAGTATATGAAATACCTATACGGGGTATATGAAGTTGAATTTTTGTTTTTCTAACCATAAGAGCAAATACAAATTTAAAAATCTCAATGAACTCGCCCTCCCCTTTAGGAATTTCGCCCTGTACGGAAATATGGCCCTAGGAAATATGGCCCGGGGGGAGCCAAATTTCACGGGGGGCAAATTTCCGAGTTACTGCCGCTCACAACATCAGAATATTAGCGCTTAATCAGTTTTGCAGTAATTAAACAGGGTGTATAAAAAAAAAGGTAATCCAACTTTGGTGCGCTATTGTACGTGAACTATTCATTCTATTAACGATTTTTTTTCACATTCCAAAAGGTTAGGCTTTTAACTATCGAATGACATGTTTTTGATACGAAATGGGGGGAAAATGAGCAAATAGGAGGCTGATAAAAAGTGTTAGTCAAAATCGAATATTTTCACCTCTGAGAGTTGGGACTAAAACCATTGAAAATTAACTCTCTTTGGGACTTAATTGAAGAATTTTGCTTTTGAATGAACTACCCGCATATGCATATTAAGTAGGAATAAATCACATCAGGAGAACATTTTTTTACTCACCCTGTATATTTACTGTTAAACTTGCGACGGTGGAAGACTTATGTATAACCATATTTATTAACGAAAACTTATACAACTTACAAGTACTGGAGTCAACTACAACAAAAATTAGACTCAAAATTTGATTCAAAACTGGACTCAAAACTGGACTCAGCCAAAATTTCAAAAAAGCCTAGACTGCAACTGTATAAAGTAAAAAAAAAATTGTTATGAAACACCTATTTCCCTGATTCTTCAAAGGAATGTACCGCTCTTTCAGACTTTATTATCATTACTGTCAGATTCAGAAATGGACATATTCTGAGCAATTATCCGTCTAGGCACTCTTGCAATTAAAAACGAGGTCGATATAATACCTCTTTGTTTCATATGAATACTGTATATGTGTCAAATTTTAATGTAAAGCAAATGATCACCACATAATATATCGTAAGTCACAAGCCTCGATTGAACCGAAAGTCTTGTTCCTCGTAACATTGTTTTTAACTTATAAGGCCACGATGAACGAAGTGTAGTTTGTGGCGGACCGACTGTGGCGGATGTCGTTCATATTACATACCACCTCAAACACATTGCGTTTTGAAATCTTTCGAGTTTCGAGTTAAAAAAGAAAAAACTAAGGTCGCAAAATCTTTGATGCTCCTTATTTACGCAATCTTTTTGGAAAAATGGCGAAAATTAAGACTGTACTAGGCTTGTTGATGGTAAAGTCGGTAAACAATCAAGCGCGGAATCGTTTTCATCAAGAATGTCGATGAACCCAAATTACGAGGCCTATCAAGTTATAGATGAAGAAGCTGCACTAGAGATCGCTGTGCGCGAAAGCAAGGTAAGCGAAGTTATATTTTCAAAAGTAAATTCTGCGCAACTTGGAGTCCAATTTTGGGTGCAATGAAACAAAATATAGACCGGTTCAGTCCAGTCCAGTCCAGTCCATATTTTGTACTATGCCCGACAGTCGGTAACTAATGAGAACCAGGTTTTAACTGCGTTAGTACTTGCGGTGACACGTACGTTTGGTATGCGGAGAGACAAATTGATCATGATTTTAAGCATTACTCGATGTAGGTAAATTCTAGAGGTTTAAAAGGACTTAATTTCGAGTGGAATTATACACACTTCAAATTCAACTATTCAAGCCAGCAACAGTTGATGAAAAATGATTCAATTAAAGCTCCACCTGCAGGGATCGAACCTACGCTTTTGCGATGCCGGTGCAATGCTCTTGCCACTAGCTTGAATTTGAAGTGTGTATAATTTAATTTGAGACAGTTGAAATCTTCTGCGAGTTGAACAAGATTTGACGAGAGGTGACAGGAATTGGCCATCAGACGTAAGCGCGATTTGCATTGAATTAAAAAAACTAATTGATATATGCGACAATTAAATTTGTCATAGACGTGATGAGTGTTGAATTCCACCATGGTTTTTGCCAAAAGTATAATTGAAATCAAAATTTCTCCTGATGGTATGAAAAAGTGTGAGACAAGAGGGAAGACCCTTGGCCCTGGCGTTAATTATTTATGTATGTTGACCAAATAATTTAGGCACAATAGGGTGCTTTTGATGATAATTGGTCATGCTATAAATTCTCAGGATATTACAATAGCAGACATGTCTCAACTTACCTATATTGCTTACAGTTAAGTCAAAACATGTTAGTAATAGGTCATTTATTTTTTAAATTGAATGCATGCCAATCATACAATTCATTATGGCTAATTATACAATTCATTGTGGTAATTTTCAATTTGTCCTTAAAACATGCCTTTACAGGATATAATGTCAAAACAAACCTGCTTCTGAACAAAGCATCCCACATCCAGTTGAACAGCATTTCTGAAAATCCTTACAGTGTGAATCATCAGCACATGCTATAACACATGCCCCGAATGTATTTTTTGACACATCTGGACAGAATCCTGGTTTTTCGACTACTAAGAAAATCATGAATTGCATATTAGGTACTTCCTTGTTGGCAAATAAGTTAAATTACACCTTCAACAGCTTTTATACTTGATGCAAGGTTACATTTAATACCTGCATAAGACAACTCCGCATAAACCTAGAAAAAGAAAGAAAAACTCATTGGCCACAAATCTAAAACTAGGGTAGCACTGCCACAGACTGGCCTTTAGACCAGGGATCAAATATTTATACGTAATCATGTACTCTGATTGTTTCATTTAGGCCTGTTGTTTAATAATTGGTGTAAGCCTATACTGAGTTAGAGATAATCTTGAAAACAATTTTTAAAGTGAACCATATTTTATAGCGGTTACAAGTTGTTACCACATAGATGGTAGCATACATATACATATGTCCTACATCATCCTACATCTTAATTTTCCTTACCAACACCATCAGGTAAGACATCAACATTTTCATCCTTGACATTTTAAATATGGGCATAAGCTAAATGAAAAGAAAATGAGTTTATATAAAAATTGCACAGCAACTGCACTTTAACTAAATTGCAACAACTGCAGCTATGATATGACGACATATATCTTGTTGGCTTTGAAAATTGACCTCACTACACCCATAATAATCTAGGTTTAGACCAGAGCCATCAGAAACGTAATTGGGGAGAGGGTTATAGACATATATCTTCTTAGCCCGAACTGATTTCCTTTGAATATACCCAAATTAAACCATCTAGTTGCAAGCCTTGATTTAAATAGTATAAAGTTTACATGTTTATTTCAATGGAGATTGGCTGATTTGGCTCACAATTCATTTTTCAAGCAATTCTTTCTTGCAAAAAAAGGTGACAAACTCCTTCCTCAGAAATTCTAAGACTTAGACTTGATAACTAATACAAGCAAAATTTATAGAGTCATAATGCAGGATATATAGCTGTGGGTTCAGCTACTTACACTATGCGAATCTATAAAACTTGCATGGTGCAGAAAGACTTTATATAGATATTGAGTAAAAACGGATTTCTATCATTTATTTAAAATTTTATACTTATATATAGGTATAAATAAATTGGAATGTTGCAAGTGCGGCCCAAAAAATAAAATATCAGTGTATTTTTTCTTTCAGCTATGCTGTTTCAAGATTTAGAGGTGGAATACATTCTATTCATAACAGCGGTTGTGCAATTCAGCACATACAAATTGCATTAACATTTTTGGAGCTTTTCTATGTGTACAATTGCTTTATACAATTGAATATCGCTAAAATTCACCTCTATATAATATAAAAGCTACGAAATAACATCAAACCTACAGCTTTACTATAATTACAGCTATAAATTCGTGCATTGACATAACCTTTGTCGACCCACAATTTATAATATAGCTATACTGTATAATAATGAGAAACATTGGAATATTGATATTAAAATGTTGGACTATACTTGCAAAACAGCATATAATAGTTCGTAAACAGCAACAACGCTTTAACTAAAACTCACCTCTTGTTATTGTTATTATTAAAATTCCCCGGGGAAACGGTGTTGATTGTGTGAATACAAAGGTGGCGAGAAACGCGAAATATAGTTTTCCAATGCAGTAATACAATAGGCCACCCGCCAGTTTCTATCCAAATCCAAATTAATCATTTTAATTTTTAACACAATTTACTTCCTGTGATTGTTTTACTCACTTTTACTATTGACATGAATAAACCTGATCAGGCGTGTCATCGCGCATGCCAGCAAACGCGCATGCCAGATTGCCAGCGCCTTCAAACCAGGGCGCTTATATAGTATATAAGCCCCCTGCTTCAAACCTTCCAACAACTTCGCATATTGGCAAATGTGGTAAAAAAAATTGGTACACTTAGTGCTCTTTAAGTTTTATTTGAGTTCACTGCGTATGTTAGGTATACTTCATAATAAAATTGAGCACGGGTACCCATTTTATCCGTGCAGTGCCAATAAATTGCGTGTAGTGTAAACGGGGCTTTCGTCCGGAAAGTTATTGTCGGGAAGTTAGGGCCTGTTTACATCCTCTTGTCCCGTGGTATAAATTGTCTCGGTTTTGATTCGGTGTTCCGTGAAATTTGGCCCCCCCGGGCCATATTTCCTAGGAAATTTGCCCCCCCCCTTTCGGAAAATTGGCCCCCTCGAAAACATATACTTTATATATTGCCATGAGTTCGAGAATCGCGATCACGGAACAAAGGACCTAAAATTTATAGCTTTGAACCAAGAACACGAAACGATCAGGAGTTTCTAGTTATTTTAGCCTAAATTCCGGCGCATCAGTATAAAAAAACGTCAGAATAACAACCACGATTATCATATCATTACTGCGTCATTAGGCTCTTAGTTAGGGGGCTTTAATCGAAAACAACAGTAAATGAAGAAATAAGCGGTGATTTCCTAAAACAACCTTTCCTATGTATGTATAATAGCCAATATATATCCAATATATATATATATATATATATATATATATTATATATATATTATATATATTATATATATATATATATATATATATATATATATTATATATATATATATATATATATATATATGATCGCTTTGCTTTTTTTTAGCTTAGTGTGAAACACCGTGTAGCGACGGCTTTATTTTGAGATTAAAGAATTAGTAAATATTATTTATGCTCTGCTTTTTTTTGGTAGTGAGCACTCTTCTTGTCTATTACAAACAAACTAAATTTTGAATATAATATATATATATATATATATATATATATATATATATATATATATATATATATATATATATATATATATATATATATACTTATAGAGAACTTTAACAATTACATTGCTATGGGTGATTTCAATAGTTTTCGTTTTTTTGAGACACTCTGTATATTTTTTGGAGAAAAAATATTGTAGGAAACTGACAGAAAAGATAAGTACATTATTATAAAAAAAGTTACCATTATTACCATTTAAGGCCATATTATTCAAGGTTCGTACATGCGTACATGACGTAAATAATTAGAGATAGACTGATTGCGATCATTTATGAGAAAGGGTGTAACGAGAACGAGTGTATATAGCTAGAGCGACAGTGCCTGTGATTGAGACAACGTCGCGAACTGTGATGTGGATATTTCTTATTTATGATTAAATATAACTGTGACTTGTCTGGAACTACCGTGTTTCGGAGGCATCATTCTCAATAATATTCAGGATCGATTACGGAAAGACTTAAGTCTCCAGGGATGCAGGCTGGAAATTTTTAAAACAGCATAAATCCTGATTTTCATTGTACTAGACTGGACCACCTTAAGCTTGTCGTTCAATTTCTGTAACTGACTTTCATCAAGATTGTTTAACGGCAAAGAACTTTCCCACAGTTTGACAGGACCGAAATCGTCAAAGCTAGTCCCCATAAAAACAACACGAAATCAGCCTCAAAGTCAAAGTCAACACATTCGAATTATTTTAAAGTTTTCATTATTTGTCCGTCCTTCTTGACTTTTTACCCTAGTAAAGATGTTCTCGCGCGTACCGCGAACTGACCAACACAAGCACACAGTGTGGTCTATGCTGGTCCATCCCCTTAACCCCTTTAGGCACCATAACCCTCAGTGACCATAACCATTATCGTGCAAACCCGCACTGAGCTATATAATAATTCCTGGAGGGCTTGCTCACCACCCATTCAAATTAAAGTGAAAACAACCTCGTACCCAGGGAATTCAAAACGCCTTGATAGTTGATACATACAGTAGCAAATAGCAAGAAAAATTAACAGAAACACAGATGGAGAGGAAATTGGCTAGCATTCGACCTTTTCCAGCCGAATGGAAACTGTACTACATTGTGTTTATTTTATGTGTAGATTGGATTTTGTGTGGTGGATTGCCTAATTCCCGTTCAAGTATTACGTACATTGAAGAAGGTGCTTGTGAGAAGGGATGCAGTTGCCATAGTCTGAAACCCAGCAATACAGCACAAGCCGGCGTATTTTTTGTGAACTGCGCCCGTACAAGTTCGGAAAATACGCCTTTTATGAAGTATGACCTATCTGGTTCACCTAAAATTCCTAGAAACAAAACCTTTATACCAACAATACCAATAAATACTACCCATTTACTGGTGACTGGTTACAACCTTCAAACACTGAATGTAAATTCATTTAGCCATACCAAATTTAAGGAACCATTGATAAACCTAGTATCACGCTTCGCATATGCTGCAGGTTTAGTAACAAATAAACAAAAATTATTACATCCTGAAAATTTTACAACAAACATCACACAACTAAACACCAAGATGTTCCCCTTTCTATACCAGCTCATAAGTATCTCAGTGGCCAACAACCATATTTACAATGTGGAAAAAGGTTCTTTTCTTGAAGTAAATCAGGTGAAGCTACTCAATATGTCCTACAATTTCTTAGAGCAAATTGATTCTGGTGTACTTTATGAAGTTCAAAACCTTGAAATTCTGGATGTTTCTCATAACAAACTGGAATCTTTACCTTGGAAGACTATGTCACAAATGTCATCATTGAAAAGGCTTGGTTTAAAAGGCAACTTCTGGAATTGCTCTTGTGAAATGAAAGACATACTTAAATTAGATAACTCATTACTGATTGGGACTCAAGCTATGTGTCATTTTCCTGTGAGGCTAAAAGGAACTTTGTTGGAAGAATTGAACTTCAATTCATTCTTACATTGCTTTGCTACTGAACAGAGATACCAGAACATCACAAAAGATGCACACCTTAATATACCGGTATTGATGATTACCATGGCCATTATCATAGCTAGTTTTTCGACACTTTATGGACACAAGCAATTTCAATTTAGACATTCTGAAAGGCTTGATGTATCTAATACAGCATCCTCAATAAAGTATGTCGGAAATATTTGGTTCAATAGCAATGATGCCCTTGATCAGTTTGGAACGGTTTTTAAAGGAGGGTTAACAGATGGCAGAGAAGCAGCCATTAAGAGGCATCCCAAGATGAAGCCCTGCAAGGAATTGAAGTGTAAGAAATGTAATGAATTGGATTTTTTTCTTCATTTGGCTAAAGCTCAACAGCACCCAAATGTTATTCAGTATCTATGGAATGACACTGATAATGACTTTACATACCTTGCCCTTGACCTTTGTGCTGGAGACTTAATGACTGCGGTTATGGAACGTGTTGATGGATTTGATATTGTGGATCCACAGAATTTCTTCTTACAGCTAGCCTCAGGACTTACTTTCCTTCATGAAAATCATATTGAGCATCGTGATATCAAGCCTCAAAACATTCTTTGGAAAAGAACAGTTAATGGTGTTGTACCTATTTTTTCTGATTTTGATTTGAGTCATCTAAACGAGAGAAAATCATCAAGTCATGCAATGCGTGGAACGAAAGGCTGGAGTGCTCCTGAATTATGGTGCAAAGAAACACGATCAACTGCTGTAGATATTTTTTCGCTTGGTTGCGTATACTATTTCATTCTTACCAGAGGACATCCTTTTGGACCAATAACAGATTTAGAAGAGTGTCATGTGAATATAATTTCCACCAGCTACAAGGCCACATTTCCTGAACTGCATGAACTTGAGAATGAAAAAACTGCTTGTATGGCAGAAAATCTTGTTGAAAAGATGATTTGTACCAATTCTGGTGATCGGATAGAAGCATGCAGAATTAAAGAACATCCTTTATTTTGGAATAATTTGGAAATGAAAGGTTTTCTTAAAAAGATTGGTAATTATACCAAGGATAAAGATGATCCAGATGTAGCTCATTTTAAAATGATGCTGGAAGAGGGTGCGAGCACAGTTTTTGAGGGAAGTTGGTTGGATAAACTGCACTCAGGAGCAGTTAGAAGCGATTTGAAAAGTTTTAAAAAGGAAAACCAAGATCAAACAATATGCGGTCTTCTTCTTGCAATTAGAAATAAAATTGCGCATTTTAGCCAGATAAGAAATTTGAAGCTAAGGCAAATTTACTTGGGTAGTGAAGATGGGGTTGTAGAATATTACACAAGACTTTTCCCAAGGCTTGTTCCATATACATATAATGTTCTGAAACAGAGCAATCTGATTTGAATAATAGTATTAATATTTGTGTAAAGCATCATACTGAATTAGTGAATAGATCAAATGTAAATTACTTCGTAGCATAATGTTTGAAAGCTGGAAAGCTAGAAAACTCGTCATTAACAAATGGTTTATTTATATAACCCTGACAATTCTTTAAATAGTAATAAAGTCCAGGGGCCAGTTGTATCAAGCCCGTTTAGCTTAACACGCCGGAGTTAACGCCAGAAGAAGAAATTGGTGTTCAAGTTTTTTCAAGGTAGACAACACTCAACAGCGCGTCAAATTAAAAACTTGCAAATCTGTTTTGAAATAAATCAAAAGAAGAGGTGACTAGGAAATCTGGGTCACCTTTTGGTTCTAGATTTCCTAAGCTAGACCTCACCAGGCTTGTTGACTGCGAGGTTGAGTCAACAAGGTGTGAGATTTTTACGTGTGTAGAGCAGGCTTAGGCTTAGCCGCTTATGCTTGCAAACACTGGTTAGGCTAGGCCCATTTCAGACGTCAAACTTTCCATGTGCCGAACTTAATAGTTTTAATTTAAAGCACATGATAAGTTCGACGTTTGAAACGATTATGTTCGACTGCTTAAATTAAGATCGACCTAAGCATTAAGTTCGACTGGTCAGGTCCTGCGGAACGACCAAAGCACGACAAAGCGCGACGTGGTTTCAAATGTCGAACCGATCATGTGCCGAAGTGCAGAGTGAGATAACGTATCACTGCGCACCTGGACGTGCGACCTTTAGACTGTTTATCCATTTGAAATTATGCCTTTTATGAATAGACATTTTGTTGTTTACCTTGCAGTTTGGTTTTTCTTCGACAAGTGGAATATAATTGCTGCCGCAGCGAGGTCGCCTGAGCGACCGAGCAAGGATCACGCATCATCATTTATCCGTCCTTCTTGACTTTTTACCCTACTAGTAAAGATGTTCTCGCGCGTACCGCGAACTGACCAACACAAACACACAGTGTAGTCTATGCTGGTCCATCCCCTTAACCCCTTTAGGCACCGTAACCCTCAGGGACCATAACCATTATCGTGCAAACCCGCACTGAGCTATATAATAATTCCTTGAGGGCTTGCTCGCCACCCATTCAAATTAAAGTGAAAACAACCTCGTACCCAGGGAATTCAAAACGCCTTGATAGTACAACATATGTTGGATAATGTTGGATAGTAACAGCGCGCGCTTACGAGGCCTGGGACTAGGCTGCTTGATAACTGATACATACACTCATACAGTACATACCGTAGCAAATAGCAAGTACTAATGAAACTATGGGGCGCCGTTTGTGAAAAAATTAACAGAAACACAGATGGAGTGGAAATTGGCTAGCATTCGACCTTTTCCAGCCGAATGGAGACTGTACTATATTGTGTTTATTTTATGTGTAGATTGGATTTTGTGTGGTGGATTGCCTAATTTCCGTTCAAGTATTACGTACATTGAAAAAGGTGCTTGTGAGAAGGGATGCAGTTGCCATAGTCTGAAACCCAGCAATACAGCACAAGCCGGCGTATTTTTTGTGAACTGCGCCCGTACAAGTTCGGAAAATACGCCTTTTATGAAGTATGACCTATCTGGTTCACCTAAAATTCTTAGAAACAAAACCTTTATACCAACAATACCAATAAATACTACCCATTTACTGGTGACTGGTTACAACCTTCAAACACTGAATGTAAATTCATTTAGCCATACCAAATTTAAGGAACCATTGATAAACCTAGTATCACGCTTCGCATATGCTGCAGGTTTAGTAACAAATAAACAAAAATTATTACATCATGAAAATTTTACAACAAATATCACACAACTAAACACCAAGATGTTCCCCTTTCTATACCAGCTCATAAGTATCTCAGTGGCCAACAACCATATTTACAATGTGGAAAAAGGTTCTTTTCTTGAAGTAAATCAAGTGAAGCTACTCAATATGTCCTACAATTTCTTAGAGCAAATTGATTCTGGTGTACTTTATGAAGTTCAAAACCTTGAAATTCTGGATGTTTCTCATAACAAACTGGAATCTTTACCTTGGAAGACTATGTCACAAATGTCATCATTGAAAAGGCTTGGTTTAAAAGGCAACTTCTGGAATTGCTCTTGTGAAATGAAAGACATACTTAACTTAGATAACTCATTATTGATTGGGACTCAAGCTATGTGTCATTTCCCTGTGAGGCTAAAAGGAACTTTGTTGGAAGAATTAAACTTCAATTCATTCTTACATTGCTTTGCTACTGAACAGAGATACCAGAACATCACAAAAGATGCACACCTTAATATACCGGTATTGATGATTACCATGGCCATTATCATAGTTAGTTTTTCGGCACTTTATGGACTCAAGCAATTTCAATTTAGATATTCTGAAAGGCTTGATGTATCTAATACAGCATCCTCAATAAAGTATGTTGGAAATATTTGGTTCAATAGCAATGATGCCCTTGATCAGTTTGGAACGGTTTTTAAAGGAGGGTTAACAGATGGCAGAGAAGCAGCCATTAAGAGGCATCCCAAGATGAAGCCCTGCAAGGAATTGAAGTGTAAGAAATGTAATGAATTGGATTTTTTTCTTCATTTGGCTAAAGCTCAACAGCACCCAAATGTTATTCAGTATCTATGGAATGACACTGATAATGACTTTACATACCTTGCCCTTGACCTTTGTGCTGGAGACTTAATGACTGCGGTTATGGAACGTGTTGATGGATTTGATATTGTGGATCCACAGAATTTCTTCTTACAGCTAGCCTCAGGACTTACTTTCCTTCATGAAAATCATATTGAGCATCGTGATATCAAGCCTCAAAACATTCTTTGGAAAAGAACAGTTAATGGTGTTGTACCTATTTTTTCTGATTTTGATTTCAGTCATCTAAACGAGAGAAAATCATCAAGTCATGCAATGCGTGGAACAAAAGGCTGGAGTGCTCCTGAATTATGGTGCAAAGAAACACGATCAACTGCTGTAGATATTTTTTCGCTTGGTTGCATATACTATTTCATTCTTACCAGAGGACATCCTTTTGGACCAATAACAGATTTAGAAGAGTGTCATGTGAATATAATTTCCACCAGCTACAAGGCCACATTTCCTGAACTGCATGAACTTGAGAATGAAAAAACTGCTTGTATGGCAGAAAATCTTGTTGAAAAGATGATTTGTACCAATTCTGGTGATCGGATAGAAGCATGCAGAATTAAAGAACATCCTTTATTTTGGAATAATTTGGAAATGAAAGGTTTTCTTGGTAACTATACCAAGGATCAAGATGATCCAGATGTAGCTCATTTTAAAATGATGCTGGAAGAGGGTGCGAGCACAGTTTTTGAGGGAAGTTGGTTGGATAAACTGCACTCAGCAGCAGTTAGAAGCGATTTGAAAAGTTATGAAAAGGAAAACCAAGATCAAACAATATGCGGTCTTCTTCTTGCAATTAGAAATAAAATTGAACATTTTAGCCAGATAAGAAATTTGGAGGTAAGGCAAATTTATTTGGGTAGTGAAGATGGGGTTGTAGAATATTACACAAGACTTTTCCCAAGGCTTATTCCATATACATATAATGTTCTGAAACAGAGCAATCTGATTTGAATAATAGTATTAATATTTGTGTAAAACATTCATACTGAATTAGTGAATAGATCAAATGTAAATTACTTCGTAGCATAATGTTTGTAAGCTGGAAAGCTAGAAAACTCGTCATTAACAAATGGTTTATTTACATAACCCTGACAATTCTTTAAATAGTATTAAAGTCCAGGGGCCAGTTGTATCAAGCCCGTTTAGCTTAACACGCCGGAGTTAACGCCAGAAGAGGAAATTGGTGTTCAAGTTTTTTCAAGGTAGACAACAGCGCGTCAAATTAAAAACTTGCAAATCTGTTTTGAAAGAAATCAAAGAAGAGGTGACTAGGAAATCTGGGTCACCTTTTGGTTCTAGATTTCCTAAGCTAGACCTCACCAGGCTTGTTGACTGCGAGGTTGAGTCAACAAGGTGTGAGATTTTTACGTGTGTAGAGCAGGCTTAGGCTTAGCCGCTTATGCTTGCAAACACTGGTTAGGCTAGGCCCATTTCAGACGTCGAACTTTCCATGTGCCGAACTTAATAGTTTTAATTTAAAGCACATGATAAGTTCGACGTTTGAAACGATTATGTTCGACTGCTTAAATTAAGATCGACCTAAGCATTAAGACGTTCGACTGGTCAGATCGTGCGGAACGACCAAAGCACGACAAAGCGCGACGTGGTTTCAAACGTCGAACCACGGGCGCTGTAAAACACAGCGCCCTGGTCGAACCGATCATGTGCCGAAGTGCAGAGTGAGATAACGTATCACTGCGCACCTGGACGTGCGACCTTTAGACTGTTTATCCATTTGAAATTATGCCTTTTATGAATAGACATTTTGTTGTTTACCTTGCAGTTTGGTTTTTCTTCGACAAGTGGTATATAATAAAAAAAATTATTTACCGAAAACTCAGAAAACATTACCCTCGTGAACCCTCGATCATCGATACTCTGCTTCGCCTCGTCAAATATCGACAGGTCTCGGGTCCACAAAACCTAATGTTTCCTTCATTCGCAGTAAATAAGGGCATGTTGTTATATAGGTGCTGTGTATTTTAAATGTGATTGGTTCATTCGTAGTCACATGACTTTAAATAAATGCAATCTTTCCCGTTTAACCAGGATACCCACGTCACCGAAGTTTTTTTTCAGTGGGGTCCTGCATCTATATGTTACATAATTTCAAAAGTAAACATGCATTATTTACAGCAACACATATATACAATACAATACAATACTGAACGATACCATCCTATACTGTACTATGCCAAACAATACAATACTGTAACATGTTCGCAATAAAATATAATACTATATAATGCAATACAATGAGGAAATTGGATTATGATGTGGAAGAAATTGCCAATCAACCGACTGGGAGGTCTTCTTTCGCGACGTGGGTAACGTGGTTCGAACACAGCACTTGCAGTCCCCTCCTCCGGTTCGTTTGTCGTAGTTGAATCACGAGTCTGCGTCCATTCAGCATCAGAAACCGATGAATGGAGCGATGAGTCCACTGGAATAGCATTAGGCTCCTTTGGAAGGAGTAACCTGGGATTCTGACTAACCTCGGGAACAACTTCTCGGTCTCTGATGGTGGATTATCCATATCTGATGGGTGACAGGCGCGAATCTGGTCGATATGTTGTTTCCACGGCATGCTGTCGACTTAGACGGTATAAGTGAACGGTCCCAGTTTGTTTAACACCACTCCTCGAATCCACGATGGCTTCTTCGGGTTCTTCCGGTAATCTCGAACGGGTCCTTTTCTCTTCAGGCATTGATCTTTTCATCACTGATTCTCCTAGTGATGGTTTACACACGTCTAAACTCGCTCTCACCTTTCTTCCGAGAAACAGCTCACTTGGTGTAACTTTAGTCAAACTGTGCGGTGTTGTACGGTACCATAGTAAAACGATGCCAGTTTCTGATTTAATGTACCGATTCAGACTCCATAGTCTTTATGGCTTGTTTAAAAGTACGAACTGCACGTTCAGCTTCCTCATTTGAACTTGGGTGATACGGTGCTGATCTAATATGGCGAACTCTATTCTTTTTCAAGAAAGTCTGAAATTCTTCAGCTACGAACTGCGTTCCATTGTCCGACACTAATTCTTTGGGAAGCCCAAACGATAAGAACAGGTAACGTAAGGCGTTGATGGTACTCTCGGCCGTCGTCGATTTCATCTTGACGACATCTAACCATTTGGAATGCCGCAACTTTTCTCTCGATGTCGGTACCCAGGTTTGGCCACCAAACATGTAATCTCGCAAGGGCCTTCATGCCAGGGTGACTTCTATGTAATTCGTCCAGGATTTCTTCACGATAATGTTCTGGAACTATCACACGAACTCCTCGGAGCAGACAATCTTCCGCGATAGAGATTTCCTCCCTAATAAGCCGTTGACTTGCATTTTATTCACAAGTTCTGCTTCTTTCTACAGCGTATCGGCATTTCCATTCTCTTCAGTTGAACGGTACTTGATGTCGAACTGGTAGGCTGATAGTTGGATCGCCCATCTCTGAATACGCGATGCTGCCAAGACGGGAATTCCCTTTTTTGGACCAAGAATCAGCGTCAATGGCTTATGATCTGTCAGCAAGATATATCGTCGTCCGTACAGGTATTGGTGAAATTTCTTAATCCCGAACACAATTGCAAAGGCTTCTTTTTCTATCATGGAGTAGTTACGCTCCGCTGAAGTGAGCGTTCTAGACGGGCATACGCAATCGGCCGCTCTTCATCCGCACTACCCATCTGATGGGAAATCACTGCTCCCAATCCGTGGGCAGAAGCATCCACTGCTAAACCAACGGCTTCTTAGGCTCGTAATGAACCAACACTTCTGACGACACAAGATGCTTCTTAACTAGTTGACAGGCATTTGCACATTCTTCCGTCCAAACCCATTCCACATTATTTGCCAAAAGATCAGTCAGAGGTTAAACCATCGTCGACGGACATGTTTGGGATAAATTTCCGGTAATAGTTCACAATACTCAACCACGATTGCAGCTCCTTCTTGTTGTTGGGATCTTCGACCTTCAACATGGCTTCCACTTTCTTGGGTGAGGGGTGGATACCCTCTTTGTTCACCACGAAAGCAAAATATTCTACTTCGTCTTGCATGAACGAACATTTCGACTCTTTAACGTTCTAACGGATCCTAAGGCTCACATCAGTACGATAGCACACCAGCTCTTACACTATATTTTTGCCCGCTGCCGATCGGTAGGGATGGAGACGGTATCCGAGCGAAACGGTCGGGCTAGGGGTGAAACGGTGTTTCTTTTGAGTTTGCTGTTTTCGGCGCAGATAATAACTCAACGAACCATGCTATTTTAACGGTACCTCCTCCATCCCGTGATCAACTGTCACACGTGAGTCACAGAAGTGAAACCGTGGAATAAACGATACGAACATCAAAGTACACACACACACAAAACAAAAAAAAAATACCTGTAAATGTGGCGATCATTAATGAATTTACCTTTACCCCAAACACCAATTCCACGACCAAAACGGGTGTGAAAAGAACTGTGCTTAATCCTGCAAAACAAACTAACAAAAAAAACAAACCCCAGCGAGATTAATAAGACGCTTCTCCCGCAGAGTTCACAACATCGCGTGAAGTCGTTAGGGAAAGGGGCGGGATGGGTCACGCAAGCAACTAACAACTCGATCAGGCAAACTGGGCTCATATTTGTACTCACCGGAGGGGGCAAGTAGCCGACCGGACAAGCGTCCTAGAACCCGAGACACTACGATACGAAGACCCGTATAACATTAACTTCCTTTATTATTTAATAATAAATACATTTAACGTTCTAACGGATCCTAAGGCTCACATCAGTACGATAGCACACCAGCTCTTACACTATATTTTTGCCCGCTGCCGATCGGTAGGGATGGAGACGGTATCCGAGCGAAACGGTCGGGCTAGGGGTGAAACGGTGTTTCTTTTGAGTTTGCTGTTTTCGGCGCAGATAATAACTCAACGAACCATGCTATTTTAACGGTACCTCCTCCAAGTATGTCTCCAAGCCAGATGAGGGGTTGGAGTTAGGTTACCGTTAACCTTCTCCACCAGTCTCCAACCCTACAGCAGCGGGGCAACGTTGAAAAATGACTGCAGCGATGTGCGAACGTAGCGAAGGTAAGCTTGGCTAGTCCAACGTCCAAGAGCTTGAATTAGATGATCCGGAATCCCAGCCGCAGCGGCGGAAGTAGCAGCCCCAATGCGAAAGCTGTGAGATGAGTAGTTCCCCAATTACGCCGGCTCGCCTCAAGATTTTGCGAAGGAAAAAATTGACTTGTTGAGCAGTTAAGGGGAAGCCATCCGACCACAGGAATAAAGGACCAGGGCCGCTGCCACGCATATCGAGGTACGCCTGAAGCGCGAAGACAGGGCAGAGATGATTGCTTGAAGACCCGATGTACAGGACCTGTCCGACGCCAAGAGGATCAGTCTTAGAAAGCCAGAAAGCACGCAGACCAAAACATAACTGCATCGTAGACGCCAAGATCACCAACCGTCGACGAATGAATAACATCCAATAGATCGCGGGTTATGGGGCAGCGTAACGAGGAAACGCCAGACCGATAACGACGGATGCCCTGAAGCAGACGACGAAACCGTGGTTTCTCTTTCGTGGGATCCGGGAAGCCAAGGTCAATATGATAGGAACGGACAGCAGCTAGGTAAACATTAAAGGAAAAAACTCCGTATTGAGCCGAATAGGGTGGGTAGGTGAACGAAAAGCGCAGAGCAAATTAATCATACGCCGGAGGAACGTGCGACCGGGCGGAACAACTTTCGTAACGTGGTGAAGCGAGCCGATAAAGGATTCTAACTCTCGACGAGTGCACCAAGACTTACGATTCCATTTTTTAAGAAGCTCTACGATGGCCACAAATTTTAGCGGATGGCAACCGAGCAGACTGGGTGAGAGAATTTAGTTCCACACCTAAAAAGACTAACGTAGTAGTAGGACCCTCGCACTTTGACGGATGGAGAGGCAAACCCAAACGGAGGAATAAGACCTGGCGATGGCTACATTACTAGCGCACTCGGTGGAGTTGCCGGGGCCAAGGGTCAGGAAATCGTCGAGGTAGTGAAGGAGAAAACGAACGCGATAATTAGCTTTAAGAATCCATTCCACCATTTCGGCGACGGAGTTGAAGATAAATGGGCGGAACGCAGACCAAACGGAAGAGCCAAATCGACGAAATATGACTCAGG